GATCTGAAGGTCCCTGGTTCGATCCCGGGTCACGGCATTCTCTTTTTCTTTTTTTTTAATCTGAACAATAAGTCAAATGTTAATTAAATTCAGTTGTAACAAATATATTTTAGATTTCATGAGTTATTATAGATACTTATAGTCTTTTCATACATCGTTTTGTAATAAATTATGCTGTTCAATATGATTTCTAAATGTTTTTTATTTCGATGAAAAATATCAGATTTAAAATATAAAAAGTAAAAGATCTTTATTCAATAATAGTATACTCTGATTGAAATGACTATTTATGATCTTGTCAATTTATTGTAATAAATTTCAAGTTATTGATTTGTTAGATTAGATGATTCTGATGTTGCCTATTTATATAAGAGTTCAACAAAAACGAATACCTCTTTTATTACAATTATGAAATAAATAGAAGTTTAAGTCGAGAGATTTATACTGAAAGAATTTTTCCATAATAACTCTTTCTATGAAATGTACAGTTTGTTTACTTTGACAATTTGCAAATACGAAATACTTTTTTTTCAATAATTTAAAACCTTATATCTTATATATTTTCGAGGAAAGTTTGATGATAACTGTAAAATAATATTGATTGTGATTGACTTCAATACTTAGTCTACGTACATATCGTTTATCTCTATAAAATTTCATGTTTCGATAATTCTTGAGCACTGTCTTCGTATATTTCCTCAGTAGTTACTCCTAATTAATGATAAAAATATCTTTTTAAAGAACAAATTCAATAAGAACATTTATAAGCGTTAAGAAAGTAAGATACATTTGATGATATTGCAAAGTACAATTAACTGTATTAAGATAATTTTAAAAAAAAAAGAGATGATTAGCGAAGATTTTATAATATTTATTAAGGACGTTTTATTTCTCAATGAAGCAGAAACAAAATTATCTTTTATATTGCTTTTGATCTGTTCTCTCATATTTCGGTGCAAATAATCAGATAATTTTTCTTCTTTCTTATTATTTGCTTGTCACATGTTATTATTCGTAGAGTATATATGTAAGTATAATATATACTTTGTCGAAATAAAAAGCTTTGAAATCAATATCAGTCATTGAAATAGATTTAATAAAAGATTTTAAGTTTTAGAGAAAAAATATACTTTTTCAAATACTTTGAAATTATTTTTAGATTTTTATAATTAATTGATAAAAAGATAAATATGAGTAAAACTAAGAAAAGTGTTGGAGAATTTATTGGGACAGCATTAATTTCTTTCATTGCTACAAATGCTGATGATCTTGTTATTTTAATGAATTTTTTTACAGAAGCAGCAATATCAAATTCATTACTTAAAGTTCGTCATGTTTTTATTGGTCAATATTTGGGGTTTTTTATAATATTAGGAATTAGTCTTATTGGTTATGGTGTATCATATGCAATACCTATTCAAATGCTTGGATTTCTTGGATTTTTTCCTATTATTCTTGGTATAAAAGGTATTGTTGAAATAATAATTAATCTATGTATAAAATTTTTTTTAAATGTAAATGATATTATTCCAAATGATGATATTTCAACAATTGAACTTGAAACAATTCGTTATCGAAATGGTTCTACTGGAGAAATTATTTCTGAAATAACAATTCAACAACCAGAAAATACAAATACTGATTCTCCTTCAACCATTCAATTCAAACAAAAAATTATTAAAATTCTCAGTTATTGTTTTAATCTTCAAACATTAAAAATTGCAAGTATAACAATAGCAAATAGTAGTGATAATGTAGCTATTTATACACCATTATTTGCTCAAGCATCGAAATGGCAAATCGGTACTTATATTGGAATATTTCTTGTTATGGTTTTTGTTTGGCTTATATTTTCTTATTATTTTATTAATTTTCGTCCGATTTTATCAATTGCACAGAAATATGCTCAATATATTGTTCCAGTTGTATTTATTGGAATTGGAATTTATATTATTATTACATCAGATTGTTTTCAATGGCTAGAACGAGCTATTAAAACGAAAAATTTCAAAAATGGTTGATAATCACTTTTTTTCTTGACAACAACATCACTCTTTTTTTAAATTTAATTTTTTATGAAAAATTCATAGATTTAAATTATTGTAGATGATATTAATAATAATATCGATATGATCCAAATAGAACTAAATATTTTTGTCGATAAATATTTTTATTAAAAATCTATATAGAATAACATTTCATCTTTGATAGATTCTATGAATGATATCAATTTGATTAAAAATTGAAATATTAATAATGATCATATTATTATAATATGGTTTTAAAATTTACTCGTAAAATAATAATTATGTCAAATATGATCAGTTTCATTTCATTGACTTTTTTATTATCATTATTTGTCAAGCTCATACTTCGAATGAAAAATTAAACATAATTGCCCCTATTAATGTCGTATATATGTCTTATGTATTAATACATATATCAAAATAATTTCTCCTCAGTGTATTACATTTATGGGTAGAAAAACAAATGTTTGTATTAACTTATCTTCACTGTCGTTGAATAATAAGAACGGGAAAAAATATAATCACGTACTGAAGCATAGTATTTGTTTATTTTTCATCTGTCACTTTAGAATATTATCTGTATTAGTAAAAATGTTTACGACTATAAACAATATATGAAAGAAAAGTATGAATTAACAAATGTCGAATTGTACTATTTATTTTCTAGGAATTCTTTGATAAAATAATGATGATAGATATATTAAAACTTGGTACAAAAATAGTAATAACATTTATTCTAACAAATATTCAAGATATTGTTATATTAATAAATTTTTTTCTTCAATCATCTGAAAAAGGAAGTTTATTAAAAACTGATCATGTTGTACTTGGTCAATATTTAGGTTTTAGTACTTTATTAATGTTAAGTTTACTTGGTTATACTATATCATATATATTACCAGTTAAATTATTTGGTTTTCTAGGATTTTTAATTATTATTTTTGGTTTAAATGGTTTAGTGGAATTAATAAAAAATTTGAGAAAACAGAAGAAAAATACTACGGAAATTCTACAAAATGAACAAGTAGAATTTATTCAATTAGAATCGGTAAAGATTTCGTTTTTTTCAATCTACTGAAAAGAAAAAAAAAGGTTGTTTAAACTATTTAAGGATGATAATATTGATTTAAAAGAAAATCAAAGTTTTTGTGATGATTTAAAACAAATCGTTAAAGTAAGTGTTGTAACAATTGCAAATGGAAATGATAATATTGCTATTTATGTACCTATATTTGTTCGATCAACATCATCACAAATAATTGCTTATGGATTAGGATTTTTATTTATGGTTGGTGTTTTATGTTTTATTTGTTATTGTTTTATACATTTTCCTCCAATATTTAAATTTGCACGAAAATATGCTCAATTTATTAGTCCATTTGTATTTATTGCACTTGGAATTTATATTTTAATTGATTCGGGATGTTTTCCATGGTTGATTAAAGTTATTCAAACTGGAAAATGGACAATTACATAGATTAATATTTCAAAACATTTTTTAAGTATTATTTTTATATTGAGAATTAATTAATAAATCAAAAGAAATTATTCTAACTTGTTATACATATTATTTATTTATATTTTAATAACGATATTATTTTTCGTAATGTTTCAAGAAGGAACAGTTCAAAATTTATATATTTTATAAGATAGAATTAATTTTATAAAGTGTAGTATTTTGAGCCTTTATATTATCGTAAAATTTCAATTAGTAATCCTATGATCTAGATAATTTCATTATCATAATGATTCGTTATTTCGGTATCTCAAAGAAAATAATTATAAATTTTGTTTCTTTAAATATTCATAATTATTAAAAGCTTCTAACTATTTACTGTCCTATATTTATGTTTAAATGAATTGAAACTCATTTTCAAAAAACTAATTACTAATTGTATATAATTTTAAGACTTGTCAGTCGTCTTAAAGCAATATATTGATGAAAACAAGGATATGCGACCTTACAGCTTATTTATTGAATGCGTCTATGTAGTTATGTATACCAATGAATTTGTCTTGGATAGATAGATAGATAAATGAATAAAGCAGCTCTTACGACAAGTATACTGTGAAGGAATACGACTTAATGCCATCATTCCGACTCAATCAGTTTACATGAAAATTCTGCAATGAAACGTTTTATTTTATTTTCGGAATATTAATGTTGTCAAAATAATTTTTAATATTCGTGTTATTATTATAGTATCAATTGAATTGTAATGAACTAGTATAGAAAATAAAGATTTGTTTTTTTTCTATTTCTTTGAGTTTTTTGTTGTAAAAATTCGATATCTCCAATAGAACTTATGAATTTATCTACATTATTAAAAGTATCTTTAATATAAATGTATTAGATTACTTTGGACTTAACTGACGTATATTATTTGTTATCGTTAGTAACTATGTTTAATGTAACGCATGAAAGAAAGAAAAGTATATAAAGAAGAATATCATTTCGTTCGTTCTTTACTATAACAAAGGAAGAAAAACAACGAATATAATCATGTGTTTCTATTCTGCTTGGTCACAATGATAAACATTCTATATAAAAATCAGTTATAAATAATATCTTTTTTGTTAATTTCAGAGTAGAAAATGTCGTCAAAAATGGAAATAATTGCTCGTCGTTCAAATGAACGTGGTCATAGTAATGTTGGTTGGTTAGATAGTTATCATACATGGTCATTTTCTTCTTATCATGATCCAAAATTTGATAATGGTTTTGGTTGTTTACATGTTCTTAATGAAGATCGTGTTGAACCAACAAAAGGTTTTGGTACACATTCTCATAAAGAATATGAAATATTTTCATATATTGTTGATGGTGAATTAGAACATAAAGATTCAATGGGAAATACAGAAATAATTCATCGTGATGAAGTTCAATTTACATCAGCTGGAACAGGTCTTCAACATTCTGAATTTAATGTTCATCAATCATTATGGGTTCATTTTATTCAAATATGGGTTAAACCAAATCAATCGAAACTTCAACCATCATATACAACAAAAAAATGGTCAGATAAAGATAAACTAAATAAACTTTGTTTATTAGTTGATGATATTAAAAATTCAAATGAAAATACAATTGCAATTCATGCATCATTATCAATGTTTGCAACTATTTTAGAAGCGAATCAATCAATTAAACATATTTTTAAAAGAAATAAAGGATTTATACATTTAATTATGAGAAGTGGCAAAGAAGCAACAAATATTGCAAAAATTCGTCTTAATCAATCTATTATCTTAGAAGAAGGTGATGGAGCATTTATTAATTGTGAAACATCATTTAACGAATTATCCATTGAAAATATTGGAAAAATTAATGCGGAATTTTTATTATTTGATCATGAATAAACTTAAACAATTTTTAAACACCTAATTTTATATTTATAACATTAACTTAATAAATTATTTATAAAAATTCTTAAAATTTTCTAAAATCTAACCTATTTTAAGACAATATAAAAATTCTCAGAATCATTCAACTAACTGAATGAATTTTTTTCTACATAATACATATCAAGACATAAAAAAATAAAAAAGATCAAAATAAATGAACAGTAGTTAGATAAATATGTAGAAATACCACTAATCATAAGTGTTGTAAGCAATGCGCTAGTAGTAATTAATATTATTGATGAAGTATGAGTAGTTAAAGAATTAGGAATGGTTTCAAAAGCAATAGAAGTATTTATTGGTCTCATAGGGAATACATTTTACAAATTAGACCAAATAGTAACATTACTAAATATAAAAGTTCCATTTTCTCCCTCAATAATATATCCAATACCAGTAGAATTTGATAATACACGATAAATATATGTGGATATTACTGTACGATTATTTACATAAATTTCTATGAGCGAATTATCAATGAAGATATGTAAAAATAAAAGTTCGTTTTCTGTCATATTTTCATTGATCATCGTCGTAATGAAATTGTGTTTAGCATATATAATACTATTTTGAAATTGTTTAATTAGTGAAGAATGAGTTCGATCAAGAATTAAATATTTCTAAACCGTCAGATGATTTTCGAGAAATGAAATCAGCAGTCGTATTTGAAGAAATATTAATATTTGTAAAATTTGTTTAGGAATAAGTAAAATAATTTTATCTTATATATAATTGTGCACAAAAAAGATTTTGATCGGTAATTATCATTATTATTATCAGAATATTTCTTTAATCTTCACAAATTGTTTAAATAAATTCTAAGTTTTCAATGTTAAGATTTTTAAAAATGTATAAAAGAAATATATTTTTTCGTGATTATTAATAAAGTCTAAACAAAGATAATATTTATTTCAAAAAAGAAAACCAAATAAAACAAATATAGAAGTATACAAATATACATTATTGATTGTATTTATTTATTTTTTTGCTCTCTTCTTAACACTATGTTGACCATAAACTAAAACAAAAAGAAATAATAATGTAAATATTAATTATATAAGATGAGAAGAAAAATAGATTCGAACTGACTTGTTTCTTTTCCAGTATTATCATTTTCAATAACATATCGAACTTCTTTTGTTGATGGATCAGATTTCTTAAAAAGAAAAATCTAAATTAATCATTTCGAATATAATCTTTATTTACTTTAGCTCCAGTTAAAACTTTAGTAACTTTTCCTTGTGCACGTCTAGTTGAACCTTTATGAACAGGATCATATTCAATTTCTTCACCAACATTATGTTTAACCTGTTGACTTCCTTCGGTTTTTGTTGTACGTTTTTTTATATCTTTTCTATCTTTTGAATTTGTTGTTGGTTCATTGTTTGATGATGCTGTTGCAATTGTACTATCTTTTTTATTCGATAATCTCTTGCTAGTTCTTTTTGTATTTGAAGTACCAGCTGAAGATAAACGTTTTCGTTTTGGACCCATTAAAATATTTAATCAAACAATGTAGATGTATGTATTAGAAGAATTTTAAAATATTAAATTGAAGAAAGGAAGAAACAGATGTTTTCTTTTGTCAAAATTTCATGTCATTGTTCGCTTTCGAAATTTTATCATATTAAAATATTCTTATAAGATTTTAATATCGTTTTCTTTTGAAAAACTAAACATAATTAAATTAAAAACATTAGTTTTGTTTTCAGAAAATATATAAAAGATGGCGGTAATGATAGACGTCAGTAATGATTTATAGAATTTATCTAATTTGAACTGTTTCAAGCATTATGGTCATGTTCATTTTAGGAACACATTATGAAATTATTGAATCAACAAATTAAGTTAATAGTATAATATTTAAATTATTATTTTAGCCGAACAAAGGAATAAACTTTCATTTTAATAATAAATTTTTTTTTCTTTGATGATGCATGCAATACCATTCATAGTGTGATATATTTCTCTAAGAATATACATATTGTTTTATAACTAATTTTCTTTCTCTTCAATGTATTATTTGAGGGAATTATACAATGAGTTTAACTATTTTCTATCGCAAATATGTGATAATCAATAAATAATAGTGAGAGTTCTTTGAATATGAGAAAATTGTAGTCAAATTCATTTTGAAAATATTTTATCGATTAAGCATCTACATGTATATTCAAAACTAAATTAAACAGGAAAGAATTGCCTAAAAGAAAAAAATCTTTTGTGGCATATTTGTCATTGATACAAAAATTAGTTGATTATGAAATTTTGATCATAAACTCATTTATATTCAGTTACTTTATACTAAATAATGCATGTTATATCTATTAATATAATAAAATATTTTTAGAAATCGATTTTTATTTTCTGATACGATTAATTACATGTAATTGAAAACTGCTGTCAGATGATTATGATTCAAGTAGATTATATAGCGTAGGAGTCGTTGCATTCGATTCATAGCATACAAGTAAACAATAGTTTTAAATATAATAAAAATATTTCTAGAAAAAAAACCATTCTGTTGCATTTAAAATAGTCATCGAAGAATTTCTTTTAAACGCAATTGTAAATACGTTTTTATTCTGATAATGACGTAACAATATTGTCAAAATATCAAGGTAAATACGGATCTGGTTAGTTAAATCATGTTTGTAGCATTTCTTTACTTCATTGTAACATTATAAAAATTACACGTAACTAAATCAAATTAAATTTTATCAAGTTTGTTTAAAGTTTTTAATATGAATTGTAGAACACCAGGTATTGATACTATAATAAATCCGATTATTAGCAATTCTATAATTTTTGTAACAGTTATAACTTTTGAAATGGATATAATAACAGAATTTAAGCATGATCAAACTTCATTAACTGCTACTTTGAGATCAGATCGTCGAATATCATAGATGCCTACAAGATTTTATCAAGCATCACTTTATCGATTAACAATTGCATAAATAGTTATTAACATAAAATTAATTATAAAGACCTGCCATTTATTATATAACATCCATTGTATTAATTGTTTAAAGTTATCGATAAAGTATTTGAGACTACTTGAAGTACATATTTTAATGCACTCATCCATTGTAATAAATTATTTCATTATATGATATATAGGCTGTTTGTTCGATGCACATATATATAGTAAAGATGTATTGAAAGAGATGAACGAGATTAAAATATATGAAATGTTTTTGGATAAAACCATAACAAATTTTTATATACCCAGGTCGAACAATCCGGCACGGAAACGGCCGGTTCCGTGGTATTCCCGAGATGTCATGGAAGCAGTATTCCCGTTGAACGGATTTGGTGACCGGATTGAGGATGGGTGTGAGGATTGATGTCAACAGGTTAGAATACCCGCACCTACTCACACCCAAATCCTCGTTTATATGTTTCTCTCAGAATATACATATGATGTTAACATATATTTTATAAATATTGTGTTATAACTAATTTTCTTCCTTTTCAGTGTATTACTATACTAAATATGATTTCTATTTTTAGTGTAAAATCCAATGATTATAAAATAAATTTCCATAATATTAAAATTCTAGTTATCATTAATAAACGAGTTGAATGATATAGCAGCTCTAGTAAAAAATGTCTATATCCTCGGGGAATAATTCTATGTTATGTGACTTAGTTTTACAGATGGATGTAAAAATGATGAAGAGAAAAGCCTCCTTCATACATGATGTTTTTGCTGTTAACAATAAGAAAGAATATTTAAAAGATATCTTTTTGTGACGTATCGTTTATAAAAAAATGGGTTTGTTTAGTTTTTCCAATTATAAGATGAAGTAAACTTTATTTTTATGTTTTTCTTTGCAGTATATACAGGCAAACACTAGTTTTAAATATAATAAAAATATTTCGAGAGAAAAACTATTCTGCTGCACTTAAAATATAGTGATTGAAGAAATCCAATGGTTGCATTAGTATCTTAGTTATCTTTGATAAAGAGATACAAGCTCTTATCTGCACGTGTAAAAGGTAACCATATATTAACAAAAAAATCTTCTATTCTAACTAGTTAAACATACAACAACTTTTCTAAGAGATACCTTTTACTCAACAATACGAATACACAAACGATATGTCGAGTATAAATTCGTTAGTTACTTCCGAACACTTAAAGCAATTCGATCAACATGGGTATGTATTTTGATAATCTTTATAAAGTTAAGAAAAATATATTTTCAGTTATTTTATTCTACCATCTATCATTCCATCTGAACATATTACAATAATGTCAGAAGTTATTCAACGAGCAATTGCTAAACGTGATAAAGATTTAAGACCAAACGTAGAAGCTAATGATGGTGGATTAATTCAGTGCTCAACGGATGGAAAATATTTTTTCTTTATGCATGAAGATAACGAACCTGATATGCATAAGATTATATTCAGTTCTTATATGGAACAGATAGTGAAAGGTATGGAAGTAATTCCTATAGTTTATAAATTACAAAAATAATAAAATTTCATTGATTTATAGCTGTGTTAGGTGATACGGCGTATTATACTCATTCAGAAATTGTTGTAAAACGTGGAGAAGGTGACAAAGATATGTCAGGAAGAACAGCTTTCGCTTGGCATCAAGATAGTGGTTATGTTCCATATGAACATACACCGTACTTAAGTTGTTGGTGTGCTTTGACAGAAATGACAACAAATAATGGAACAATTTCTGTATTACCTATTGAAAGAAATCCATCAGAAGATGAAAATCACAAAATCAATTGGTGTGCCAAGCCACGACCGTCAGCTGTCACTGAGTTTCCATGCTATCAACATCGAAACGATGATAATAGTCCAGATTTAATAGGATATTTTGGAAGCGATCTAGGCATTGAAGTATTGTGTCCTGTGGGAAGTATTGTAGTTTTCTCCAGTTTGACATTACATTGTTCCTCGCCGAATCATAGTAAAGCTCTTCGTTCAGCATACAATGTTCAATATGCTCCGGTGCCATTGATGAGTGAAGATTCGCAATCATTTAGACACAACGCTGATCCATTTATTGTTGAGTCAAAAATTGCTCATGAAGTCGAAAAATGGCAACAATAATTATTTGAAAATAATAATAAATTCGTTTTTCTACAGCTAAGCACTATAAACTATGTGACGTACTAAATAAAGAAAATTTATGTGTGTGCATGATCGTTATTAAAGAAGTCCATCGATGTATTATTTATTTAAATAATACTTCGAGGCTGTGGATGAGAGTGTGGCTGTTTCGTCGAGTTCTACCTGGCACACAACAAACGATAGGTGGCACACCTTGTCAAGTGGATAATATTAAGAAAAACTCGAATCCGCTGCCAACTTCATCTACATCAAAAATACTTGATTTTCTATATTGCAGAAATTTTATTTGGATTTGGAGAGAGTCACATAAATAATGATCACCATGGAGTTATTGGTTGTTCATATGTGTCAGTCAACGGATAGAATTGTGTGTTCATTATTTTCTTAAGCATCTGAAGTGAGCCGATAAAATTTGTTTTTCAGCTATCGCATGACTCTGTGTATTATAAATGTATTTATATTATAGCTATTTATTTATATATTTTTTCAGACGCATTTATATAAAGTACATGTCGATGAATTTATTTATTTTACTTAATACATGTGGCAAATTTGATGTTTATGAATTTATTAAAAAGTAAATTAAAACGAATTAATTACTTTATTTCATAGTGAAAACATTGTCAATATGAAATAAAATAAATAGAAGGTAATTAAAACGGCTGACTGCACGTAGCGCAGTAGTCGACGTATTGCTTTTGATATTCTTTTTCTTCTTCTCGACAGATGAATCACGATAAAAGTCAACACTTTGTCCTTAAAATCTAAAAAAGCTTGCAATATTCGTGCGAACGTGCTGAGTGCACATCTGAAAACCGTTTTTTGAAATTTGGTTCCGTGTGGGAGATATATAGTTTAAAAAAATAATTAACACATAGTGATTTCTTTATATGGTTATGTGTGACTTAGTAGTATGCGGCCATTGATATATGAGATACTATATGTATATACACTTTAATTATCGTTTTTTTGTGACTTAAATCCATAATGATAGAGTCTAATTTATGAAAAGTAATTATTCGATGGCTTGTTCATCTGAGTTTAATTGATTGATTTTGAGGATCAAATAAAACAAAATTTTAAATGATTTAACTTTCCGTGTTTATGAGGGTTGTTACACTTCTGCAGTTAGCCGCCTTTCTTCTACTTGAACTTGCTTCAAGTGGAGATCTAGTCTAATATTCTAAATAGTTTTAGTACTCAAACAGTTAGTTATTCATTTTTTTAATTTGTCTGTAATCCCTCAAACAACTAGTAGTTTTTTATTTTTTTGATACATCATAATTATTTGTATCTGTGAGTATGACTATAATAATATGGATATCACATAGTAATATTGTATATATCTACATTCATATTTACGTTCGTATTCAGTTAATGAGAATGATATATAGCGAGTCAAAAGTGAGTGATACAACTTTAAAAATTTGATGTTCTGTAGATATTAAACTGATTCTATTCTGACAACGGAAGCAAATAGTGTTTCAATAAAATCAGACTATATTAATGATATACTGTACTGTTATTGCGATTTTAGAGATTCTACATATTCTAAATCTGGTATAAAATATGCGGTCAAGAAACTCAGTCAAATACTTGATAACCATCAGTATCTTGTTATGCATAGTTCTACTAGGCTTACACAAAGAAATTACAAAATTATATGGTACGAAATCTATTCCATTATTATTAAACATGAAAAAATCATCATCTTTTATTTGTCCTTTTCGTGGAGACCGTTGGATTGTAGTTACATCTATTCTTTATCCAACAGTGGCTATTCATAAATTTCTTAATTTGACTACTAAATGGAATTTGATTGTTATCGGTGATCGAAAGACTCCACATGATTGGCTTTCACATTTACATAGCGATCGATCTCGTGTGATATTCTTGTCTATTGAAGAACAATTATCTCTTGATTATTCTATTAATAAATATTTACCGGAGAATTCATATACGAGGAAGAATATTGGTTATTTAGTGGCTATCGCTTGTGGAGCTAAAATAATATTCGAATCAGATGATGATAATATTTTATTGACAGACGATATTCATGTTCTACCGAAAGTAGTTAAACCAGATGATGTACCTTGGGTAGCGTTTCATCGACAACGATCACCTTTTGTTAACATTTATGGATCTTTTGGTCATCCAAAGATATGGCCCAGAGGTTTTCCTATGGATGAATTAAGAAATGTTACTGAAGACGGATGGCATTCGGTAAGACGAAATAAGGACAAGACAACCTATGCTTATATACAACAATATCTAGCTGATCTTGATCCTGATGTCGATGCAATAGTGAGTTATCTGATATATATGTTCTTCTATATTTATTTGCTGTATTTTTTTTAAATATATAACCTTTACTCTTTGTTTATTATAAAGTATCGACTATCTAATCCATTTTCAACTGATCAAATTAAATTCGATCCAAATCAACCACCAGTTGCTATTGAACCTTTCACATTCTCACCATATAATACTCAAAATACGATAATACATTATGAAGCTTTTTGGGGACTTTTTTTACCTGTGACAACAACATTCCGTGTATGTGATATTTGGCGAAGTTTTTGGGTTCAACGTCTTTTGTGGGAAATCGATGGTCGTCTCGTCTTCAGTACATCGACAGTAAAACAGGTGAGAAATACTCATTCTTATATCAAAGATATGGAAAAAGAACAACAATTATACAATCAATTAGGCTCGTTTGTTCGTTTTCTTGCTTCTTGGTCTTCATCTTTCTCATCTCTTCCCAAAAAAATCGCTCAGCTAGCAAGAGATATTGCTCAATCTGGTTTTTGGCATCAAAACGAAGTTAATATTATTGACGCATGGCTTGCTGATCTTCATTCAGTGGGTTACACTTTTCCATCGATTATTTCTCGTCCACCTCCACGTACCACTATTCAGAAACGAGCAGCCATATGTGTTACTGGTCTTACTGAATGCATTGAAGAAGCGTGGGCACCCACTGATATTGCGATTCGACAGCGCCTTCTTGGTGATATCGATACATTTATCTTTCTTTCTTCGTCTCTTGTCAAAGGTCCTGTCCCTATAGACACTCGATTAAAACAAGTACGCTCATATCCGAACTCAACAGTTACTGTGATTTACGAAGATAGAGTTATTGATCCTAAAATACCAGCTGATTGTCATCCTGAATTTCAATTAGCGGGCGGAGCACCCATTCCTGTTCTCGGTTATTTTCAACAATTATGGGCTCTTGCAGAATGTTATAATCTCGTAAAAGATTATGGAAAACGCTTCAACATTGAATATCAATTGCTTATTCGTGCTCGTATAGATGCACTTATTCGATTACCATCAACCCTCGATCGAAATGATCCTTTCAATGTTAATACAACAGTTCTTATACCACCTAATCGCTATTATCCCAATTTACACGATGACGGTTTTGCTATTGGTCCAATGAAATTAATGTATTATTTCATGACAAGATGGTATACTCTTCGTAATTGTCCTCCAGATATAGACTATCAACCAGGTAAATATTTAAAGAAACATCTCAGTCGTTTCATGAATGTAACAGTTGATAAAGATATGACTGGTGCTGCTGATGCTATTCAACATGGACCAAACAAGTGTCATTAAGAAATGAACTGGTCTACACATATATTTAATATTCTGTTATACTCATTGTTTATCATTATATATCCTATCGTTTATTTTTTTCTTCATTATCTGAATAAAACCTTTGTTTGCTTTGAAACTTCAATGACGATCAAAATGTTAATCTGTACGCTCTTATTAAAGCTAAGATATCGAATCATATTTCAATTTGATTTCGAATTCTAATTGTAATAATACTATTTAATATGATTATATCTGCATAGATTTCTTTAGTATACCATCTAAAATATGACGCATGGTGGAGTATTTGATCAATTGAAGAGAAGTAAAACTTTCCTTTTTTTTGGTGTTTTCGATGACGATAGATGGGTGTGGAATATATTGTGTGTTTGTATGCAATAAGTATAGTAACTACACCCACATCTTCAAAATTTTAGTAGTAACAACAACATTACATTAGTAGTTGATATTATCATATATTGTAACAAAATATTTTTTATGGTTTATTAAATAAGTAATGGCACAGTTGTAGCAGAACTCATCTGATCGTATTAATAAATAGTGATATGATATTAGAAATCATAGAAATACTGGTGATCATAAAATAATAAATACCAATTAAAAATGAAATTATATTTTTCAAATTAATTAGACAAATGCTTGCATAGTTACTACCTAATTAGTTGCAATAATAAAAGAGAGAATTAATATCGATATGAAAACAAGTATTAAATAAGGGTAAAAGATTAATTTATTTCAAGAAATTGTAAAAGAAAATTTCTTTTGGCACAATTACATTACTACTACTACACGTTCTTTTGCATTAGCTGTTTCTTCCCATTTTGTTTCAATGTCTTTTAAAGGTATGGTGATGACAGATGTTGTTAATTTACCTTCCATCACCAAAGGTACCATATGTTCTAGATCTTTTAACATTTCTGTCAATGAAATTGGACCAATTCCACTTCCCATTATCTCAATGTTTTTGCTTCTAAGAAACATAGCTGAACACTGTATTGTAGGACCAGCCATTTGTCCAATTTCAACCCAACGTAATCTTTGTGCAGGATCTTTTCGAGCTGATTGAATTCCTGCCATAGCAATTTCTGTTGGTCGTCCCCAAAGAAAATCTAATACGATATCTACGCCTGCAGCTTCTTTTGCTATTGCCTGCTGGATTTGTTCTTCATCGTTAGTCAAAGGAATAGAAGCATCTATTTTACCATCTGATAATAATTGATCCAGAATAGATGTGTTACGTCCAACACCGATGACATGTTTTGCACCAAGTAAACGAGCAGCTGAAGCAGCTATTTGACCAGAACTTCCTGTAACGCCAAGAATCAAAACTGTTTCACCTGGTTGAATACGTGCACGTTGACGTAGAGCCATCCATGATGCCATACCGGCATTCATGATAGCAGCAAAAAGGATAGGATCGGCATTATTTGGAAGAGGAATTATCATGTCACGATGAATATTCACATGTTCACTCATAGTACCAGTAGGAGGTGTCATAGATATGAAGAAGATTTTTTCACCATTAGAAAGTTTTCCAACACCATCTACACCTGCAACAATAGGTGATGTTTTTGGTTTAATATAATGTCGTCCACCTATAATTGATCTGACTAGTTGATGAACACCAGCAGCAATTACTTGAACTTCAACTTGATTTGATGTTGGTGATGGTAAATCAATAAGTTCATAGCGAGGTACTTGTCCAAGTGCCTTAACAACAGCAGCATATACACGACGAGCCATAATTCAAATAATATGAAAGAAGTAGTTATTTTATTGTGATGAATATCGTCTTGTCTGAAAGAAAATAAATTCAAGAATTTAATCAGATATTTCGTCGAATTTTCATAATTCCTTTAGAATATTACAACAGAATGTACGATTGAATAACTACGTATTGTAAACAGATTGCAAAAAAGTGTGCTTTTGCACGCATAAAAACAACGTGTTTTGACATTTGTCTGCGTGAATTAAAAAATCGTCGTTTTTACTAATTTTATCGGACTAGATAGAAGAGACAGAACAACTACATACAAGAAAGATGTACGCAAGTGTAAAGAATAAAAATAAAATGAAAAGGACGAAATAAAAAAAGAAAAAAGAACGCAATTAAAACTGCCACAACAAACCATAAGTTAGGCGATGAAAGAAAGAAAAAATTATGACAAAATGTACTTTTTATATAAATAATATTTTTAATAAACATTTTCATAGTTTATTTATTCACCTATACAGACTATAAGCGATACGGTAAAAATTAAAATTTATTTAGTTTCACATAACTCAAGTTTTAATATAACATTCATGTGACAATCAAAAGAGTTTATGTCAATAGATGAATAAAAATACACGATATAATTAGTAAATAAAATAATATCGTATATATGAGTCAAACTAAAGTAGAAAAGAAAGTAAAGAGATTATTACGATTGGAGAAATAGACGAAGAAAAAGGAGGCACAAAACAAGAATGGAGGGAAAAAAATATAATCCGACTAAAGCGAACTATACTAGACCAGACTACGTTTCGAACGTTATTCTCTTCTTACAATTAAAGCTAACTACAAAATAAAATAAAAAACAAATAAGTTGTTGTTGCCGTACTTAACGACTCTATTAAAACTTTTATAAGATATATAATATGATATCAGTAACATAAAATAGATATCGAAGATGCAAGAGAATAGAAAAATTAAACTGAAAGATTTAATCTTTGTATAAATTGAAAATTCTATAAATCTAAAGTAGAATTTAAAATTTGACCATTGTGAAAGAAGTAAGAATGTAAATGTAATTGAGGATTACTCTTCTTCTTATTCATATTCTCACTATTGAGTTTTTGTTGCATCTTGTAATGGAAGAAAACATTCTTTTCCATAAATATTTAAAGTTTCTATATATTCAATATTAGTATGCTATTAATGTTGTATTTGTTAAAAGTCATCTTAAAATATTCAAATGAACATATAAACTCATTAATAATTATTAATTTCAGATAAAGAGCGATATGATAATATTTGGCATATGCAAAGTATCATTTTTTTTCTTCGCTTAAAAAATAATTTCGGATATAAAAATATTTTAATATAGAAAACTATTTTTCATACTGAATGATTTATATTTAATTGAAATATTCTTCTAGTAAAATAATGTTTAAATTAATTTAATTAATTTAATAGAAAATCACAGATATAATAACTATCGTATTTATTGTCAATATATTCTATTTTCTCAGCAAATAATTAATATTCATCGTATATAATTCATAATTATTATAATGTAATATTTCATCGAAAAATAGAATTAATTAATATTAAAATACTATTTCTTAGTTTTGGTTTATACAGAAAAAGATGATTTTATTAAATAAACATCTATCAAAACAAAGTCGTTATAAATAAATAACTTAGTATTCTATTCAATTAATTTTTATTTAACTTTGTAACATTTCATGAAATATTAGATCGCCAATTCAAGATCAACATGTAAATTTCTCAGTAACTCGTTCAAATACTTTGATGAATATATGAAAAACTGCAGGTATTCATATTATCGATTGAGATATTTCATTAGATTTTCAATGTAAATTTTATTTTAGTTTTTTATTATCAATTTTATAAAAATAAAAAAAGGAAAAATTTTTTTATTTAGGATGAATAAATTATTTTTAGTAGTGAATATATAAAGTTTTATTTCATTTCATAAGCACAAATAGGTGAATTTTCCTGTCCATTCCATTGACCATAGACAATTAAATTTCCTTGAATTTGTATTTTCTTTTTAATAATTCCATTATGATATTCATTTTGATTAAGTTCAATATGTTCATTACCATTGGAAATAATAATTTTATTTGCATTCGGTACATTCATATGTAATAAAATTTCTTCAAATTGTTGTAAAGAACGTCGAAGTGGTTCATTTAAAATACATTGATGATCTCGAAATGATGAATATAATTTAGGAAAAGTAATTGGTTGATTAACATTTAAATAAGATAATTGTATACATATGGCAGCTCGATATTCTGTTTCATTACGTGTTTTTGCATAAATTGTTAATTCACAAGGTCCATCTTTCATTGGAGGAGCTACAAAACAATCAATTGCATTAGCTTGAAAAGGATCTCGTTGACATAAAGTATGTAATTCTCTTGAACATTCATTACCATCAATAGTTAATTTAGCATAGACATTAGCATATTCTCCTGTTTTAATAGAAACTTTAAATGGACGTGGATCACGTGATATCATATCATTAGAAGAAATATTCTGTCCTTTTAATACATTAATCATTGTTTGTTCAATAAGATTAGCTGAAAATGATTGTTGTTGTTCCATAACAAGATTAGTTAAATATTGTCTTTGTTCGACAAATAATTGTTTTAATTCATCATTATTATTACGTTCACTTACAGACGAAGGTTTCTTAATTAATTCTACAATAGTTGTTTGTAATTGTTTTATTTCATTAATACTAACTTCATAAGTTTTTTGTTGTTTCATAATAATATCAGTTAAATATTGTTTTTGATCGGTTAAAATACGTTTAAGTGTATCATTATCATTATCTTTTGTTGTTATAGAATGATGTTCTAATGTTTGTACTAGAGTCGTTTGTAATTGTTTAATTGAAGTTACATCAAGAGATGATACTCTAGGTGTTTCAAGATGTTTCACCATCGTTTTTTCTATTTGTTGTTCAATTATTTCATTAAATGTAAGTTGAAATTTCTTAAGTGATTGTAATTGTTCTTGTTGATCATTTAATGTTTGTGTTATAGTTTTTTTAAGAAGATCGATAGAAGACATGATAGTATTAGTATGTTGTTCATAAGTATTTTCAAGTGAATTTTTTTGTTTTTCAATTAAACGAAGTATTTCTTGTTTTTCATTTGTAGCTGTTGTTGTTGTTGCTTCTGTCATTGCTTTTATTTCTTTTTCAATTGATTGAATTAATGTATTTTGCTCCGTATAAATATTTTCACGAATTTCAGTAACCATACTATGATGTTCTGATTTGACTATTTTTGTAAGCGCTTCGTTAATTTCTGTCATATCACTTGTTACTTTCTTTTCTGAAGGTGTGGAAGGACGTTTATTATTATTCATAGAAGCTACTCCATGTCCATGGTACGTTGATAAACTATTACTACTGTATGTTGCTGTAGAAGGACGTTTGGTATTACCTGAATTAATGTGTGGTAGAGTTCCTGAATTATATCTTGTCGATTGAGATCCATGACATGTACAATTAAAAATATAATAAGTATTTCCATATGTTGGACTAGTCTTTCGAGTACCTAACACGTGATAAGTTGATACACCGACTTTGAACGTATGAGTTACATCGAAATAATTTCCATTCATCATCATATTGTGATTACAGATTTCTTCATACATTTTTATATTTCTAAAATATATATTCTAGTTAATGTATTAGTCAACATCTAACAAAAGAATCTATCTATTTGACATATTCAATTTGGAAATTAGATTTTATTTTGAGGTGTGAGTATTTTATTCCAACCACATCCTGCACCTCATAGAGTTCTGTCTATTAAATTCTCAACTGAAGAAAGTTCTGCTTCACTTCTATTGAGTCGAAGAATATAAAATAAGATGACTGTAAGTTTTTGAATTTGAAAAGAAAGATTCAGTTGTGGTCATGAAATAAAGAACAGAACAAATTATGTGAGTTATTTTTATCGATCTTAATTGTAACTGTATTTTTTGAAGACATGTTTTTTTATTGTAAGTTTTCAAATTGACAAAATTAAAACGAAACTAAAATAACATACAATTCGGTTATGTTTGCAAAGCATGTCATAAAACGAATTACAAGAAATGACGCTTTTAGGAAGAAACACACAATGACTACTGACATTGAGCCATCGCGATCAGGTGTGAGTGTATTAAAATACCCACACCTACACTCTCATCATTCGTGTATTCATATAAAACTCACAAAGGAACACATTCGTTGACTCTTTCTTCTTCCTTTAAAAAAAACCAACTGGGGGTTTTTTACCAGTGAGAATTTTATTTGGTTTCAGTTTCAATCTTGAGGGTGGGGATGTAGTTGAAGTAAAATACTCACACCCACAGCAATATGTCATACGAGTTTATATTTGTTAATCAAGCTGAATAAATATAAGAAACAACGATGAACGAATTAAAAAAAAACTGTTGAGCATATCGGAAAAGAATTTTATTATATTATATTATACTAGATGGTGAAAAGGTAAATAAAAAATATTTTAATTCGAATTCAAGAAAAAATTTGTTATCTCCTATTGAGATTGGCTTGTAATCGATAAAACAAACTTACCTATAATTTACTTTTGATAAAAATTTTCAATGAATCGACGCAATGTGGAAAATATTTATCTCAATGAAAAATTTATTGGTAAGAAGAAAATGTCTATTTTTCTGTTAAAGAATTTTTTTCTCCGCGAAAAATATAAATATGCACGACGAGTGAAATATTTAACAATTTTACGTTGAATGAATCCATTTGTTTTCTTCGTTCGTTTTGCAATAACAATAACAAAATACTTTACTGATGGGTTTTTTTATGATGGTCATAATAAGAGAAATTTCTTTCTGTTATTTCATGAAAAAGATTGAATGATTACTCATCAAAATAGAATTTAATGTGTTCGAAAAGAATCAACAACAATTATTTTGCTATGTCAACTAAAAAAGTTCTTTTTTGCAAAGTTGTATATCATCGAAAAACATTATTTTTTTCAAATGAAGTTACCTGTCAAAAAAATATTTGTTTATATAAAAATTTAAATTTACTTATTAGAAAAATTTCGTAGATAAAATACTATTATGGATAAAGTATATTTCGTTTTTCTCAAGCAAAATAATTAATTTATCAATAACAAACTATAGAAGTGTTCCCAGCAGAATTTTAGTTGATTTCAATGTTTTTATTTTTGAAAATGAAGCATGAAAAGAAAAGTACATATTTACTTTCATTTTAATAAAAACATTGAAGAAAAATTGAGATAAATTAATCTTTCTATTGCAATGATTTGTGAATATTTAAAAGTAAGAAATATTTATTTAATAGAATCTTATCATGACTTATTTCTATTTCTAAATAGAAGATTTTTTATAGAATTTATATCGCTTAATATTGAAACTGGTCTACATACAGACAAAAAAGTATCTAATATTTGCCAAGAATACATAAAATCAGTGTGAACAACATAAACCGATATTAATTGAAGGATGTAATAATAAATGAATTATTTTCATATATTTATGATGCCCATAGAATTTGTAAAAGCGTTTGTAAAAAAAATTTATGAAAATCTAAAAGTATTACTACTTAGATCAATATTTCTATACAATCGATTTGAATATATTTGTCAGACTATATGAAAAAATTATTCATCAATTATTTTTTCAATTTTATGGTTGCTAAGTAGTGTTATTTAAGTTATGTTTTGTCAATGTAAGAATTTCGTTCGTTGCTTCATTGAGAGAAAATACAAGAGAACACATTAATATAACGAAGAAAGAAAGAAAAAAAAATAGATGAGCGTGCATGCAATGATGATCTAGTTGTAACAGTAAAAAAGTGTAGTATAACTCAAACAACACACTCGATTATTAAAAGTAAGAAATATTCTTATTGCTAAGATATATAGAAACGTTTAATATACATAAACTATAATTAAATAAAATCATATCTCATATTTCATAAAAGATTTTATACAAAATAATGATTGATACATTTGACAGTATCTAAATAAGATAATATGATAAATATTATGAATTATTTCAATATGACTCTTTATAGTTTGTTTAATGCCGTTATGTGGCAGTGGCGAAAATCTTCGCGTGATGAATGGCAATCTTATTCTGATATTGAAAATGCTATAATAGAAGATGCGTAACATCAAAATGGTAAACAAGTTGAACTTGATAATAATATAACCATCGATTTGAAGAAAAATATTCAATTTGATTCTAATAAAAAGAAAGATAATAAATCGATGGAAATTAGAAGATATAACAATGAAGAAGCTTCATCATCATCATTTATAACAGATCGAAAACGACGAAGTGAACGATTTTGTCTACCACCTAAAATGATATCAAATAATAAAAGTTCAAATACATCAGTTAATGTCGCCGATTGGAATGGATCAAAATTTGTTTTCGAATGGCAAATGAGGTTTGTTTTTATTATTATTAATAAATCTATTTAAAATACTATATTTTGTTTCATCATTAAAGATGTCAAAATCTTGAAACACTTTCATTTGGAGATATTATGCATGAAGCTCTTGAAGGAATTTATATCGAAGGAAAAAAGATTGGTCAAGAACATGAAGCTCAATGGATTATTGATCATTATGTACCAATTACAAAGCAATCAAATAAAAAGATTTTTCAAGCATGTGTTCGTCTATATACAGCAGAAAGTTTTGTATATCGTCTTATTAATACGGCTTTACGTGATAATGATTGAACTAAAGTGGATACACTTGGTGCATTTTATTATTTATTATTTCAATTTAATTTTGCACAAGAATTTAATGATTTAAAATTCTTAGGTCGTGTTTATCGTGGTGCCAATCTGACGTCATCGATTGTAACTGAATAATTTTTTGATTCAACAGTATTATTTATTATTGATATTGATGAAGATAGTGCTTATTCTTCGGCAAGATCTATTGCCAATTTATCGATGTATCCACATGAAGATGAAGTGTTATTGAGACCAGGAATACATTTTATTATCAATAAAGTTGAACAAAATTCATCATCAACAAATAATATAAAAACATTAATATATTTGATAATTGAATAAAATCAAATTTTTATTTTTAATTATTAAAAATAAATAAATAAATATCAGAATAGAATCACATTGATTCTTAAAATGTTAAAATTCTGGATTACATAAATAGAATTTTGTTTTTTCTTTAATCAGTTTCTATCACCACCATATGAAAGTTGTTTTACAATGACATATATACTTTATCATATTATTCTTCAATAAGTTATTGTATTGAACGATCGTTTTAATTCGATTAAAATCATATTTTGAAGTATCTGTCACACGTATTGAATGAAGATGACGAGTATTTTCATTCTCTTGAGATAATAAAAATGTTAACCACGATCTTATATTTGAATTCATAGAAAAAGAAAGATCTTCTATTCGAGGACAAAGATGAAGAAGAAATTCAATGTGTTCCAATTGACAACGATTATAAATAAAAATATTTCTCACATGATTTATTTTTGATATTATTTGAAATTTTTCACTTTGTTGATTTAACATGGCGTCTTTGTCTGATATACCACCAACTCGAAGTGTCAATGTATGAACATTAGATGCAATAGTTAATAGTTTATAAATTAAAGTTAATGATTGATAAAAACGAACAAAATGTAATGTCGTCAGTTGTTTTACAGGAAGAATATGATTTAAGGTTGGTAATAAAGATACTTTGTTCTTCTCCTCATTATCACTACAGGCAAATGTGAGTTTAGTAACATTAGGAAAATAAGTTCGACAATTCATCAATGCATTTTCACATTGTATATCTAGATGAATAACAGAAGTCATCGAATCAATTTCAGTAGTATTTTCGTTTCCGAGTAAAAAATATTTCTTTCTGAAAAAACTTAAAAAATTTGATAAAATATATAAATTATTTGTTACCGATATGGATTAATTGAATATAAATTAATATATGAATCAAACATAATTGAATATGAACTACAAACAAAAAACCATTGTTTTTCTTGCCAAAACGGAGATTGAAATTGTTGAATGATATTTTCTCTCATCAACGGATCATTTGTTTTAAAACTGATTTGAAGAGCAAAAATTCTCAAATGTTGTGTCGATGTTGAAATTAATTTTTCCCATCGAAATCCATTTATATATTCTCCAGCACATGCTCGTGAAATATTTAATACTTGAAGTTGTGTAAAATAGTTTTGAATAAATAATTCAAAACAATTCATAGATATCATTGTTTTCTTAATTGATAAATGTGTTAAATTATTTGATAGAATTGAATTCCTATTATTTATTTGGTTAACAAATTTTCCGGATAATCGATCAATGGATAAACGATGTAATTGTGGTAGATATGATAAAAAAGGTATCAAATTTTCAAGATAAATACCATCTTCGATGATGAAATGTTCAATAAGACTAGCGTTTTTCGAACAAAATGGTAATATTTCATTATGCGCAGATGTTATTAATTTCATTTTACAATATTTTAAATTTGGTATTCGAAAAATATCCAGAAAATAATGATTAGCAGTTTTCATACTTTCAATACATGATATAGTTAATGAAGAAAGTTTTGGTAAAGAAATTAAATCTTGAAAAATATTTTTCAATTGTCTTTTATCAACATTATTTAAATGAAGAATTTCTAATTGAATAAAATTTGATAAAGATTTCCAAATTGAATCAATTATAAATGGATTTGTTAAATGTAAAGATTTCATTTGATATTGATTTGGTATTAGAATTTGTTTATGATAATATTCAAATGTTGATTTTGACATTGATGAACAACTTACTTCGATATGTTGTTTAGAATTTCGAAGAAGATTTTCAAATCTTATATTCAAATCTGAGAAAGCAATATATTTATGATGAAAATTGAGGTATTCGAAGATTTTGTACATGATTTCATTAGCAAGATATTCAAAAGATATTCGTTGAGATGAAATAAGATCATCGAACTTATTCAAGTCATTTGGTTTTACTAAAAGAAAAACAATATATTAAAAGGCAATATTAATAGATCTGATTAGTACCTTGTAACTTCTGCTTCTTGTTATCGTTATCTTTTAAATCATCTTCTCGTTGTCGTTTTATTTCTTTCATAATTGTAATGAGAATAAAATTTGTTTTTTTGCTACCTACATCTCAACACTGAATAAAATATAATATGATAAGAATCATTGTATCGTCGAGTGCTCAGGCAACGTGACAGAGACCAGAGAATAGAAAGAAAAAATATTATATTTTTTATTACATCAATGCAATTTTTTTTTCTTTTTTCATTCTGTTATTTTTATTAACAGTCGACGACTTCTGTGTTCCAGACTTGTTATTTTTGAGAAAAAAAAATATTTGATTTTATCATCAAACAATCGATTAACTTTCTTCATGAAGTTATGAATGAAATAAAACTAAGACTCAAATGGTAGTTTAGTGACATTTATTTCTTGTTTATTTTATAAATATATAGAAATTATAAATATTACTGTTACAGATAAGATTAATTGCATCAGGTTTATTTAAAAATTCTATTCATAGTTATTGATCAAAAGTTTTATCATTTATATTCATATCAGGATCTTCTTTCGTAAAGACTGTTCCAACAAAACATATCAAAACACCAAATAAACAAATTGTTATAGCAAGCTTTTCATTGTAAGATAATTTATGACTGTAACCAAGTCGACGATCGAAATGCACATTATCTTCTATTAAAAATTTCATATCTTTGCACTTTTCATGAATAAAAGTGGCGATCTTCGATAGAGACTGTTCTTTATAGTTAACGTGTTGATCAAGAAAATCTAGAACATCATTTGTAAAACCAAGCTCTTGTAATGCTAAAATAGCTTCAGCATGACGCTTTGTATTTCCTGTACCACCTTTGCCATAGGATATAAGTACATTAGCTGCTTTGAAGAATTCTGTAGAATTGCGTGCATTAATACTACGTGGACATCCATAAGTTGAGATAATCCCAAGAAGTGTCTCACGACCAAAAATTCGTTCAGTATTAGCAATTAGATTAAGAAAATAAGCCGGATTGTAATCTTCCAAACCAGTATTACCACCTCCTGTTATTCGCATCAAAATATGTGTTTCATTCTTTGCCAACATCGTCCAGTGACTATTGGTTACTGCATATTGTGGAGTAATACCATATTTAGCTATAATTTTCTTCAAATGACTATTATTATGCATTAGTGCATTGATAGAAGTACCAGTAGCAACAGTAAGACGATGTCTAGATACAGGGGAACTCATGTTCAATTTATTTTCCATTTTGTTAAAAATATTTCTAGTAAATCTACTTGTTCTTGCTTGATCAAATTGAAATTTAGCTTTGTATCCTGGACTTAAATGCATATGTGAAGCATAAATGAATTGATCATTATCGGTAATAACACCAGCTAGTCGAGCTTTTCCATTCGTTAGTTCATCTTCTGCAAAAAGAATATGAGTGATATATTGTTCAAGATTTATTCCACCATGATCTGTCAGAATTTTTTGTTTTCTACATTGAGCTTCCATTAATAAACTACCATCGTTATGATAGCGAGTAGCTTGTATAATATTAGCATTTTGAGCACCGAAGAAAAACTCTTTTTCATGATCTGATAGTTGCTCTGATTTAATACCAACAGTTTTTTCAATTAGTTTGTTATTAGCACTAGTTTCTTCACTTCCAATATGAGTTAAATCAACATGAATGGAAATTGATTGTGAAGGATCTCTATCAGCATTACTACTAAGTGGAATTTTACTGAGACGTTCAATTAAATGTAAAACATCTTGAGAAAATGCGGATTCTAAACGATTTAGATCATGTTCAGTCATTAAACCCAATCGATAACGTATCATCTGATAAAACCAATTAAATTCATTTCCTAAATAGATGCGTAGTTTTCCTGGAGTGAGACTAGAAAATTTCAAGTCAATTTTTCGAAAATCAGGATGTAAACTATCTTCGATCGAACAACCTTTAATATTGCGAATCAAAAATGGTAATAATAATACATGTCCTGTTAATTCAGATTCAGCATTTAATGCTGTTCCATGTCGTACATGAAGTTGTAAAGCAGAATGAGCAAGATTACTTTCTTTAAAAGGACCAGATATGTGAATGATCTTCGATAATTTTATTTTATTCATTAAACTAGCAATAACAGCTGTATCCAACGCTGCTGGACCACCAACAGTAAGCAATGCAGTCTGTGACTTATTCTTATGATATTCATCAACATGTTGTGGAAAGTTTGCAATTGATGAGAAAGTGATCGTACGTGAACGCTGTTCGTTAGTGGATAGAGATGGAGGTGTCAGTAATAATTCAGTGAGAAACTTTTCATTTGTATTATTGACTAGAATTTTTGCAGCTGCTTTCAATGTGTTCTGATCACTAGTAAAAAATCCTTTGATATTGTCACCTTTCTTCAATGCATTTTCGTGAAATACTATTGCTTCTGACAAACTGTCGAATGATTTATGATCAACGAATTTTTGTAGTTCTTCATGTTTCGGTAATGTAATCGTTCTAATACCAAAATATTCAGATAAGATTGTATTATGAATTCCATAACGTAGATATTGTCTTGGATTCACCAGTTTAGTATAATTATTTCGTGTGAATTGTCTCAGCATGAGATTTTATTTAAAGTTAAATTCTAAAACAAAAAATATCTTTTAAAACAGCTTCCTCTGACGCTCTATGAATCTACACATCAAGACAAGAAATAGTATTGAGGAATAATAAACGTCAAAATATGACTACGTAGTTTTGGAACCCATTAATTCAGAATAAAAGTAAAAGTATTTGCTAAAATTCAGAATATCTTGAACTCAACTCTAATCTTCACATATAATATGTTATTACTATTCAAAACAAAATGTATTCTCCTACTTCCTTGTAATACTAATAGTGCAAAGAATCTTATATAATTTTTATCTGATATCAAAGATTAAAACGTGTTTGAATCATCTTTATATTCTTTTCCAATTTTATTACTCACCTTATCTAACTTCGCTTTCACATAATAAAATATTTACTTTCCAACATAAAATAAAAATGTATGAATAATAACTGATAAATGTATTAGTCATTTGTTTTTTTCGATGAAACTGACGCCGCTTTCTTTCACTTCTGCACATCTTGGGAGTGTGCGTGGATGTCAATATTCTATTTTATTCACATCCATCCACATCCCCCAATCTAAACGTCAAGTTTAACACTACGAATCTTCACTATGTTTTAAAATTACCATTACTAGTAGTAAAGTATCAGAAATATCTAAGAAAAAAGAATAGCCATCAATCTTCAGACAAATGAATAAGCACGTTACATAAATGAGATTCATTATTATCATATAGAAAAATCATTGATAAAAGATCTTCCTAGTCGTAGATCTAATAGATGAATCATATTATACTTGCTTAAAACGACGATTTAATCTTCTTCGAAAAGTTAAATAAATTCACATGGTCAAATAATAATAACAAGACAAAAACAAAAACAATCACTTTTTTTTCATTCTTTCTCTTTTCATACATATAATTCATCACAATAACAACATAACTTATTATTCTAAGTTCCTATACACAAATTCACCACATACGAAATGAACTCTTAAAGATCAGAAGTATCCTTCATTCTCAGGTTTATCTCTTGCTTTCTTCTTATTACTTCCATTAATGCTTTTCCTGTTGTAAAATTTTAATATTCTGATAGCTATGAGCACCTTTGAGATGGATTAGATACTTAGTAAATTTAACTGTTAACAAAAGAAGCAGAGTAGTTGTGTCCAATGTTCCGTGTTTATTCTTAATTTTTTATTATATCTTTTCATAAATAAGCATATAACTAATGTGTAATAAACGACGGCATGATTAAACTTTTCAGCATGTTTATGAAATCTTAAAAATCAATCTCAATGAAAGTTTCTCTTTGTAGCCAATCAGAATATTACGGCTGTTCTTATTTACACTTTTTAAAATTGTTGATAGAATACGTACGTTTCTGACATCCACCAGTCACATTTTTTTTTGTGAGTGTACATTTTTCATTCTTTTGCAAATCGAACATAAAATTTACATTGTCCTTCACTTTTTTAAACACAAGCAACAGTAAACATGAATTTTGCTAGTCCGTTGCAATTGTATTTTTTCTTTGGTTTTATTCAAAATGCTTCTCGAACGCCAGTTAATTTAAATTTTCGTCCGCAACGCGATCCAAAACTTTTCTATCATACCAATGAGACAATCAAGATTGTGCATAATGATTCGAAAATACAACCTACTGTTGAACGACGAGAAATAGAAAGTGCTGAACATGTTGTTACACTCGAGGCGACTAGAATCCATATAATTAATTTGGTAGTAAAACTTAATCCATCAAATGAAACTGAATCAGCTCGATTATTGAAACGACCTTATTTCGATCGTTTAGAAAAAAGAGAGCGTGACGGTGATTTTCGATCTCTCGACCAACAACTTCGATCGGCATGGATGTTTTTTCCTTCACCAGAATGTTTGATAACACCCGACATTGATGTTCATGAAGGACAAAAATGGTCTGCTATATTCAGTGGAGGTGCATTCGAAGCTCATTATGAATTGATTAAGGTTGATGATGAACAACATCTTGCATTCGTCGAAGGTCGTAATTGTGTTTGTTCGAATGGATTGAATGGAAATAAGCGATGGAATGGCTCATGGACGGTGGATACTCGTACTGGAATAATCAAACAACTAAACATTAAAATTGAACATCGCGAAGATCATATTGGAAAAGTAACACACAAAACAATTGCCAAAGTATTAGTACGAGAAGCAGAAGCGGAGACACTTTTCGATTATGAACTTGACGATGGTGATGAAGAACTTTAGACTCAAACTTCATAGACTACAAACTTTTTTACAACATTACAAATATTTTCGTCAAAAAGTTATAGATCCTTATTGACTGAATTCTTTCTTAAAAAACGTTGAATTTTAGTGATAAACAAGCGTTTGCCCAGATCAAACTTTTTTATTCAGAACTTCATATTTTCAGTTGTTCTTGTAATAAAACAGCAAATTTATGTCTTAGCAGAAATGATACCAAACCGCTTTTCAAAAAAAAAGTTAAATATGAAATAAAAAATGATTCTCGTCGTTTATTGTCAATAATGCCCTAAAATTCATCGAAAAATTGATTAACTGTAGAAATATTATATCTATAATCTAAATGATAGATAATACAGTCAATATCAATTTTATCTTCTTTATTTTCATATTAGTCAACGGATTATATAATATGAAAAAAATATTACAGCTGTTTGAAAAGATTATTTTTTTTTCTTTATTTCAGTCGGTAGCAGCTTGTAATACACGTGTCATGTGTAACTCTTCATTGTTTTCTTCCTTTTGCCACTGTGGATACTCGTTTCGTTGTGCTTTTAGTTTGTGTGCGACCCGATGACGTTGTTCGATACCAAGCGCATCCTCTTTCGCAATTTCCATTTCAATCAATGCTGTATATTGAGCTTCATTTCGTGCAAATGGTTCGAAACCACGATAAATCTTAGTAATCGAACGTGTAATAAACTTTTTATCAATTACATTCGTTACTTTTATACTTTCAATAAGTGATAATATAAAACAACGCATTTCACCATGTATATCAATACTGGTTAACGATGGCAGTTGCATCAATTCTTGTTTTAAATTGGCGAGTAATTGAGTATTATTCGATTCATTATCACGATTTGTAGCAGCTCGTTGAATGATAGATGAACCCATTGGAAAATTGAAAACATTGAGTACATGACAAATTGTTTCAAGGAGTTTGGTCAAATGAAGCTGTTCGCTTGCCATTTTTGAATTGATCCTTGCTTTTGTTCTTTTCTTGATATATTTATATGCTATTATATTCTTACGCAAGATGAATTGAAATGATGAAAATTAAGATAACACTGGCTTATATATCGTACATGACGTTATCGATAAGAAAAGAACCAATTGAAAATGTTTTGCAAATGCGTTAACTGTAATACTTTGCACCTGTAAAGTGCGTCACTACTGTCTGTTTCAAAATAAAAGGGTGTGAATAAATTAAATATGAGTATATTTATTTATCAGATATGCTGAAATCTAATAAGACATTAACTGTGTTTGAATAAAAAAATAATATAATTTTCAAAATAAGAAAAAGACAAACATTAATCATCTATTCAAATAAAAAAATTATTTTAATCTTCGATTATAATAGTTTTATTATTATTTTGGTAGAACACGTGCTAATATAATATTAACCCATTTATGTTCATCGCTCCATATGTGTTCAATTTGAAAAGCAGCATTATTTAAAAGCATAGTAATTTGCTCATTGGTAAATTTTTGACTATCTTCGATATGAATTGTTTCTCCTTGATTAAAATAAATAATATGTTCTTCAGATTGATTAATACATTTCACTTGTTGTGAACACAAACTCTCAACATGCTTTTCTACTCTTGAATGATGTTTATTCCATATAACTTTATAACGAAATTGATCAAGATCGAAATTATATCCAAATTCACGATTAAGATGACGTAATACATTCAAATGGAAAGCACTCGTCACACCATTCTTATCATTATAGGCTGGCAATAGTACAGCAGGATCTTGACACATATCGACACCAAGTAACAAGGCATCTCCTGCCTTTAATTGTTTATGTACATGAGAAAGAATTCGTGTGGCTTCTTCTCGAGAAAAATTTCCAATCGATGAGCCAATATAAATGACTAATGTACATCCATCAAAATTTGGTAGGATAAACTCGTCTGTTACGTAATTTTTAATCTGTGGTATGACGCATACATCAGGTACGAGACATGTTAAGCTTGATTGTGCTTCGGTAAGTGCCGATGATGATACATCAATTGGAAAGTAATCAATAGCAGATCCTTGATGTTTTACAGCAGCTGCAAGAAGAATAGACGTTTTACTAGCTGTACCAGCACCAAGCTCGACAATACGAAGACGTTTATTTCGATTATCTACAGTCTTAACAATAATTTCATCGGCATTCGATTTTAAAATAGAACGTTCGGTTCGTGCAACATAATATTCGTCTTGTAAAACAATTTTCTCGAAAATAAGTGATCCTTCATGATCATAATGAAGCCATTGAAGATTCGATAATGACTTAGGATGATTGACAAGACCTGATAATATTTCGTCAGCAACATTCATCATTCCTCTTCGATTAAAAGCAAATTAAGTGATTTATTGATTAATTGTAGATCTAATTAGATAAACAAATTTCAATCTTAACAATTTCGAAAGAAACTAGTTAAAATAAGAGATAAAACTGTCTCAACTAGATGCTGTTAATTGCTTCATTTTCTTACTTCTCAGATAAAATTCGTCCAATCACTCAAAAAGCTGCTTTAGTTCTATTAATTTATGTTACACTTACTGTTACAAGGCCATCACTTTCATAACTGAATCAATCAAGTGAAGAAAAGGAATCTTTTCTTATTTACTAACTGATTTATTTAAAAAAAAAACTAGCTATTTATACCTTTCCTATATAGACATACACATGGAAGATATCAAGAAACCCGTATAGAAGAGAGAGTGATGTAAGTGCAGTCCTCTTACTTTCGGTTGAAGCAGATAAAAGGGAAAGACCTGAGCGAATAATATGATCGTTATGTGGAAAATAGAAGAAAAAAGAGAAAAGAAAGACGTATACATCCACACTTATACCAACGAAAAAGAAGAAAAATCAGAATAATACGAACAGTATTAGAGTGCTCTTAAATAGTTACTTTCAATTTTTTTTTCTTTTTGATAGAGACCTAAACTTGTGAAGATTGATTAGTCAATTCAAACAGCAAATGAAGCATATTATTTTAATCTTCAATCAAGAAAATAATATACAGAAAGACAAATACAATCCTTAACATTTATAACTTTGCTTGGTAATATTATCAAATGTCGAAAATATAAAGTCAAGAAAGAAAGAAATGTCGATTGATAACACTGGATGAGTACGCCAAAATAAATGAGTCTTGTAGTATATTGTATCAATATATCATTTAATTCTTTTTGTTTTAATCTGAACTTTTTCTCACAAGATTAAAGGTTAAGTCCGCTAGAGAAGCATAAATAAATTTATGTGCCTAAAGTGCAATTAAAAGAAGGGTATGAGTGTAAAGAAGAGTGAAGACAATATTATGTAACGACATCCACAACCTCAAGATGCAATATTTTTTTTCAATTCCTGAGTAAATTGGTCTTCAAAAAATAACACGATAAAATATATGAGAAGAAAGTAAATTTGGACAAGGTGTAAAAGAATAAAAAAAACTGGAACAACAAGTGTTTAGGATGGATCGTGTCAGAACAATTGTAAGGGAGGAGCTGTCACATACGGACGTGAGTGGATAATGCTCATAACAAATGGAGACACTACACTATGTCGTGGTCCGCTTGATTTTCTTTCCTGCATTAGTTTGATTGAACTTTTACTCTGATCTTTCTGTAAAACAATGGTCCCATTTGGGATCTGTTCTTTTCGTGGAGTAATGACCGGCTTTGTGTCATTCTTCTTCTTCTGCTTCCCGTTCCCCTCGATCCTAGTCGGAGCAAGCCATTTTTTAATTTGAGGATTATTGTATAATCTTAAAACCATTTAAAATACAAATTTTAATAGAAAGAATTTAATTGAACTATACCGATTAATTATTTCGTTTCTGTCAAGTTTATCGTGATTTGTTGGATTTTTGAATATAGCAGTAGCGATGTCCTTCAAGTCTTCACCATAGATAGGCTCATCTAAATCGATCAAGTCACGCTGAAATAGAGGAAAAGACATGCTTTATCTGAAGATTTTCATTAGAAAATACCATAGCTTTAATCATTCTTATTAATTCTTTTTCGTTTAATCGGTCATCCTGCGACTTATCATACCTGTGAAAAAGAAGAGAACATATATTAAACTGAAATTAACAATCAATTTACACATCAAATAGGAGGCCAATATGATCTTTAAATTCCAATTGACTCGGAGGTGAAAGAGCTAAAAGAAATTCTTCAAAAGTCAGAAAACCATCTTTGTCTGTGTCGTACGTATTAAAAATGGCACTAAAAATTATTAGATAGGTACATTATTCAAGACATTATACAATTTGACTATACCTGCAAAACGAGTCCGCATGTCGTCGACGAAAATATTTTACAAAAATGTGTCTAAACATCGCTGTGGTTAGTTTTCCATTGGGACATTCTTTGATGAATTCCTGTAATTGAGAAACACGTATAAAACCCTGAAACACAATCAGTCCAGCGTACCTGATACCATTCTTGTATTTCTATAAATAAAGTTTAATAAATAAGTGTAAACGATAAAAATAAAGAAATTACCATCCTCTGAGAGTCTAGTTAGTGCTTGATATCGTTGATTCACTGGAAATGTATGAAATTAAGTGTACAAGTGAGTTAAAAAAAATACTTTGAGTTACTCACATTCCTTATTTAACTTTATCGTAGATTTTTTATTACCCATATATAGTAACTGAGTGGTTCCGATAAATAAGGAATAACGACGACGAAAAGGCTATCTAAAAGAAGAGACTTTTGTTAATTTTATCAAAATATATACTGACGTTTTCACTCAGAACGGCTTCAGCATATTTGAACAACACAGAAGTAAATCGAATGAATTAATATAATAAGTTGTTACTTGTTCTCCACAGATTAAAAAGTTATTTTTAAATAAAAAGATAAACACAGAAGTTTACACACACACTCAGAAGCAGAGAGTGTCAAAAATCTTTTTGTAGCTAAACTTTTCATCTATATTTCGTTGTATACTCTTGTCGTTTAATAATATCTACTTGTGAGAAGCTATGGGGTTTCTGGACGATGTTATTCCTCCTTTTGTTATATATTTATAGTTCGCTCTAACAGTTTGAAGGAGTTTTCCCGCATCTTCCCATCCGCCTGCGATATTAGAACTTGCTTCAGTCTCCTGCACCATTATCCATACTATGGATAGTATACAAAGTGTCGCTACAACGATGAGAACAACGAATGTTAGTGAGGTTACGCTTAATTGATAATAGTATAGCAGAATTACGCCTGGAATCATTAGAATCGGTATCACAAAGTAAATTCCAGTTACAACTATCACAGCAGCAGGATTCTTGAAAAGCCTTAAATTACAAGCACTGCAATGACAACATAAATTACAGCAACAGCATTTGGTTCGAGCAGTATCTTTATTAATACCGATTGTCTTAGCAGCTATACGATGTATGCCAGTGGCGATACCCAAACGTTTGTTAAATGCAAGCAGGTATATTCGTATTATAGCTTCAGCCATACTGCCGAAAGCAACCAATAATCCTGCTGTAACACCTAGTTGCGTCGTAACATCGGATGTCGTTAAATCACGCGCAATCCAACGAAAACATGCTCCCGAATGAACATCGATTGGAAAAGAGGCAGTTTGTCCTGTATCACATGAAAAATATGTATAATTGTTACCACAAAAACACTCCATTGGACCAATAGACGGACACGGGCCATCTTCATAAACACTTGATGTAGTTAAGAAAAGGGAGTTGAAAGCAGCTATGAGAGCACCGGTAATGATAATTGTTGTTAAGGTCATTAAGAAAATTAAGGTAGCTTTTTTGTGCACAGATATATATCTCCCATAAACATTCAATACTTCTCGCACATGTTCGGAAGGCGACTCAGACTCTAGAGATATTTCTTGCTTCGTTAACGCCGATATGTTGGTTGCATTCTCATTATTCTTCACACCAGCACTCTTCGAATCTTCTTCAGAGTTTTGGCTTTTAGATTGCTCATCGCCCGATAATGTTGAGTCTAAGTCATTACCTGTTGTACCAGTAACGGCTTCACGAAGTTGTTGGCCTTGTGACCATAAAGTGATTGCATAATTTTGAATAACGTCTGTAGATAAATTAAGTTTTTCATCTTTGCGAACGATGATATGATGGGCGTCGATGAAGCAACGTTCTATATTAAGAAGTTGAGCGACAATACTGTAGAATACAGTATCGTTTTCATATAGTAGGATTAACAAGACAGCAAGTGTTAAAACAAAAATGCCAACGCTAGTGCCAACACTGCATCCAATCCAAGCCGAATAGCTCCAAGTCATCCGAAATCTAGAAAAACTCTAAGAACAGTACCTCTGCTCAGGAAAAAATTATGGAGTTTTGCCTGACAGCCTTTGAATTACAAACCGTTCTGTGGTACAACTGTGAAATTTGAAAGAGCCCCATGTATTCATACTAAACCGTAGAAGTTTAGGTATAGGTTTACAAGAAATTAAGAAGATTCTCCCGACGCATACTGCCCGTCACACAGTTCTGTCTATTAAATTCTCAACTGAAGACAGTTCTGTTTTACTTCTATTGAATCGAAAGGAAGTAAAATAAGACGACTGGAAGCTTCTAGATTTGAAAAGAAAGATTCAATTGTGGTAGTAAAATAGAGAATAGAATAAATTATGTGGGTTTTTTTTATCGATTTTAATTATAACTGTATTTTTTGGAGTTGACAACAATACAGCGAAACCAACTAACATACAATTCTATTATGTTTGCAAAGAATACAGTATACATAAGAACGCAAAGCATATCATAAAAAGAATCACAAGAAATTGCGCTCTTGGGAAGAAACACACAATGAGTAGTGACATTGTGCCGTCGCGATCGGGTGTGAGTGTATTAGAATGCTCACATCTACACCCTCATCATTCGTGTATTCATAGGAAACTCACAAAGGAACACCTTCCTTGACTCTTTCTTCATCCTTTAAAAAAAATCAACTGTGGGTTTTTTGGCATTGAGAATTTTATTAGGTTTCAGTTTCAATCAAAACATGTTTACAAAATACAACACAGTGAAAGTAATTTAAAAACAGCAGAAGAATAGCCAAGGGTGGGTGTGGGTGTGACTTTAAATCAACTTATTCACACCCACACCCACACCCTTGAAGTATTTCGAACGTTCATTTCGAGTAGAAAATATATAAAGAAGTTTTATTTAATGAAAACAAGTGATAAATAAATCACATGCTAGAATATAATGAAAATATATATTTAAGAAATCGTTCTGTGTTAACATTTATCGATGACAGCAGTTTCTTGTCCATCGTTGAGTTTACATTGGCATCCAAGATTGAAGGGCCCTTGGCAATAACCACCATTAGAATTGGGGACGCGAATTTTACAGTAGGTTGAACAAGCAAATCCTAGTGGACAACCACATGATCCACCTTGCACATTACCTAAATTCATATAAACAATTAAAATGACAAAATTTATTTTAATTTTGATTCAAATGCTCAAATAAGTGTAGTTTATACTTACATATCTGTGCAGTTAAAACCAGTGCAAATAAAACAGCAATGAATATCATACGAGCCATAAATATTGTCGTTCGATCAAAAAAAATAAGTAATAAATGAAAAGAGTTGTAATACAAGCTTGATTATTTATAGATCGTTTAAAGTTGAATTGCGTAGTTTAACTACGCACGCGAATTATATTATTATATTTTATGGACAATTGAATTTTTAAAGAAAATAATTATACAAATATCAAAATTCAATACAGAAGCTTATTTTGAATATCTAATCCACTTTCAAGATTTGTTTTTCTTCATTAAATTATACATAAAATATTTTTTTTATAGATTTCTTATCATTGTAGTAATTAATAATACGCAAAATAATATATATTTTCGTTGTAATTATATATCATGGTCTACATAAGAGTCGTATGTAAAAACAGACCCATTATACGTATTTTATTTATATTAATTCATCTTTCTGTATTTTAATAAAAATCTCATGGCATATATTACGTTTTTTATTTTGGTTGTGCTCATTTTTGCTGCGTAAATTTGTAAATACTCTTTAATTTTTTAGTGGCTGAAGCGTATATAATATTAAATAAATTCAGTTTAAGATGATGCTCAATAACGTTCGTGTGGTTGTCCATGGTCGGGTGAGGATGTGGACGTTTCTCTCTTTTGTCTCATATACACCCACACCCTTCTAATAATTCACTCTTGTCTGAAGAATATTTATTTTTTCAACATCTATTATATATTAAATCGCAAATTTTAAGTTGAAAATACATGTATTTATAAAATAAACATATTTCTATCTTAATATCTGTTTTTGTCTAGTATTGCTCTTCTTTTTCTATTTCAAACGTTTTTCGATTCCTAATAACCAACAACTGGTGTTAATAATATAACGTCCTGTGCCTGCAGAATCCCAATCGATATATAGTTTGGTAAAGCCACAGTCTAAACATAATCGTCCTTCTGTTGACGTCGTAGGTGGCTCATAAACAGCAATACAAGGATTACCATCAGTAGCTGTTGCTATAGTGAGGAGTGCCGTACGACTTTCTGGTGTTGAATATACTGGGTGACATATAGTATGACCTTCGTACAAATGTGTAATTCCGGTAAAGATTTCATGTTGACCAAAATTTCCAGTTTGTTGATGACCATTTTCTTTGTATGTCAGTGTTTGTGTAGCTTGATAACACCCATCGACAGTAATACCAAATTGTGTTTTAAGAAATTCAGATGCATGACATGTGTATGGTGGATTATCAGCAAATAAAAAAATACCACCACCAGTTGAATGAAAAGCTGTTAAGGCTGAAATAAATTTTGAGTTTTGAATACGACTAGTACTTATAATCCATGCGATCTCATAACGATTTGAAGCAAGTTCTTTTATACATTCGTCCTCGGTTTTGACGTGTTTCACTTGAAAGCCTTTAACATTTAGTTCATCAATTGGTTTTTGCATTGCTACATCATCAAACGGAACATCACTATATAATTGTGCAATTAAAATATTATATGCCCTAAATGCTCCATCTCGACCCAAATCATATTCTCTTCCTGTTGCATTACCATAAAGATCATATTTACTAGCACCAATAATATTACTTTTGCCTGCCACCTCATTATATAATTGCAATGGCGGTGAAGTAGTACTATTAGATGATGATGATAATGTACATTGTTTAACTGTTCTTGTCTTCTTTTTAGTAGATTGTTTTCTTACAGTGCCTGATACAACTGTACTTATAGTTTTATTTGATGATTGAAGTTTGCGTGCTAATGTACCACGAGTAATAGCTACCATGATCTAATTAACAATGAATTTTATAACATCTACAAAATAAAACAACAATTTATATAGTGAGAACACGATGTGACTATTGTGCAATATGTAATGTCACAACAGTAGCATACCTATTGTGTAATTGCATGTAATTGCACAATCGTATATGAAATCACTAAAAAAAATGATTTTTATAATATAGAAGAAGAAATAAGTAAACTACTAATCCGTATTTGTTTGTTAACACTTTTATTGTAAAATTTTAAAACATACAAAATTACCTGTAGTAGTAAATTATTTCTGTACACTTGAAAAAGTACATTTTGCGTCAATGTGTAGAAGAAAATTGTTCGCATGAGAAAGAACAATGAAAATTGCACACAACTGATTTTTGGTTGATTTAATGGAGTAATACAACATGATCAGAAAAGAAACTATTCTTGTGCATTCAAGACAAGATAAGCAAGGAAACAAACTAAAGTCTACATATTATTTTGGATAAATTTGATTTTTAGCTTTGTCGGATTATGATTCTATTGCGATTTAATCTTCAAAAATAGCTCAGGTAATAAATAGTATTTCTTTTAAAAAATTATTAGATGAGAATCTTTACTTAATTTTTTACATGTGTTTTCATTAGGTTGAAATTGAAATAAAGAATACTTATTATATGTGGAAATCCGAACATCTATCGAAGATCTTGGCAATTATTATTTCCTACCAAATGATGTTAAAGTGTTAGGTAATCAACTATTAACAGATGAAATATCCAAACCAATTCCATTGATCGTTCATTTTATAGTTGGTCAAATTGATCAAAAGACTGAAACACATTATTTCAAACACACGACACCTTTTGGAATTATCAACTATTTAACCTTTCTCGCTGCTCGTCGAAATCTTCGTCCTAAGAAATTCTTTGTTCATTTTTATGAAGAACTGAATACATTCTGGTGGAATATAACAAAACAAGATCGTGAAATTCATTTTTCTCTAATAAAAACGCGTTCAGTAGAGAATATTTTTGGTCATCCTGTTTATCATCATTCTCATCGTTCAGATATCTTACGACTTGAAATATTACTGAAATATGCTGACATTTCGTTCATTTAATTCATTAATGAATCTAAGTGACGTAGTGATGGGTTATCAAAATGACAAAGAGGGAATCATTGGCTCTTCCGTGATACTTAGTAAGAAATATACTGCATTTCTACGAAGAATCTATGATGCTTATCAAAGTTATGATTACACATGTTAGGCTTGTCATGCGACTGCTGTTCCAGGAAAATTAGCACAACTTTATCCTCAAGAAGTGGTTGTCTTACCAATGAATGCATTTTTTCTTCCAAGATGGAGTGAAGCAAACAGGTTTTTTGAATCAAATGATTATAATTTTACTTCGAATTTTGCCTCTCATTTATGGAACACACAAACTAATGATTATCTGAGTAAATTGACACCTGATATTATTTTAAATGGCAATTTTACTCTGGCGAGAATGCTTCGAGAAGCCCTGGGAAACGACACGTTTCACATTCTCAAAAAACTTTGTACTGATAAATCTTAGACGATTGAGTTCATATGAAGATATGAAATGTTGAGAATGAACGAGAATATCCTATTTAATTCATACTCTTGGCACTCTCACAAAATTAATAATTGGCAATTGTAATAATCTCATTCCAACAGTAGAAGTATTATGCCAACGCTCTATTACATCATATATTACAAAAATTAAACCTGAATATTATTATTATGCATATTTTGTAATTTCTTTTTATAAATAAATATTTAAAATAAATGATGTGTATATGCGATAAGGAATAAAGATAATATGGTGAGTACGTGAAAGTATTATATTATTCTAAGTCACAGCCACACTTCACCCTAAGAAAATTCTGTTACACTAAAACACAATATATTTATCTAGTTTCGATCATGCCAAATTAAAAAAAATATATTAGTGTTTTAATTTTGTATTTAATATTCAATCAATCAATGTACGTGAGGGTGTGGGTGTTTATTCTTCTCATTCATTACCCACACCCACGCCCTCAAGATGGTTGAAATTTTGATGATCGTCACCGACAATGTGCAATGTTATCTATCTTATGCATTTACCTGAGATAAGCATATATTTTTGCATTATAACATATTGAAGACACACTGATAAAATAGTATGATAGTGCATTTTGTAGAAAAAATACTTTTCATTCATGTGATCTCCATTCTTTATAGTCTCTATTTTCCAACATCTTCGCAGTGGAGATAATTAGGAACCAACGAACATAGGTTATTTTCTTCATTTTCTTTGTTTGATCATTGTTTTAGATTTAAAAGAAACGTGAATTTTAAGTGAAAATCTAATGGAAGGACGAAAGTATAATTTTAGACGATGTTTTCAAGCTCAAGATTCATGAATGTTTTGTTTGTCTAGGAAATTCTACATTGCTTTTAGTGTCGAAGCTGCTGTAGCTATGGTAACGATTTTTAGTCTCATGTCAATTTATAAGGTTGATTCATCAACACGTATGTATAATATTTAATTATGCATCAATCTAGTTTTTCTGAATAAAGTCCTAATCGAAGAGAAATTACCACTTGATAAGATATCATAGTTTAACATTATACTTTCTTTTATATAGCCACTGTTATTGAAGAAAAACGTGTACACAATCTTTTTGTTCAGAATAAACTTTCATTGGTAACAGTTAGTCTTGCAAAGGTTGATGAATTTTCATTCAATGATGGGAAAAAAGGTGTTAAAATGATGATGTCACACCCAATAGTCGACACAAATAATTATGCTGTCTTGATCAATGGACAATCAATAATAAATACGTCTTCTACAAAAGATTCTATAATAGTGAATGGAACATTCAATACTTCCACATTTTTCAGTTTATTTGCTTTGGACACATATGGTTTACCCATTTTCACGTCATTTCATTTTTATTTTGGATTGATTACGGTACCAGTTCACATTATGTTCACTAATAAAACTGCTGCTGTTGGTGTCATGGTAAATCTGAATTTGGCGGATAATCCTCGTGTTGGACAAACTGGCATAACGGATGATCATGGTATGATCACCTTCAAAAATGTACCACAGATGACCGTCTCTATTTTTGCTTCTACAAAAGATAATCAAATTGCTTTCGGTAGTATCATACCCTCGACCTTCCAAATAAATCTTACTTTAATTCCATTCCATAATGACAAACACACCAACGAATTGGAAAACCTGCAACATCTCGCAGTGACAACTTCAGGACAGACTATCTCGAGAACATTTATGACCAAGCCAAATGCAAATAAAGCCTTTGTAGAATATCAGTTTGTTACTTCAAAAATATCAGAAGATTTTTCTGATTCCGACTATAACGATTATTTTAGTGTAACATTACGCTCAGACAAAGGTCAATACATAACTAATATAGATAGTGTGAAGAGACTGCTGGGTCTTAACACTTTCGACTCGGCCACTAATGCAACAAGTTGGAATAATCTGACATTAAAAATAGACGCTGCTTCAGAACGAATCCGCTTCGATGTGGGTAAAGTCAATGTTGGTAATGGACGTTATTCGTCTTCAATCAATATTCGTGCTTACGGATCGGATCAATGTATTGATTGTGACAAAAATTGTGTAAAATGTACATCAGATCCTATGTGCCGCAATACATGCATGAATCCACCGATGCAAAGTTGTACATTCTATTCAGATTGTATGGAAGCGAAAGTGGCATGTGGTCCAAGTGGATACGCATTAGGTTACGGTATGAAATATTGTATGAAATTTTCCAATACCTTACAATCATTTAGTCCACGAGGTCAAAGATGGATATGGGATACGATGAACTGTTTGCAAAAGACTCTGGTATCACCATTGAAAAATTGTGAAAACAATTGTTCGATATTACGAAAAACTGCGTTCGATTCTCATCCTGGTTGTTACGTAAAGAGTGGCGTTTGTGAACTACCTGCATTCGATTGGATCACTATTGCTTCTATTGTCGGTAAAGATATATTTAGCTCCGACGGCTTTATTCAAGCATTGAAAACAGTACCACAGTGTATTCCTGATATTCTAGAACGAATTTCCTTACTTTTAGTGGAAGAAACATTGCCATATCCAGAGAGAATTGCTCTAATGGTTTTGGAAGCTTGGTTGCGATCACTCTAAATTTTTTCCGTTCAGTTTTATCTTTTATATCTTGATTTAAATTTTTCAATATTATTCATAATTGAATAAACACAGCCATCATTGAATAATCTATTTAAATTGCATTTTTTTTAAAGAATACAGTTAATGCTATAAGAATACTGATAGTCCGTTATTAACAGTAACACAAAATTGGTCTTAGTTAACGAGTGTTTTAATATACATATCAATGTTAACTGTACTACCGATGAGCAAGGTTTTCAGTAAATGCGAAGAGGATGCATTTCTACGAGAAAGAGCTAAGCGAGTCTTCGAACGAGCGTTACTTGTTGTTAGCTGGTTGCTTTTGAATGACGGAAAAAGAATAACCAAACAAATTAAGTAGTTCGATCACACTGTGTACATTAGTAACTAAACAACATTGCTCTAATAAAAATATATATACTTTTATTTAAAAATTTCTGACGTAAATATGATGAAGAACTAATCAACTGAATAAAATTTGCACATTTAGTTTCTTTTTAACTCGATAAGAAAAAAAATACAAATGAACCAATACATTGTACAGCTTCGCTAAATTCAGGATGTGGGTGTGGGATCCGGTGAAGCAATATTGAAAATAAATTATTTCCAACTTCGTTGTCTATAAGCTTGAAATTCTTGTTTAACTAAAAATTCCACGACCATTGTCTTAATCAATCTCCTTCATATTTTGTATGTCGTTATTTATTTTGTACGTACTCGAAGTTTAAGTGCTGCTAAAAGTTTTCAAAAGTAATGAATCAATTAAATGTGTTGCTGGAGTTGTTCATTAAAGTGTCTTTGTTCAGCTTGATCCATTGTCTTTGACTTAATATTTACAGGAATAAATCAAATTTTGTTTTCATCTTAAAGAAAAATATTTCCAAATTTGATATGAAAACAAATTGATAACGTACTTCTTTCCCATTATCTGCTTGTTGAATATCATCATATGTTATTGCTTTGTTCCATCTTGAGTGTGAAGGGGTGGGTATTAAATAAATGTGATACTTGTATCCACACCCACACCCGCAGTCATCAAATGATATCATTTCTCTTTCAAATAAATTTTAAACAAGAATAATCTTTGTGTTATTGCCAAAATTTTTTGTTTTGGTCTAAAAGCTAATGAAAGAGATGATACTGAATAAGATGGTAATTTACAAAATAGGTACTAGGATTATGAAGCTGTCACATACGTGAATGATAAATACGAGTTGCGATCTAGTTTTTGCTCGATTGGACAGTTGATGTTATTGCATTCGCTTACACTTTTATATGTTTGCAATGACTTGCTAAGGTGGTTAACAAAGAATTCATCTTCCGAACCATAACGATTAATGTATAGGTTAGTTACTATCTTTTCTTCAATACGTCGATGCTCAGCTATGTACTATTACGAACTTGAGAAATATCGTATAATTATATTTTATTTTAAGGGACTATTATTATTATATGGTACCAAAGAAAAACACCTATTTAATATGTCAAAGACTCAGATGAGTTCGATACGCTCTAAGCTATTCTTCCTTCATTAGTTTCCTTTCAAAAAGTGTTATCGAAATGTGAAAACTACTTGCAATGTATTAAGCTTCAGCCTTTAGATAAACACATTATACTCATCGGAAAGATGCATGTTATAATCATAAGTCGACAAAGAATTAAAACTATTTTGCAATACTTCTAAACAGCTAAATACTTTTTCAAGTCGATATTGCTCGATCTATGATACCAATTATTGTGGTCTATACGAAACGTACCATATTCCAATCTAATGAACGCAAATAATTCCCCATTTCGAGAAGTAGTGGAACTACAATGTTTTGTTGTTGCACTGCAGATAAAAGGAAATTTCAAAAATAATTGTTGTAAAGAAAGGCAAGTCGTATAAATTGTAAAAAATAGTCCATAGTACTTGCAGCCATAAATCTAACTGTCAAGTTTTCTTCCAGTAACAGCACCACCATTGTACGAAACAGTTAGATCACATAAGACACATTCTTTAGACTTCTCTGTGTCTTATTGATCTTGTAATTCATCTAACGTATTCGGTTCTATTGTCAGAAGAATACTATTATATTATAATTCATAAAAGATAAAATCAGCTTACAAAAATGGGTAATTTCAAAAATGAATATTTGATGATGAATCTCTTGTTTTGTCTTTTTCAATTCTTTATGTTCTAAATATGTTGATGAGTACTTTAAAAAGAATAAACAAACCGTATCACATGAACTCTTGCAATTATTTCAAAATAATTATGTTTGTTAATGATTATTATTACATATGCAAATGACCAATTATAATGAACAAACCAAATGAACATGCAAAACAAATATTAATTCAATATTTTCTTTTATCTACCTATTTTCATTTTTTTTACTAAGTTCAATGTAATTTTTCTTATTTGTACATCTACTACTTGCAATGAGAAGTCGCTTTTCTTGTTCTTTAAAAGTTTGACATGTAATTTTGTCAACAGAAAATCAGTTTTATTGAATGTGATTGTTGTATTCATATTTGATCAGATATAGAGTCGCGTTTTTGTTTTGCCTGTAGTACAGTTCCTGTACGAATTATATTTTTTCTTTTGGATAATGCAAACTTCTTTCCAGTTAATTGAGGATGTGAGTGTGGGTGGATGTGCTTTATTCATCTCTAACCCACATCCACACCCACTCACACCCACACCCATACCCTTGTTAGATAAAATGTGCACTGTGAAAAGCTTGGAACTACGTTTGAGGCTCATTTGGAGTTTACGCAGTGTAAGGCTCACTTATCTGGATCCAAGAATGTTTTGGTTTCGGTTCGGTTTTCAGTTTTATTTTTCTTGAAACTGCCAGGCTCTATAAACTATACTTGCAAAAGAAAAGCATCAAACATCGAAAATTCGTCATACAGGCATAAACTGAATGTACCGGTAATCGATATCAATAAAATAAGTGCATTGTTCGTTCTTCATGTATGTTTGACTCTTTTGTAGAAAACTTTCGATCGCTCTATATTTTTCGATCATTGTCAAGTCATTAGAGTTCCAGTGTAATACGTTTTTATTCCAGGGAAAATTGACATCCCTTTCAGGCCTGTTCCAGTAGCCATGATACCAAACGTCCCAACTGTTATGTGGAATCTGATAGAGAATATTAAACTTGACAGCTAAGTCGTAGCGAATAAAAAGTAAGTTATTCCACTCATAAGTGCCTAGGAGCACGTAACCAATCTGACAGGAGAGCAGATCCACCCATGCGGTCACACTGGCGCCGTACAAATGTTCACCTTGAAAAGCATGAACAGGTCGATAGCGTGTGTAGTAATATATTGGCGGTGGAAATTTTTCATTCATTTCTACTAAGACGTAGGCGGGGTTGAAATTAGTTCGAGTTTTATTCGAAAAATGTATGAATAGTGATCGAACGATAGTGTAATCATATCCATCGATATCGAGTTTAAAAATAAAGGGTTCATCAGGAACATTATTATCGAAGAACAGTCGTTGTACTGTGTGTGGTTCTAAAGCAGCTTGTACCTTACGTATATTTTTAGCAGGTAAGTTAATCTGAAGTTGTTTAAATTTCGCTTCTGAAAATTCAATGGCTATACCAGGAAAGTTGAACTCGATAAATAACGAATATAAAGGATCATGAGATCGCCCATCTGATGCTCCCCCATTCACTATATAGCGCGAGTCGTTTTTGACATATTCAGTGCCAGAGTAGTCAAGTATCAACAGCTCTCTCAGCTTATAATCAACATACGGCTTGTTATTTTCTAGTTGAAACGATGTACATTTTACGTTCAGCCATTCTCCAAATGAAGAACATCGCGGCTTAGGAATGTTTTCTGATTTCTGCCTATGGACAGAAAATACGCTTTCGTCGAGTTGGTAAAGTAGTTTATCTTCTTGACAGCCCCATTTAGTTGTCATTTTTAGATTTAATGCAGGAAATTTTTCTTTAAACCAAATTCTAACAAAAGCCACACATAATAGTAATAAGAAAGCCCATTTTTTCCTGCAAACGGATTGGACTGGCATAAGAAAAATTAACTTGATTTTCCAAAGTTCTCTGAGATTGATCATTTAAGTGTAAACGTAGGATCCAACTAGAGTTTTACAAAAACTCACGCGAAAACAGTTTTCCATATCTAAATGAAACACAAACATCATCACGATAATCAGTACACTTGATTATTTTTGTAGAAATCACCTATGGTTTTGAGGGTGTGGGTGATTGACTTTATATTCATACCCACACCCACCCTCCTATTACATTTTCTATTAAACTAGTTTATGATTTTGCTAAATAAATATCATGTGGGAGAGGCTTCAAAGAATAAGTCTTTGGTTGATGACAAACATAATCAAGATTTAATGAGTGAGAAAAATAACGTGCGCGTGAGAAAGAAGAAATAATACTTTCCGTATAGTATAGTGGCTAATAGCGTCTACATGCCACTCAATTATTCATTGATTCAACTGTTCAATTATTTCCTTTTTCACATATTTAACAAAATAGTCAAGTATTCATCTGTTCAATCTTACTGTTACTGTCTCACTCAACGGAGACTCGAATCAACGAAGTATTCGATTATTTAACTTTTCGACTTTTCTATTTATCACATCTGCAAAATTTTACTGTGATTATTAGAATTTGAAACTAATACCATAGTCTAAAAAGTTTTAGTTGTGGTTATTTATTATGATTATGAAAGTATTCCTTTCACCGTTACATTACAAGATGTAGTCAAGAGATTATTGTCTTTACACTCTTTCTTACACTAAATTCTAAGCTTCGCAAGGTACTTCATGTGGTGAGGTAGATTATTTCTTTTATACTGACGCTAAGGTATATGAAGATGAGACTGTTTTGCTCACCTTTACTATCACGGCTAGTTGAAAACTCTATTAAATCGATAAGCACTCGAATTCATCTTCGGTCTTTACATCCGTCCGCCAAATGACAAAAAAAAATAACACCACACTTACTATTTACTACCGAATTATAAAATAATGTCCTTCTCTTTGTACGAGCCAGTGACAATAATTTTTTCCTGAAAAAAAAATGTAACAATAAGAGAAAAAAAATAATCCTTTCAATATTGAGAATGTAAGAACGATGACAGATTAGTTTTTTTCAAGAAAGGAGAGTATAGAAATGAGAGCAAGAAAATACGTCTGCCGATGAGAATGCAGAAATAATGATTGACAGATTCTTTTTCCGGAAAAGAGTCTAAGGACGAGAGTATATAAGTTTTTTTCTGAAAAAGAAAATGTAACAATGAGAGTAAAAAAAAATTGGGAAAATGTTTTCAAATGAAAATCATTTTTGTTTCAATGATTTAAATAAAATCGATTACAAACTTCTTTTCTATTAATAAATTGATTAAACAATTTAAAAACAACATCATCTTTTCGTTAAAATATTAAAAGAGATTTTTCAAGTGAAAAAAAATATAAAAATTAATTTATTTTCAGAGATTTGAATTTTATATTAGAATAAATGTTCTCAAAAACAAAAAAGTAATGATTTTATAAGAAAAATTGTCACTAGAATAAGTTATTTATTCAAAAAGTTGTTTTTACTAACATAAATAAATATTTTGAATAAATTCTATAGATGAAATGATGATATTATTTTATTTTTAATAACTAATTAACCAATTGTAATATAAACAAAATATTTCTATGATAATGAAAGAAAATTGATCTAATTTTCAATAGATATATTCAATTCTAAATATAATATTATTTTCTTTTTTAAAAATCTATACGAATGATTAGTTTTATTAACAATTCTATAAACATTTCTTTTCATTTGTGAAAAATATTTTAAATGAGCAAATTTATTACTTTTCAAAAGAATTTTTATTTTAAATATTTATTTAACAATACTCTCAATATCTCATTATGAAAAATAATTCGAAAACAATGGATCAAACCTCTTTTCAGTTTCATATTAAGTCGTTACTTAATTAATAAAAATAATTTATGAAAAAATTCAATCCCAATTTTAAAAATATGAAAATTATTTTTTATTTAATGAAACATATTTTGTTTTTTTATTTGAGACTGAGTTGATATTTTATTTGTTGTCGTTGCTAGATTCTTTGATGTAGTTGCTGTACTATTTGTAGAATGATTTAATTGATACTCCCCTGTAGCCTACATCAAAAATATCTGGGTGCGGACGTGGGTGGGTTTAGGTGGAAAAAAATAGAATACACACCCACACCCGATATGATTGTAGTAGAGATCTAATTGAACTTCTGATATTGAAACGAACATTCACATTTACATTCTACTTTTATTGCATATGAAAGCAAAATGATTTCTATAACCAAACAGATAAAGAAGAATTTAGAATACATGTTTATTTAATTTATAAAAAATTCATCACATGAAAATTAATGGTTAAAAATTTAATTGATTGTTTTTATTTTATTTAAAGAATGCATGTGTACGAGCAAATTCTATATTAAGATCAATTTTAACAAATTGACGTTGATAAGCTTCGAGTGGTCCTGTTTCATTTGTACCACGAGCATTTGATACATACATAATCATATCTGTAAGATCATACAATGCTACATGGAGATCACCCGTTTTTGCAATAGATGTTATATTTTGAATGGACGATTCTGGTGTTATATGTCCATATTGACTTAGAATTTGTTTATATAGTTTATATTGACGAGAAGGACATAACCAATCCATTCCACAATAGATAGCATTAGGTAAACGTGGATGCCATTCGGCTAAAGGTTGTAAATTTTGATCATCAAAAAAATTAACAAGTGAATGTGAATATTGTATCATACGAGCGGTACCTAGTTTTCCATCAGCTACAGCTAAAACTAAATGACATGTTCGTTTGACATTCGCAATAAATGAAAGAGCATCATCAAGTGTTTCAGAATATTGTAAAATATGTCGTTCAACAAATATAAATGGAAGACCACTCATACTTTCATCACCAAATGTATCATCAGAGAAATAAATTCCAATTTCTGAGATACCCATTTGTGTCGATGACATTCCCGTTAATGTACCAATGTAACCTATTCGATAAATATAATTGTATATTTAAAAGGAAAAGAGATTCATTAATGTATATTACCTGCCCAAGCAACATTAGCAAATGCATGACCAAGTTTTTCAGAACGTGGATGATAAATAGTAATGACTGGAAAATCTTGAAGGCCACCTTTTGTATCCCAATCCAACGCACGTAATTGAAGAGTTTTTCCACCCATCGTTGCATTACCCCATAGACCAAACAATGAACATCGACCTATGTTCAATAAAGTTAATAAAACTATTCAAAATATACTATGAAATTTTCTTTAAATACCTCGTGTAATTTCTCCAAGCATATGTAATCGTCGAATTGAATAATAATTAACATTAGCTGCATCAGCAATACCACGCATTTCTTCGTAAATTTCCTTATCAATATATTTTTCAACAATTGTATTTTGAAAATCTAATGCAAAAGCTAAACCTTTGCCAACAACCATATCTTCGAACCATTTAGGTAATTTTAATTTATCTAATTCATCAATTATTCTCTGTTCAAAATGAGCCCAAGCACGTGGTATAAGTTGTGTAATTTGTTCTTTTAAAAGTGTTCCATAGGCAAAACCATAATCATATCCATCATAACCCCAAAGATGTAATAACCATACTTTATCGTCACCAGCACCAATTGTATAGAGTGATCCATTTTCTATTGTACGTATCAGTTTTGCTGAACTATCATCGATTGGATTCAAATTGGGTGGACCAAGTGATGAATCATTTGAACAGAATGCACCAAGATTAGTTAGATGATCTCTATCATAGCTATAACTCGTTTGAACAAAAATTAATAATCCAATTATAAAACAGAAATAAATACTGTTAACGAACATTATTTCGTATTTGTATACAAAATAAATGTGTTATTATAATGCTTATCAGATATAAAATGAAAAAAATGATTCGCGTGTAGTGTATTTAACAAAAGATAAGATTCTTGCATATTCATCTACGCAAAATAATTGAGTTACCTGTAATAAAAAATGCTTCAGTCATTTTTATTGATATAGATAGCAGCATGAAATTTACATTAATATTTTCAAAACATATAAAGCATCTTGGGGGCGTGGCTGACTGTGAAAACCTAGATTCACACATCCTCAATAGATATTTAACTTCTCAAATATTTCTATTTAATATTATCAGCATCTATGAAAAGATATGCGTATTGCTGTAATAAAATGACTCATTCTTTAATTCATTATTTCGAATTTTACGTTATTATTACTGTTAAAAACATTCTTATTGTTTGATAAGTATTAGAATAAAAAATATTCAACATGCGTAGTATTTCTTTGCATAAATAAACTGACTAAGAAATGATTATATATATATATGCATCGGTAATCAATTAATACCTTTTACGAAGTTGATATATTTATAATACTGAATGATTATATCATGATTCATTGGTTGTATAGTTCTATCAAAATACCACTTTTAATTCATACTTTATATAATTATGCAAATATATATTTTCATATATGATGTATGAATAATATTTATAAATATTATATTTATTTCTTTAATGTCATTGAGTATATACTCAACAAAATCCACACTTTGCATATATAATTACATATTAATTAATATTGCGCAGATGCATATACTAGAATAATTTAAAATTTATTCGTATGCTATATAAATCTTATGAAGATCAGTTATATATTATGATTAGAAGTAGTATTTGACGAGGAATATGAGAAAAGGAGTGTTTTCACATATATATACATATATGTTTATTAAAAAAAGAATAAATGTAGAAAATATTTATATTTATATTCTAGCTGTTCCATGCATAGTGAAGTCTTATCCAGTTGGTCGCAATTAAATCTGTTCACTTATGATCTTAATTGTATTTCTTCATTATTATTACTTTTGATCTGTCTAATTACGAAAGGACATGCCAGTGATATATCTACTCCACCAATCATTACAGCAGGTCCAACTTATGGTTCGTACAAGTTTAATGTACTTCAACATCTCTCGGGTATCTCACCCTATTTTGATTCTAATGCCAATGAATTAAGTCCTGATCCACCTCAAGGTTGTATCGTTGACAAGGCTATTTATCTGGTTCGTCATGGTTCTATTTATGCTAATGATTATGATTATAATAATACAATCGACCCATTCCTGCAACGTCTTCAAAATTTCTCTAATCGTGCTGATTTTTCTAAAGCAACAGATTTAGCCTTTTTAGTTCACTGGACTTCACCTATCTCCAACAGCAATGAACAAGTTGAAAAGCTGACAGAATACGGTAGTAAAGAAGCTTTTACTCTTGGTACTCAACTTGCACAACGTTATTCAAACTTAGTTTTCGACAGTAAGAATAAATTGTTTAAAATTTGGGCATCAGCAGCAAATCGAACAAAAGAAACTGCTTCGGCACTCTTAGCTGGACTTGGCAATAGACAAGGAATAACAGATGAAATAATCACTATTTCAGAAGAAAAGAATCAAGGTGCTGATACTTTTTCACCAACAAAAACATGTTTACAATATGATGCGTCTGTTGGCTCAGAACAAGGAAATATATGGTTGAAACAATACACGACACCGATCATAACTCGTCTGAATGCTATGGGATCACAGTTTAATTTTATAGCCAATGATGTGTTGGCGATGCAGGAATTATGTGGTTATGAAACAGTTATTCGTGGATCTTCACCATTTTGTAAAATTTTTACACCAGAAGAATGGCTTTCTTTTGAATACTATTTCGATATCAAATATCATTATTCATTAGGTTATGGAAATGTTTTATCTCCTAGTCTAGGCATGCCTTGGGTTGAGGCATCGAGTGATTTACTCAATTATACGACCGATACAGAGCAAAGTCTTTATATTAATGTTGTTCACCGGGAAATGCCACCACTTATCTTGACAGCATTAAACTTATTTAATGACTCAAACTATGTTGGTGCGATGAATGGAAACCCTACACTTCCACTCGATCAAATCAATTATCAACGAGCATGGAAATCAAGCAAATTTATTTCATTTTTAGGTCATATTGCATTGGAACGACTTCAATGTACATCTGCTTCGTATACCGGAAAATTCGTGAGAATCCTGGTTAATTCAGCGCCACAAGCCTTACCAGGATGTGCTAATGGGCCCGGTGCTAGTTGTCCCTTGGCACAATATATGGATTATGTGGGAGATCGCGGTGAATTATACCAAGATTTTACAGATGCCTGCAAAATGAACCATCAGAACACAACTGATGTGTTATCATTTCTTTGACGATAGAAATCATTGGATTTTTTTGAAACACTCACTGTCAACGGTTATATTTAATAAAAATAAAGTGTCATATCTACTTTCTTTTTCTGAATGTAGCGATTTGTCTTCAACTCTGATTTAGTTCATTTCTACTCATTGCTAACGTTTACTAAGTCGTATATTTGTTGAATGATGATGAACATTTCCCCAATGACCATGCCCCTGTATAGTGAGCAGGCAGACAAACATTCTTCTTTATATATATAGAAGATAATCGTATAATAAAGATCCATGACGAGTTCTTAGAAGGAAAAACAAAATCTAGATCATAGCAGCTCATATTTTAATTGACACCATCTCGTATATAGTCGAATCTATATTCTCATTCAACGAAAGATACAAATATTTTTACTTCAATAAGACTGAATCGTTTTAATTCAAATTAATTCAATTGGATTAAAATAAAAAAATAGAATTTAAATAATCGATTCTTTACATTTTTTATTTCGATACCACTCGACTGTATGCTGAATACCTGTTGACAGTGAAGTCATTTGAATAGGTGGATTGAGTCGTGCAATACTATTCGTATCATATAATAGTCTGTTATATTCAGCATTATTATCGAAAGTGAAACCACCAACAAAATTCGCATGTTGACATATAAGTTGCACGAGTTCTAAGATTGAAATTGTTTGACCAGAAACAAGTAATGTTTCATCTTCGTCATAATTTTCCATTGCCCAAATAATAATTTTAGCATAATCATGTGCGAATAGAATTTCACATTCTGTTGTACATGTATTTGTAAGGACAACAGAGGTTGAAGGATCGTTTTCTTGTTGATTGATTATTTTCATGATTAGTGTATTTACGAATTGATCTGTATCATTATTTATATCTTCATAAACACCAAAAACATTATCAGATAATATGGATATAAAACTACAGTTATGTTGTTGTCGATACCATCGAATAAGTTGCTGAAGAGATTTCTGAGCAAATATATATGATTCTGCTTTCAGATGCTGTGTATTTTCTAGAAATATGTTTGTCGATAGGATTGATATAACTTTGATCGGGCCACTCCAAAGTTGAAACTCAAATGCTATTTGTAAGATATTATTGTTAAGTTTGACATTATCTAACCAAAAGTCTACTGGTTTATTACACATATCTTCATTGGAAGCGATATATGCTGCACAATGTAATATACGAGTTGGTTGGAATCGCTTAAAAATATTTGTCACATCTTCAATTTGCCGAAGATCTCCATCGTCTTGAGTTAAAAAGATCCATTCGGAATTCTTTGTTTTAATTTTGTTTTCTGTTAAACTTAAATCTGATGATACTGTTTCTTCTTCCAATGTTTGTTTTAGGACGATATTTTGAATATATTTACCAAGCATTCGATGACTTCCTGTGACAAGTATTACATGTTGAGGTTGAAATGGAAATGCTAACATAATCTCAACAAGTTTCTCTATTACAGTTTGATCAAGTGCTATTTGATGAATACCAATAAAGAAGCCACGTTTATGAATAACTTCTGCACCGGGATAGTTTTCAGGATGTTCTCGTTCACAAAATGCTGCAATACATGGCTGACGAATAAAATTTCCACTTATAATAGGACGATTTTCAATCCCATTCTCTTCGAGATACTTCAAGAACTCGAGACGTTGATGTGCATATGGTCGATGAAGTAGTACTCCAACACCAAACCATGCTGGATCAACACCTGGCGAAGCTTCCATTAAAGACATTAAACGATGAAATCGTTCATTACGTGATATAATTTCTCGGATACGTTTTAGATTATCCCGTCGACATGCATTAAATTGAGAAAGTTTATCTATTTGAACACTTAACATTGCGCCTTGAACTTCCAATGGTCGAAGATTATAACCAATATTCACAAATAAAAAGCGAGAATCAATATCTGGATATAATTCTTCAACTATTTGTCGGTTTGTGAGGTGCCTGGTCCAACCATGAGCACGTAAACATCGTAAAAGATTATAATCTTCTTCCGTTTTACATGTTATCATTCCTCCTTCACCACTTGTAATATGATGTGAGAAATAAAATGAGAAACTGCCAAAATCACCAAATGTACCTAACATTTGACGTTCATTTCCTGTGTTCGTCTCACAGAAACTTCCTAATGACTCACAAGTATCTTCTATTAGCATCAATTTATGACGTGTAACGAAGGTCATCATCTGTCGCATATCGATAGAATTACCAAGTACATGTACTGCCATGACTGCTTTGACACGTGGTGTAAGCTTACGTTCAAGCTCGGCAAGAGTAACATTAAATGTACGTGGATCAACATCAACAAAAATTGGACGAAGTCCATTTTGAAGCAATGGAAAAACACTTGTAGACCAACAGACTGCAGGAACAAGCACCTCATCACCAGGATCACAATGAATTGGACGTAATTTATTTGTTATAGCCGAAACAGCAAGTAAATTTGCGGAACTACCAGAATTAACCATGACGACATATGGAATACCAACAACTTCAGCAAATTTCTTTTCAGCTTTTTCGACTTGTGAACCTAGCGTTAAACGACCGGAAAGCAATACTTCTGTCATTGCAATAATTTCATCTTCTCCAAAAGGATTCATAGCTAGTGGAAACAAAACGCATTCTTTTTCTTTGTCAGCTGCACGACGAACATTCCATTCAGTGGCAATAGCTGAACGCCATGATGCAACAGAATTATCTAGTGCAGATGATGTATGAGAAAGAGGTGAATGAAAGTGAGAGTTAGGACTACCTGAAGTAGACGAAGAAGTAGTAGTTGGCATCTGATTTTCCATCTGAATTCAGTCGTTGAATATATACTCTTTTATGTATAAAAGGAAATATGAAATATAAATAAACGAAAACAGAAATGTATAGTGCAATAAATTGCCAACTTGAAAGCGTGGGTGTGGGTGTGAATTCATCTTTTATTTACGCACACTCACACCCTTACAAAAAAAGCTCATACGAATGCGGATTCCTGACATATGATCACTGATGTATTCTCTGCTCTTCAAATGAGTCGTTGTTTTTTTTCTTTCACAACCTTCAGCGTTTTATTTTGATTGGATTGTTATGCTTTTTTTCATTCTTTTCAAATGTTGCCTCGCATTTTTTTATTTATACTGTACGCTGAAATAATAATCATTGCACAATTGTACCGAAGCCAACAAAACTTTGTCAACCGTCCATGGTTGTTTCGTACACACATGTAGAATTAAAAAAATTTCGTTTTCACTCTTTTTATGCCCGTGGCAGCGTAATTTTTATAAAGATTTTAGTAAGAGTATAATTGTTTTTATTTCTTTTTTATAGGTCTGACAGATTTCAAAGTCAAAGAAACATTCATTGAGTATTCAGAAAAATCTCTTTAAGTCTTGCATCACAGAATTTATTATGCGCTTGGCTAGATGTACCACTTGATGATCTTAATCGATTAGTAGCAGCACCTTTAGTTTAATTGGCTCAGAGTCTTGAAAAATCAGAGATTTTAAAAAATACCATCGCGGTGGCTTTTTGTAACCGTCGTTGCGGTGCGGCAGCGGCACATCTTAGTGAAAGATTGTCAAATAACACCTCACTGTGTAAGACTATATTCGAATTTTTGCGCAACAAAATCAGGGTTATAATCGATTGAAATCTTTCAAATCAACAATAATTCGATTTTTAATCAAAATTATATTTGATTTAGAAGATTACTCTTTGATTAAAAATCGAATTATTGTTCATTTGAAAGGTTTTAATCGATTATAATCTTACATAATGAGGTATAATTTGACAATTTTTCACTGTGATTATCGAATGTGGGTGTGGGCGTGGATGCATCTTTTATTGACGCACACCCACACCCTCAAGGGTCAAACACTCACACTAGTGGAAAAAATTATGTTTACATTTTAGATATATTGAAATGGTATTTTGTTAGATAATTTTACAGATTGTACTATTGTCTGTGTGAATGACGGAACTATTGATTGAACGACAACCTAGCGATAGATCATCATGCCTCCATCGAAATAATATTTGTCTCGCAATAATCTCTGCCACTGTTGGTATTATAGTATCGCCATTATTTTTCCGAAATTCGTATAGTTCACCTTTAACTATTTTACAAAAAGGAAGAATAATTCATGGAAAAATACCTGCATCGTGTTTGCAGAACAATTACATAATCGATAATGAAATAGCAATACCCTATTTTTTACAAGATGTAGGACAATATTTATCTAAATTTCAATGTACTGGATCTGAAAACAATATTGAAGCATGGGAAGAACGTCTTTGTATTTTTTATAATACATGTTATGATATCAACACTAATCGTTTTCATTATTTTCAATCAACTCAAAGAAAAGCAAAGCCTGTTTTTTATGATTCAAAAAGAAGAATGATATATGGATTTAGTAACAAAGATGGTATTAAGAATTTTGTATCACTTGCATCTCGTGGAGAAGCACCATGGTCATTAATTGATGGGCTATATCCATCGAAAAATTTTACAAGACTTCATCATTTGCATAATCTTATGCAAAGTACTTTTGCATTTCAGAATATAGCGCATGGGCTATGGAAAGATCTCGGTTCAATTTCATATTCGATGGATCGAATGAGTATTACTGATCAGAATTTAGTTATCATGCATTTAAATAAGATTCCAAAGACACCCTTATTCGAGACATATCATCAATATGTAATACCTGCGTTGACAAAAAATCCTATGGTAGAATTCAGAACTTATGTTCAATCTTTTCATACAAAACATGTATGTTTCGATCGTTTAATAGTCGGAGGTCAATTGAGTGTTTTTCCAAAATCTAAAATAAAAGAAAATCATGGACGTGACGCACTTTTCTATAATTAGAGATCAAAAATTATCAAATATAATGGATTTAATCCGAATTTTGTTCCACAAAAACATCATATTATCATAACTAATAAATCGATTTCCGAGTGGGCATATCCTGGTTCTAAAAGACATCGCGCAATTGTAAACTTAGAAGAAGTTGAAAAGTTCATAAAACTAACTTATCCAACTATATCTGTTGAAGTAATTGAATGGCATACTATTCCATTTAATAAACAGATTGAAAAATTATTAAATACAACTATATTAATAACACCATGTGGTAGTGTATCATTGATAATACTAATGCTACCTAATGGTGCACATGCGATAGTAATGGATTATTATGTTACTAAGACAGCTCATGGATATTTGAAAGGTGAAACCGGTTCAATGGAGGGTGCTTTGTTAAATCACATTGTTCATGTGAGAAAACAGTATTATCAAATATATGGAAAACAAGATTACGAATTTGATTATCCGGGAGCTACTGATGCTCGAGAAGCTTCATCTATTATTGTAAATATGACGCGTTTACAATTATTATTTGATAAGGCTTTGGAAGAAATGGAACCTTAATAATTTTTTTTGGATATTAACAGTTAACAATTTTTATGTTTTGCTTCGTATTTTTAATAAAAAAATGAATGTCAATTTCAATTTCTTGTCTTAGAATTGATTATATTGAGAATGTATATTCATGCTACGTGTTAACGTTAATTAATCACCGTCTTGTTTGTTGATGATATTGACGAAGTTTGATTATCTATGAAAAATGAATCTAATAAAGTATTGATATTAAATGTAGGATGAAGTCCAATATCATTTAGTTTTTGAATATTAGCGGCAAGATGATGAGTGTCAGTACCTGTAGAAATGATTGTTACATCGGAGCGACCGAGTTTTTCCCTAACAGATTGAGCAATATCAAAAAGGCTCACTGCTGTACCAGTACCAATATTAAAAATGCCGATCGCTTTTTGAAGAAAAAGCAATTGAATGGTTTCAATAATCTGCTGAACGGTAATAAAGTCTCTAGTACCATCTAAACCACGAATTTCAAGTCGAGCATCTGCAGGTGCATCCTTGATTTTTGCAATAAGCGAAGGTATAAAGAAACTTGCTGCTTGATTGGGATCACTATAGCTAAATATACGACCGGTACATATCGGCAAATTATATTTACTTCGATAAACTTCAGCCCATTGATCGCCTTGTGCTTTCGTTACACCATAAGTAGAAACGGGATTTAGTGGAGATGTTTCCGTTACAAATTGTTTCTGTGAAGTCGATGCATAGACATGTGAAGTCGACGCAATAAAGATCCATGGACATGTTTCTTTCGTAAAGTTTAAACGGCAAGCTTCTAAAATATTTAAAGTTCCAAGAGTATTGACATGAAATGCTTTCAATGGATCTTTGTCGACGTCACTAGTTGGAACCATCGCAGCGAAATGTAAAAGACCATTGATTTTAGGTATATTACAAAGCCAATCATTGACATCGGATTGATTTTTAATATCACCTTTGAATGAAACAAATTCAACGTTTTGATTGGCATGAGACCAATTTTTGAAAAGAGCACGACCGAGTACACCGGTGCTACCAGTAACACCAATACATATAGTATTTGAACTCATTGATCAAAAAGGCTAAAATGAATATCTAAAAATGATCGAAATTTATATAATATATATGTATATGAGAGGTGACAAAAACAGAAATTTCTGTTTAAAAGAGGATCTTTATCCTATTCATTGAAAAAGAAAACACTTAAACTATAACATAAACGAAAATGAAAGAAATATTCAGTTTAAGTATGCGATTATTTTGAGAAGAATAATATTGATCAAGCTACACGTTTGTTTTTCTTATCAATATAAGTCTTGGTAAAATTACTTAGAAATGTCGTATGAATTTGCTTAGTAGAAGTCAATTCAGAGAAGATATTAGTGTTAGTTAATAAAATAGTCGGATGTTGAAATTTGAGAGCAGTATATAGAACGAAGAAAATAATAGTCGCGAGAATAAAAAGTGATTTTGCAAAGGTTTCTTTTGTTTGAGAATATAACCAGCCATAAAATAAGACAAATATTGTTGCAATAGACGCAGTTAAATCCAATGTTGATTGAACAAATATTTCACTGAGAATAATCAAAGCAAATTTATTAACATTATTAGCAACCATAATAGACGTCGGCGATATTAGTTTATTAAGTGCAAATGCACTAGTACTTAATGCAAATCCAAGTATACAGGAAAGAAAAACAATACAAATTGATTTAATTTTAGGGAGAAAAATAGATTGAAAATATAATAAGAAAGATTTTAACTCACCCATAATACAGGCAAGAAGAAAAAGTATCAATAAAGAAATCAAATTATTATAATATGACATACTAATCGGTCCTATATCTTTCATTTCTGGCATATGAACAACCTTTTTTATATAGACTTGATATAAACTTGTACCAATAATATTCACACATAACCATATATAACCTTCAATACTAAATGTCAGATCATGTAATGCATAAACTATTGCACCAAAGAACATACCAAACAGTGTACCAATCGATAGACTATCAATTTTATTACCTATAACAAAATATTCCAATATGGCAACTGATATTGTTGACAGATTGCGAATAACAATTACAGTAGGTACACTGACATATTTTAATGCAAATAAACTTGAAGTAAGCATCGTCACAAACAATAAAACGACAGGTGTCCAAATTTTCAAAACAGTAAAGTTCAATGGAGGGAGACGTTCTGAAGTAAGTGGACAAAAGTAAAAGTTAAAGAGAAGAAGGATAACAGTTACACCATTTTGTAATACTAATAACAAATTGATAAATGGGAATGCAACAATTGCTAATTTATTCAATATAGTTAATAATGAACCAGAGATACAGTAGAGTAATAAAGTTAAGATTGTTTTAGTCTTAACATTTTCAGTAGTACTTTGATCCGTATCTTGATCATTCATGATACAGAAATCTTAAGAATAGTAAAATGATCTCAGATAAATCCAATCAAAATCTTCGAATGTCACAATAAATCTAAAATAAATATTATAATAAAATATCTTGAGGGTGAGAATGTGAGTGTGATTGTAGCTGTGGGTGCAAATGTTTGTCTTCTTCTTATTCATTATCAATGTCGAATCGGCACTCACACCTACACCCTCAAATAATTTACTCGAATATTAATATTTTAACTTAACAGTAATTTTTTTAAACAGAGAAAATTTATATTTACTTAGTATATAAATTGTAGCCTTAAAGAATATTTTTAAGTTCGATTAAAGTGTTGTACTTTTAATGCGGTTCGAGTATGTTTTTTTTATTTTTAACGAGAGATTATAACTGCTCGTAACATTTTCTAATCGACATTGAAGAGTCAGTGAACAATTCTTATTCTATTCTCGATTTTGAAGTCTGATTAGTATTAAGTAATAATATCGGTCACATATGAGGAGAGCGTGGAAGCAAGGGGTTTAAATTTCTATCCCTTTATGCAGCCCGTATGGCTCTCTCGTGAGTAATATATACTTTTTCGTGTTTTATTCAATTTTGCCTATCCTTATCTTATTATTTCAACGGTACGTTATACTGGAAGTTTATGTCGTAATTATTCAGTTGGTATATTTCTTCAATGGAACCCTTTGTATCGCCGTATCACATGGGTTTGAACTTGAATCATATAATCGAAACTTACTCTTCTTATTCCTTAGTCAGACTACTAGTTTTGAACTTAATTGCAGAAAGAAAAAGTACTCATAGCGCAAGAATAAAACTACTGCAATACAAACACTTTATCACTTACATACAAATTTTTTGTCTACATTTTTCTTTTGTTGAAAAATGGTATGCTACGTGAATGTGACGTATATAAACTTTTTTTTATTTCTCTTTAAAAAAAATGTTGCTTCTCGTTTGAATAAACATGATGATGGTTGTTTGAATAGTGGCTTCATACACTTCATACTTGAGTTTTCTTTTATAAAAAAGAAAAAGTTGGAGGAATGATTTCTTTATTAACTTTGTGTTCCGTCATTTTTTTACATGGGTAATAAAAGAAAAAGAACAGAACATGGACGGAATAAAAATATTTAAGTATTCTCTTTTCTGAAAGAAAAGATTACATAGAAATTGAATAGTGGTTAAAAATACATAAATTTTAATTAGTCAAGATTTTTGGAGTCGAAGGAACTTGGATCTACTATTAATTTTTAATTTTGTTTTTCTGTGATAAAAGAAAGACTTTTTGCACAATTGTTTGTTTGAAGCTGTCTAACGCCGTGTGTATTCTCACTAGTATATTCAGAGGATGGATTGCATTATTTTATATTGTGTAAACTCACTTTTTCACCACTAATGTGAAGTGCTGTTATTTAGTGTACTGTGAATTAAGTATCATTTTATCAGATTACCGAACTTCGATCGAAGTCGTCAGTTAATAATAAGATCACACATTGTGTTAACTTTTGGATGCATTATGCAAAACGGAGCAGTGGCGGACCGACTGCAAATCGTCTTTGATACTTACTTCAGTCGACTAATTTTTATTAAAAGTCTCTACTTTATATTTTCACATTTTTTAACAAGTTTAGATTCAAAAACATCTAAATCGACTTTTTTTTTTTGTTACTTAATTCGATAACAGTACTGTGTAAATCCCAGCTCTGTCATTAAGAATCGAATATTTTCCGACATACTCTTGTACATGATGTAGTGAAAATTAATATTTAGGCAAATTTGAATGTTGACCGATATAATGCCAGTCAAAGTTGTATTTCTAATTCTGCCTAGGCAGAATTAACATTTCAATTTTAGCCGCAGCATATATATATATATGCAGACGAATTGTATATTCCCCATGAATACATCGAATTCGTGTTGTAATTATGGATTCAATCTTTGCTATTGACGTTGAAACAATACTTTCACCTTATGGAACAAAATACACAAATGAAATCGAAGTAAAATATAATGTTTAATTCAATTGAATCGAAATTTTCTTTTTTTCTATTCAGTTATTAACGAAAACAATCGACATTTATCTCATCGAAGGTTATATTTATAATGATCAAAACAAAGAATTTCTTATTGGAAGTCTGAAGAGACGAATTCATATCAATTGTATTATTGAAAAATATCAATGTAAGTGATCTTAAACGTAAACAACTCTTGTTCATTCGATTATTCAAGGTATTATTGATGATATAGAAATTCTAAAACAATTGGATGTAGATATCTATGCAGATGCAGAACTTTCTCTTTCATTGATGTAAGTTAATAGTTTTTATATTTCTAATTGAAATATATTCCTTTTAGAGAAGCTAACATGGGATTACATATTCAAAAAACGATTTATGAATTGGAAAAAGCACAGAATAAATGTAATTGTATTCAGTGGATTGTCTTTATTATTATTGTTATACGAAGAGAGATTTATTTTCGTTTTAGATGGTCATGATTTCAAATCTATAATTAGGAATTTCAAAACATTCAATGTGAAAAAATCGTTTGAACGCGGGTATGTTGAAAATCTTTTAGTCTGATAGAAGGAAAGTCTTAATCGGATTTTTCTCAATTGAAAAGCTTTATATGAAATCGATTTATTATATAAAAAATATTTTTTGTTGTAGGAACAAAATTATCGATTCGGTTGATGATGATAAAGATTCAGTTGATTAATTAATTTTGATAAAATTAATATCAACTATTTGTTGTCTGTAAATTAATGTTAAAGAAGTTATTATTGAAAAATAAAGTTTTGTTTGAAATAAAGATATTACATTAAGATTGATAAGAAAATTAATCGTTGAATGATGCAGATAGGGTGATGTTGATGGACAAATATCTCACACCCGTCATTCTTTAGCAATAAAACTTGGTCTAATATAAGGATGCAAAATATGAATATAATAATTGTACAATCTATTCTGTTCTATTTAATAAGTATAGTTCAAGAATCATTTCATACTTTTCAACAAGAAGTTGGCGCATTCTTGAAATATGTACACCGTAGTTTTTTGATAGATTGTAAAAAGAATTTTAAAAACATGAAATAGTACGATAAAATTCATTTGAGTTTAGCCGAGATTTGGTGTCCATGATAAACTTTACGTTCAAATACGTTTTGTAGATTTTTTAATGGTTCGCAAAATGAAAAAATTATTTTTCATTACAAGGAGAGATATAGAAAAGGCATTCAAGGTTTTTCAATTTTGTAATCTTTTCTTTATACTCTGCTTGATAATAATTTATCAAAATTATGCTACTGACGTGGGTGTGAGTACACAATTATTGCAAATTCACTCACATCCAGTTTTTTATTCGCTCAGATTATTGAGCACAGCGAATTGCCCATGAAACGATAGTTCTTCTAGATTTGAGAAAATGAACTCCAGGAGAAGTAATATAAAATTTTGTATTAAGTTATTATAGAATGAGCATAGTGAACAGCTTCTAACCCAATAGCTTTTATTAAGAAAGCGATTAAACAGTTGGCAACGTTCCTTCGTGAGTGTATTTGTTTGATATTTTCAAACATGAAATAGATGAATCGTTTTTTCATTTGTATAAGTTTTTAAAAATATTTATTGAATAATTTAAGATGAATAAAGAGATTAATTTGTACCTTATTTAATATCGCGAGACATGACTTTCATGAAAATATATCTATGTAAATATTTCTGCTTTTAATTTCTATACAAAGAAAGATAAAAATTTCAAATTTATAAAATAGTAAAGAAAATAAATAATTATTTGTTTTCGTATTATAATCTGTTACGTATTTTACTTTATTCTATAGTTATTACAAAAACATGAGATTGAAAACTAGACTTTAATCATTTTTATATTATTGATGAAAAATATCAACCATGCATATCTATTATATGATATAATCAAGGTGCACAACTTTTTTTGTTCTTGCTATTCTACTCGTGTTACTTTTGATAAGATTGTAAACTATCGTTTGTTGTCTATTTATATATTTTGAAACTACATTTAAGTATGAAATATAACGTAAATATTATATCTTCGAAAAATACCCAGACAAAGTTTAAAAATAGTTTCTTTTCATTTAAGATATAATAATTCTTTTCTAATCAATGTTTATTACAGGTTTATTAGTGTTAGTGTTGACGATAATAATTTGTATATTAATACGATATTCGTCTAAAACGAAAACATTTCCTGGTCCAAAACATATTATTTCATTACCAAATTATTTCTTCAATACAATACTTAAAATATCAAATGAAAAATTACGAAAAGTTTTTCTAAATATTTTCTTTCCTGAATCAGCTCGATTTGTTGAATTAACAGTTCCATTAGCTGCTCAATATTATACATCAAAATATGGTGATATAACTCAAATAAATTTATTTAATCAACCAACAATAATAATATCAAATGCAGATTTTGCTGATCATATTTTAAGACGAAATGGAAAAAATTATACATTAAGATTTGGTAATGAATTAGGTTTACAATATTTAGGCATGGAAAATAAAGGTATTATATGGAATAGAAATGTTCAACGATGGAAATATCAACGTTTAAATTTTTTTCAAAAAGCTTTAAATAGTAAAATATTAGATGATGCGAAATATATTTCAACTGATGCTGTTGATTATATATTAAAATTTCTTGATAAATTTCAAATTCAATCAAATATAATTGATACAATGGATCTTTTACGTGCAATGACATTTACAATAACATGTCATTTATTTCTTGATTTACCTGTTGGAACAATTTCAATTGAAAAAACAAAATATTATGTTAATTCAATTGTTCAATATTTTAAAGCTTGGGAATATTTTTTATTAAAACCAACTGAATTTTATAAAGAAAATTTAACAATTAAACATAAACAATCCATTCAAAAATTAAACGAAGTTGTTGAAGAATTAATTTCTATACGTGAACAAAATAATAATTGTTTATTTATAAATTCATTATTTAATGCTCTTCAAAATAATCAAATAACAAAAGAAGAAATGAATCAATGTATTTTAGAAATGTTAATTGCTGGTACAGATACATCATCTGTTACAATGTTTTATTTTCTTCTTGCATTATGTGATAGAAATGAATTAGAAGAAAATTTAATAAATGAATTAAAACAAAATTCTTATACAATTTTAACAAATGGTTTAAAAGAATCAATGCGTTATAAACCAGTTGGTCCTGTTATTATGAGATGTGCTATTAAGAATGATATTTATAATAATATTCCTATTCAACAAGGTACAAACATAATTATTAATTTAGTTGATATGCATAGAAAAAATGAAGATTTTATTTCACCAAATGAATTTAATTTAAATAATGTTCAAGATAAAGATTTATCAAATACAAATAATGAAAAAAATCCTTTTCTTCCATTTGGTATTGGACCAAAAGAATGTGTTGGAAGGTGGTTAGCTAAAGTTGAAATGGAAATAATTATTGAAAAATTAATTTTAAATTATTCATTTAAACGTGCTAATGGAACAAAAACATTAGAAGAATTACAAACAAGATGGGATATTGCACAACAACCAACTCATCCGGGATATATGTTTATTAAAAAAAGATTCGAATAATTTACTTTTTCTTTTCAATAAACAAAAATAAAAGAAAATTATTTTTAGTATACTTTCAAAATAGATCAACTGGGTTTTTTCCCACAGAAACGCATATATATATACATAAATATAGTTCTTCAATGTTCTTTATCAGACACGGCGTAAAAAATTATGAGTGATACTGCAAACATTTGTCGCGTGTAGAACGAAAGAAAAAGGACACGTTTTTTTATCCAACTGTTTTGCTTTCATCAACGGAGTCGGTCGAGTAAGTTTCATCATTCTACTAAGACTAAAAAAAAAATACTACACATATTTTTATTTAATATGTATTACAAAGATTTTAATATGTTAAAGAATGTAATCGTTCAGCATTGAATTATAGCAAGTAATTGTATAGAAATCAGTATATAATTCATTACTTTTTAATCGTTTAATTATCTTGACAATGTCTTTTTCTGAATCATCGATGAGTCATGATTTAAGTTACTAAATTGTTCTTAATCTATGAGCATTATTTTAATATACGATTTAAATTTATCGAGATCACATGATTAGAATAAGTGAGGGTGTTGATGTCAATGATGGATGAGAAGAATACCCACACCCACCCCCATAATAATATATATATATATATATTTTCTTTTGTAGAATCAATGTCTCCTATACATATAATAATATCAGGTGCTTCTTCCGTCGGAAAATCAACGCTTGTCGAGGAATGTATAAAAAAATTTCGACAGGATAAAAAATTAAAAGATAAAAAATTTAAACTTATTCAAGAAGTCGCACGAACAGTATTAAATCGATTAAATTTAACTGGAAGAAATCTAGAAACTTACATTAATCAAAATAATATAAATGCATTTTCAAATGTACAAGAAAAAATAATTCATGAACAAGTATCAGCTTTTGAAAAAGAAAAAGAAAAAAATTATTTATCAGATCGATCTGGTTTTGATGCATTAGCATATATTCATCATTATTTTAAAAATCAACAAAAAACCAATTCAATATTTGAAAGTGAACAATTTCAATTCTTAGTAAATCAATGTAGAGATGGTTTAGTATTTATTATTCAACCACAAGAAGAATTACAAGCAAAAAATGATAATATGAGAATGGTACCTAATTATAAAGATCAAATTGCTTATACAAATTGTTTAAAATATTGGTATGATCAAGCATATTTACCTTATTTTGTAATAACTGATCTTGATATGACAAAACGTGTTGAATTTATTCAAGAACATATCAATGGACGATTTCATTGGTTACCACCAGAAATTTCAATTCCATTATGTATACCATTTCATCTAAGTAAACCAAAACAATATAGACATAATAATGTTCTTTCATTATCATCACATTCAAATCAATCTTATATGCGTCATATTGAATTATTAGATAAACACAATATACGAATTAGTTATAAAAAATATGATACAAATCGATTAGTTGAAAAATATGATCCATCTTGTTTGAATAATAAATTTGCTTCAATATTATTTAATCAAAAATTAGATAATCAATTTCTTGAAAAAATTCTACTAGATGGAATTTGGATTAATAATCAACAATATAATTTTATCGGTTATAGTAATAGTCAATTAAGAGGTCGATCTTGTTATTTATATGCTGATTCAAATGATGAAATAGAAAAAATAATTCGTGATAATGGAGATTTTGATAAAATTAAAAATATTAGTAAACGTGCTGCACGTATTGGTCTTTTATTTTCAAGTTGTACACCAACAATTCATATACAATCTGATCATGTTATTCAAATTGATGATGTTGAACGAAATAACTATACTTTTACTGATGGGTAAGTTTCGATTTCCAATTATGAAGTTAAACTCTTATATTTGACAATACCCGACATAAATTAATTTTTTACAAGAGTCGAAATGTAAAATAGAATTCTCGGACGATCAAAACAAAAGGTGATTGAGATTGTTTGTCTTCCATAACGGGTACACTTCTCTGACAATTTTTGCAATAATCTATTGCTAATAAATTATAGTATAATCTTCCTATTTAATAAAATAAATCGTAACTGATCAAAAAATAATAAGATTGTTAGTTGAAAGAAAATTGTTTTATCTGTAATACTATAATATAGATGTGGTATTATTGGGCGAAAATTAGTTAAACAAATTATTCCTTATTTAACTGATTTTAAAAAAGCAATCTTATCATTCGATGATGAAAATCTAACAGAAGAAATAATATATCCATGTGCATTTCAAATTCGTTATCAAGGTTACAAAGGTAATTCAAATGATTTTAATAAAATACTTTTAATATTATTAAAATAATGCATTTTAGGTGTATTAATGATCAATAATGATGATAACGATGAAAATATTCAAGTTCGTCCATCAATGAAAAAATTTACAAGTACAATAAGTACATGTTTATATGTTTGTGATGATGGATATTCAGGACCAAGACTTGGATTTCTTATTAAACAATATATTATCTTATTATCTGGTTTAAATATTCCAGATGAAATTTTTTTAAAAAAACAACAAGAACATTTTGACGAAATTCTTCAAATGTGTGATGATATGAATATTGCAATGAAATATTCACTTTATTTTGATCGAATTGATTTAATTCATCATTTATTAGCAAATAATATTCAATTGATTCAATCAGAATTAGAATCTTTACAAAAAAAAGCTTTAGAAAGTGTAGAAAAACTAAAAATACCAATTACAAAATCACGTTTAGCCTTTGGAGTTTGTGATCCATGTAAGTCAAATTCACTTACGCTTCATATCATTACTAATTAACTATAAATGATTGCGAGAGTGAATAAAGAGTCATTGAATATGTTTAGAATTTCTTATGTAACTAAATAATTTGTTTCTCCATTGTTATTCTACATGATAAATATTTGTTTAATTTAGATGGTATATTAAAACCTGGTGAAGTTTATTTTCGTCCAACATTTAATGGAAGACAATTTATGATTGATTCAAAAATTTGTTTCGTTGCCAAATCTCCAAGTTATCATTTAGGTGATATTCGAGTTTTAAAATTAACATCATATAAACAATTAGAACATTTATATGATGTTGTCGTTTTTCCAACGAGAGGTCAACGTCCTCATCCAAATGAAATTGTAATTTACTAGTGGATTTTGTTAATTAAAGAATTTATTCAAATTTTTGTTTAGGCTGGAAGTGATTTAGATGGTGATAAATATTTAATTTGTTGGGATAATGATTTAATTCCAAAAGAAATAAATAAACCGATGGATTATACTTCAACAGCTAAATCTCAAGAATTAGCATTTATTACAAGAAAAGAAATGATATCTCATTTTGCTAATGCACAAAATAGCAATCAATCAGGTATTATTGATAAATATTATAATTATTGGGCAAATCTTCTTGGAGTTAAATCAATACAATGTCGACGATTAGCAGAATTATTTTCTGCAGCTGTTGATGCACCAAAAACTGGACAAAAGATTCATATTCCAGCAGAATTAAAACCACCAAGAAAAGAAGAAGAAGAAGAACAAATAATAACAATACAAAATACTGAAGGTATATATGAAAAGATTTTACTTGATAGAAAATATTTAAAATTTAATTTAATAGTGAATAATCAATCTCCTGGAGAAAATAATAATGCAAAACAAAATGAATTTATTTGGATGAAAATGTTAAATAATGCTAAAAAATTTCGAAATGAATTTGAAATGAAATTAATTAATGAAAATCAATATAAATGTTTATCAAAAGAAACATTATTAAATCTATTTTTTGAACGACGTTGTCCAACAAAATATAATTATAATAATGTTCAATCATTGAATGAATATGATTTAATAATTTCAACTATAAAATGGGTAAATGAACAAGATAATTCCAATGAAATTCTTAAAGATTTTATTTATTTATTTGATTTAAGTCAATTAACAATGAAACAAAAACAAGATATTGATTTAACATTACAAATAAATCGTTCATATTTATATTCAATATTAAATAAATCAAAAATATTATCAAATGAACTTATTGAAAAATATCATTTATCTCAAACATCATTATCATGGAGATTATTTTATACTTCTCCCAAATTATTTAATATTAATTCTCTATTAGAATATCAACAAACATTTCAACCAATTATTTATGTTTTACAACAAAATTCAATACATGAAAGAATATTAATTAATATTTCAATTGATGATACAATAACTTTAGTATTAGATATTAATAAAGATGCTCTTATTAATATACCGCAACAACAAACAAATTATAATCAATCACAAATTTGTTATCAAATTCAACCAGGTATTCTTCTATTTAACTAAAAATCATTACAAATAAAGTAGTTTAATTCAATCAAAAGTAGAGCGTACTGATATCGATTTCTAAAATATCAGTATACACAACTGTGCATTATATATTGTGAATAGAGATGTGCGGAATCAACCTTTTTAGGTCCCGGTCGCGGCCATAGTCCCGGTACAGCTTTTCTTTTGATCCCGGTCCCGACTTCAGTCCCGGTAAAGTTTCTTTTTAGTCCCGGGACCAGAACTGCGATCAATACTGATCCGGCTCATCTGTAATATTGTCCTAGAGACATTTAATCCAAAATTATTCATAAATATTTCTAAAACAAGTCTTCAATACTCGTTTTTCAATTTATTTAGTCGACGATTAGCACTTTTTGGTTCATTTTTCTTGAATAAAGTCATCATAGTTAAGGTCATTATATAGCGCCAAATTCAAGTGTAGGTCTCGACTCGACTGATTTTTTGGTCCCGGTCCCGATCCCTGTAAGTTTCGATTTTTTTGGTCCCGCACATCTCTACTTGTGAATATTTGACTTATTAATTGAATTTTTACGTTTTTCAGTGTTATATTCAGAGAAATGAGTGAAAAGACACCTAGCGAAACGCTAATTCTTTGTTTTAGAATGATGAAAACTAGTTAACATTTCATTTTAGGATTATTTCAAGCTTATCTTGAATCAAAGTTATATTCTATTCGAAGAAAATTTCTTTTTGATATTGATTATTTTGTGAAAATAAGTCGAGATCGAATACAAATCTATCAAAATGATCCAGGAAATTCTTTTATTGTTTTAATGTATGATATTAATAATGAAAATAAAATAATTAGTGTTGATTTAACACGTTTCGATCGACATATATTACAAAAACATCAACATCCAAAAGTAAATCGACATGAATTTTCTTATTTTGAAATATTTGTTTTATCTAATGATCAAAATATATATTCAAGTTATTATCCAATTATAAGTTATTATGATGAAGAATATTATACACAAAATTATTTTCATGAACAAATTGAAAATTATCAATATATTGAATATCAAACAGACAAGTAAGTTAATCGAAACTTACAAGAAATATTTATTTAATTTACTATTAGATCAATAAATTTTTTTCCACTTTATATAGATAGATTTCAGTTGATTCATATTCCTTATCGATTAACTATCTGCTTTGAATTCTAGATGTTGAAAATAATTAAGATAGATACATATCTACGTAGTTAAGCAGAATTTTTGTAATCTATCCACTCGAAGTGTATTTGAACAGTCGTATACTTTATTTCTTTATAAGATAATAAGATTTTTCTTGGTCATTCTGTTTGAATTTTAAAATTAATATATCTTTCATATGTCGCACATTGTTTAATTATAGTTCTTACAAGATTGTATCTTTGGAATATTACACGTACTATTCTCTTCGTTGTATTATTCTCTTTCGCGTAGAAAAGAGTCCAACAGAAATAAATTGTTTGTTTGATTGTGTGTCCGCAGGGTCAAAAAAACATCGAAAATCGATTTTCGGAAAAAGATATTTCTAGAGGTTTTTCGATGCGGGAAGTTGAAATTTGAAGTCTGTTGGGTAACCAAGGCGAGGAGAGAGATTAAAAATCTATTTTCCACAGTTTTCATTTGTTTTTTTAGTAAATGTGAAGAGGATGCATTTCTACGAGAAAGAGCTAAGCGAATCCTCGAACGAGTGTTACTTGTATAGGTATTTTTCCTTTCTTGATATCGAGATATACATCTATTTGTGACATATGGTAAAGAGTGAGCACATTGCAACAAAATAGATTCAAGCGCGATAGAAATCTTAGAATTGTAAGCTTAAGATTTTTCTATTTAAAGTCTATTTACTTCTAATTTCATTCGCCTGTCTACTACTACAAAGAAATACTTGAAGATAAATTCTATTATTTTTCTAAAATAGATATTCTATTGATTGATGAAATTTTTGTCTAGAGATAAAATGGAAGAAGAAAAATATAAAAAGCAACAAAAAGAATTTGAAGATAAACAAAAAGAATTAATTTCAAAATTTGAAAATCTATCATTTGAAAATAGAGAAGAATTAATTGATGAATTTATGTCAATTCATGATACGGAATATTTATCTAAAATATGGAATTATCTTAATCAAACAGGAAAAAATCTTAATGAATTAAATGAAAAATTTTTGGAATATTTTGTAAAAGAAATTAACTTGATGTTAAATGGTTCAATATATCGACCATTTATTAATGAACAATGGTTTTATGATTTATTATTCTCAAGAATTATTTCACAAAAAAATATTAAAATATTTTATAAAATTTATAATTTAATCAAACAAATGAATTGCAAATTAAAAGATAAAAGTCAACCATCATATATACCTTTTCTAGGAAGAATTCTTCAACGATTAATAAAAGAAAATTTTCTTGAAATTCAAAAATTATTTTTAATCAATGATGAATTTATTTATAATTTAGATTTATCATTAATATTAGGAAATAATTATAATACAGATGAAATTAATTTAAATTATTTTATTGAAATTCATTCATTATTAAATAATCAATTAACATTAAAACAATTATCTCATTTAATTCAATCGTGTTTAATGACAAAAAATTCAGAAATTTCTTTTCAATTTATTCAATATTTATCAAATATTCAAACAATAGATGAAGAACAACATTCCAAATCAACTATTGATTATATAAAACAATTTTTATCAATTATTATTCGTGCAACTATTTATGATCTTGATGAAATTAACAGAAGAATTAAATTAAAAAGAGATATTCTTATTAAAAATGGAGAAACTATTTTTGATTTAAGAGCAAAATTAGTTATTAGAAAATCAACTAATCAAGACAATGAAAATAATACTCAACAATTAATAGTAAGAATCAATTTAATTATTAAACTTTTAATTAAAATCATGTAGAATATATTCAGTATAGAAATATGAATAACAAAATTAAAAAGTTCTTATAAGAAAATCTAAAAAGAAGAACTTTAGTATAGATATATCATTTATTATGTGAATGAACCACAACTAAAGTGGTAGCCACAGTGAATGTACTGAGCTAAGGATGCCTGAAAAAGTACGCTGCTAATATATCAGAGAAACCTTCGATTCGGATACTGATAAATATTTTAAAGTATTTTTAGCTATCCTATTAGCAAAACTGTAGTATACCAATGATCGAACCTAATCTTTGACTTTTTTCATTCTTATTTTTTTTCGATGCTGAGAGTGTGGGTGAGGATGTGAATATGACATCAATATATAATACCCACACCCATCCTCACGATGGTTAGATTCGAATCCAATTGAATTCAAATTATCTTAGAAATGATTTGAGTGTATTGATTGCCCAATAGAAAAATAATATTATCTCGTAGAAAGATTTCGAATATTCCTATAAGAAACTCTCAATTAGACTATTAAAACTATAGATCCTATTGGAGTTTAAAATAATCTTCTAAAGACTAGTATAATAAAAATATATTTTCTTTCTTTGAAACATTGGAAATCAAATCTTTATTCTATATTTAATTTAGACTGATAGTGAACGTCATATTGATGAAGTAGAAGAGAAGACAGAAGAAAAATGTATTGAACCAGTATTTTATTTTGAACATTATCAATACGAAAGAATTCCTTCACATCATTTTAATATTGGTGATTCAATTGCATTAATTGATCAAGAAGAATTAGATAATTATTTCAATAAACAAAATAAAACCGATGAAAAACCACCATTACGTTTATTTTATCAATCATTTGGAATTATTTTAAGTATTCATCCATTCTTATCAATAAAATTTCTCTATTGGCCATTATCATTAACAAATAATAATTATTTAAATCGACAAAAATTATTTCGTTTAGAACGTTTACCAAATTTTGTTACATTAAATCGTTCAATTGATGCATTTGAAAAAATTATTGAAAAGAATGATATTTTAATTATAAAACCATTATTAAATTTAACAGAAAATATTGATAAAAATTCTTTAAAAGAATATGCTCAAGAAAAAATCAAAATATTAGAAAATAATTTCTTTGATGATAATGAATATCAACATGCTAATTTAAATGATAGTCAACGTCAAGCTATAAAAAATGCATTAGAAAATCGTTTAACATTAATTCAAGGTCCACCTGGAACTGGAAAAACTGAAACATCAGCATGGATAATTCATTTATGGTTAAAAAGTTTCTTTCAAGAAGGACAATCACCAATTTTAATCTGTGCTGAAACACATCAAGCAGTGGATAATTTAACTCGACGTTTATTAAAACACCACTATCGTCTAGTTCGATATGGTGAACCAAGAACTGTTGCACCAGATCTTCATGTCAGTATTTCTATTTACATTTGAAACACATTAGTTTTTTATTTAATCATATAGAAGTGCACTACTAATTTCCAATTTCATTTAAACTATCGTATTGAAAGATTCTCGAGAAAAATCATTTAACTACAGACGAATGAATTTTTCTTTGAATATTTAATTAAAAAAAATTGCAGAAAGAATATTACTATTCAGATTAGATCTATTACGATTTTATGCTCATACGTTAAAAATCTTCAGAGTGAATCATTTTTTCTTTTTGTTTTTCAGGAGTATACAATGCCTAGACAAATTGAATCATTACGTCGTGAAAAACAAAAATCGAATCCAAATTCTTCATCCAAATCTTTATTTGGTCCACCAAAACCAAAAGAAATTTTGGAAATTCTATCACAATGTCAGATATTATGTATGACCTGTTCTGGTGTGGGAATATTAGAATCATCTATGAAATTTCCATTTATTTTAATTGATGAAGCATCACAAATAACTGAACCAAATATTCTTATTCCATTAGTTCGAATAACAGATCAAATTGTTCTTGTTGGTGATCAAAAACAAGTTCGTTTAAATAATTTTCATTAAATTTCAATGTCATTATTTCATTTTTTTTAGTTACCACCAATTATAAAAATGGCCGAAGCAAAACAATTATTAGAACGATCATTTTTTGAACGTTTATTAGAAAATTTAAATATAAACTCGATAATGTTAGATACACAATATCGTATGCATCCATCATTAATTGATTTTCCATCAAAAATCTTTTATAATGGTTTATTAAAAAGTGGTGTGACATCTGAACAAAGACCAACACCAACTGAAATAACATTTATTAATAAAGATATTCCATTAATGTTTGTAGATGTTGATCAAGGTGAAGAAAGAATTCATGGATCGAATATTTATAATAAACAAGAAATTGAATTTATTTGTCAAACTATTCAAATATTATTACCACGTCAACAACCAAAATTAACACCGTAAGAAATATTCATTTTTTTTTTGTTGAGATTTATTTTTATTGTATTATAGAATGGATATTGGTGTTATTACGCCATATACAAGACAAGTGAAAGAAATAGCTGAGAAACTAATAAATAATCAAATTCCAAAAGGTGTTGAAGTTCGAACAGTTGATGGTTTTCAAGGACGAGAAAAAAATATAATTCTTATTTCATTAGTTCGATCAAATAATGAAAATGAAATTGGATTTTTAGTTAATGAACAACGTATGAATGTACTTTTAACACGAGCGAAATGTGCAATGATTGTTTTTGGTAATAAAAAAACTTTAATTTCAAATAATCTATGGAAAAATTGGATTGAAAATGTACCAAATATTAATTCAACACAATTTATTAATTATTGTTTAAAAAAAGAACAAAATCAAATAACAACTCAACATCAAGCGTATTCAGCAAAGAATAACTATCGAAAAAGAAGATAACCTCAATAAAAATCATAAACAATTCTTTTTGTTTTTGTTTTTTGAATCTATTCATATTATTGTACAATCAAGATATAATCAAATTCTTTTGTTTTACAAAATAAAAAGTTGTTGATGTAATTAATTTGATATAAATCTAGATCTGTGGTGAATAATGGTTACAAATCGTTCTATTGTTTTTCGAAATTGTCGACGATATGTTGATGAAACCAATGTGTACAAATAAAAATTTAACTAAATATATATTATTTAATAAAATATTATTAATATAAATATTTAATTAACTTACTGTTCCAAAAATAAATGTCATCATAACTGCAATTGCATTAATAAAACTTTCAATTGCTGTTCGATTAGGAGTTCGAATAGTTGAACTTGTAATAACACTATATAGAGCATAAATTGCACTTAATACATTTAACATAATATAAAGAAGAACTTGAATCAATGAAATCATAGTTAATTGTTTTCCAAATTGTTTCTTTTCTCGTTGTTCTACTATCACTTTTTGTTTGCCACCATCAATAGTTTCATTTCTGTTTGTAGTTCTTACTACAGTCATCATACTTCCATCTGTATGAGGTGTAATAAGATTACGTCGTCGACGTAATCCATGTAAATTGTTCAAAGTTAAAAGACTAAATATAATCATAAGAAGAATTGGTATACTTGTATCAATTGTAAGACTATTAACTGTAATGAAAATAGTATAAATACCATCTTGTCGTTTACAAGCTGATCCATTTTGATACCCATTATATCCAACCCAAATATTTGAATAATAAATCATCCAACCTAATATACTCAATGGAATATACCATTTAGCTACTTTAAATGAACTCATTCGACGAAATTTAACATTTGTTGATGTTATTAAAAATCGATCAATAACAATTGAACAAAGAAAATAACGAGCCATTGTTAATGAAAGATTTGAAATATAAATTCGACCAGTACAATACCATCCAATAGTACGAGATGGATCTGGAAAACCCATATATGATAATATACGAGTGATAAATCCAGTATTGATTGAAATTAAATTTGCAACAGAAACAACGAGAAAATACCAAGAACAAACACCTGAACTACGAAGTTTTGCTTGAGAAAACATAATCAAACTGAAAATATTTCCAAGATTTCCAGCTATATATAATGGACAATAAACATATCGGGATAATTGTAAATGAATATTAGCAAAAATAGCAGTTAATGGAGATGTGCTCGACATTATTTTGATTCTCTAAATGAAAGAATTTCTTGTTATGAGAAAAAAAATATATGTAACACTCGTCTTTAGCTGCATAATTAATAAACTTTCAATTCAAGATCATATCAAAAACAGTACGTGTCACCTAAAGGATGATATATTTTTACAATGCACTATTTAATAAATGACCTCATTTCATCCATGTTACTCGAAGGGAGAAATATGAGAAATTAAAATAATTAAAAACGCAGAAAAAACAATGCCTTTGATAAACAAATGCGTATAATAATCATCGTATTTCATCATTATTCAAAGATCATTTTTCACGAAAATAACATCTTTTTAAGCCATTAAGTTTTATAATGCATATCAGTAATATATACAGATTAATTTAAATCTACATGAAAATTTTTCATTGTTGATGACTTACTTTTATATCAAAATGAATGGTGTTGATATTTACGTATTTTTATTTTTTCTCGATTAATTCAGTTTTCTTCGTTTCAGTATCTAAAAATAACAGAAAATAAAATGTCATTTAGTCGAGTCAAAAGCAGATTAAAGTAGAATATATTGAACTAGACAGACAATTTTAATGTAGTAATATCTCATTCACCTCGTTGTTTGTTCATTGAAAAATTAGAGTTGAACAAATAGTTTTAATTAAATAATCTTATCTTTTTTAATGACAAATTTTGACTGGCAAACATTTTTAATCTACTTGATTATCGTATCGTATTTTTCGGATTATCTCAAAATCACCTTGAGGGTGAAATTGAGGACGTAAATTTCAAGGTTATACCCTCAATATATGTTGCTACTGTTGCAGTACTAAGAATGTTTACCTCATTAGAGTTCTTTTCATCAATAAATTTGCTAACTACTTATTAGCTTTGATGATTACATATTGTTAATCAAGAGCAATTCATATAGATATATATAGGTCAATAATTAGAGTAGGTCTGTTTGTGCTCATCAATGTTTTAACTTGTCTGTCTGAGATTTTTGTTTTGATATTATTAATAGAACTAGTGTTCATTGAATATCCAATTATATATTCTAATACAGAAAAATATCAAAATCTATTTAAAGATGACATCTCTTGATGAATTATTAATTTAGTATACATCTAAACTAATTAAATAAGAAAATCTATGTTCAAATTGAACAATAAAATAAACATCATACATTGTTTAGAATTACATTTACTTATTAATTATTGAGCCAACTGACATAAACGTTATATTCAATTAATTAAATATTTTTCTATCTATGAACATTTATTTCAAACTCCAGACATCATGAACTTATTTTCCTTATCGTTATACATTGCTTCACTGCATATTTTCAACGTATAATAAATATAAAGTGATATTTCATTGCAACTGAGGATATTTATCATTTTTCAAAAAGCAATAGTGTCATGCTAAAAGTTGATTTTAACTATAGTTATTTATTACACATCGATTTATAAGTAGCAGTTAAGGAGAACTCTATAGAGCTTAATTACCTCTCAATAGTGAAATATTACCGTAATGCTTAATTGTATTTCGAATTGTAAAATAAAGGTGAACTTGCTTTTTTCTGTAGGAAGACAAATATGTTTAGTGCATCTCTACATCACAATATTCAAATAAAAGAGTGGGTATGGGTGTGACTTCTTCGTTGATAGATACTCATACACACCCACACCCCGAATGATGAAGAATTTCGTTGAAAAACAAGAAAAGAACTTGATAATTTAGTTGATACTGTTGTCCATGAATTTCGATAATCAGAAAAAAATCAACTTGGAAAATGGGAAACATCACGAAAATAACCATGAACTATTCTTTTTTACTGATTCTAATAAAGTATTCGAGCACACAATACTCTTGTCGTGTCTATAAATCATTTTATAAATATAACGTTTAGATTATGATATGATTTTTTTCTCTTGCGTTCTCTAAAATATACATCGAGGACTATTCTTTCTCGTGTAGATCGAAGAACGCAAGAGAAAATGTTGATGATGACCCTATACACTCTCTCTCTCTATATATATAGATATATCCATCGTAATCTTTCATTTTTATCAAATCAAATTCGTACGCAATAACCTATTATATCTTTTACTATGTTTTCATTTTTATCATCGAAGGAACTGATCGGTCATTGTCTTTGCAAAGACGTGAAAGTCAAAATTGATCCTGTGTCTTTAACTGATAAATCCAATGAAATTCTCGTATGTCATTGTTCAAATTGTCAACGTGCTGGTGGTGGATTATTATCATATGAAATAATATTACCCGATGAAAAAGTTACTCTCATCGATGATAAATCATTGATTACAAGATATGATGATACTGATACAAAGTCCAAAAATGTTGTAGAACGCTATTTTTGTCGTCAATGTGGTAGTCCTATCTATGGAAAAACACCGAAAAATAAACCAAATATTACTATTGTCAAATTAAGTTTATTTGCTGGTGATCAACTACCATGTCCAACGAAAGAAGTATTTTGTGCAGAAATGATGAAATGGGAAAAAAAGATTGATGGTGTAAAACATTACGATGAAGGTCCTGAGTAAAGAAATCATTGACATCAAAGACGCAAAATTTGTTTTTAATCTTTTATTAATAAAATATATAATCTCGCTCTCATTCCACAAATTTTTACAAAGCATTTAGATAATAATATTTGAATTAACAAATCCTCATCAGTATTTCAACATGATCTGTATTGTAACATGCTACAGCTATATGTCTAAAAACCTGTCTTTATTAAAATCATCGACCACGATTGAATATAGCTGAGAATGAGTGCTATCTTGAGGGTGGGTGAGTGTGGGTGTAGAATCAGTATAAAACTCATACCCACATTCTAGTTACTCATACACATTCACACTGACTTGATTATCCAATAAACAAAAATGATTTCATACTTCTACATCGTCTTTGAACGGAAAGAAACACATATTTTAATTCAGTGTTAGATATAACAATTAAATCGGTTTAAATTTTTCATCACTACAGTTCTACAATTGATTTTTCTTGTTGAATATTAAAATTTTCTGATCATTAATTATCGATATCTTTCATTTGTCTACGATCATTTTTATGAATAAAACTAATTATTATCGATCGGGGGTGGGTGTGGGTGTGGATATTGTCTTCATTTACTATACACCCACACATACCCTGAAGATGCCTATCATCCAATGATTCCCCATAATGACTCTGTAAGCAGTTACTGTGAGCACACAACACCAATATTTTTACCAAATATACAATCTATCAAGCGTCCTTATCTACGTACGTAACCCATTCGCAAAGTACAACTAGTTACACAAACTCCTTTTTCACACGTTGCACAACAAAAAGCATACGTGTCAGTGAGTCATTGTATTGAAGACGCAGAAAAAAAAGGAGGAACACATGCATTTTCTTCGACCTTGACTAATATAAATAGAAAAGAAAAAGGTTGTCGATCATTCGTGCTGTTGTAGTAGCATAAAAAACGCGACAAAATGTTTTTCCTCACTGGTATTCTCATCGCTTTGCTATTAGTTGTAATCGTGATCTATCTATGGAATATTCGAAAGGCTTACGATTTTTTCATTCGTCTCAAGATTCCAGGACCACCACCGACGTTTTTTTTTGGCAATATCTTGGACATAACAAAAACCAGAGGAACATCCATCGCAATCAAACAATGGGGTAACAAATATGGTCACATCTTTGGTTATTTCGCAGGACATACACCCATTCTTGTAGTGTCCGATCCAGATGTTCTCCAAGATGTGTTTATTAAATCATTTTCCAAATTTCATTCTCGTCGTCCGTCTCCTATTGTCAATCAACAAGCAAAGGATGTTAGTCTGTTTAATGCATTTGGTCTTCGATGGAAAAGACAACGGTTTGTTATCAATCCAACATTTTCCTCCTCAAAACTTAAACAAATGTCACCGCTGATTCATCGAAGTATCGATATGCTGATGACTAAAATGAATGAGCAATATGATCGAGGCGAACCATTTGACATCTATACTTACTTCAAACGATTCACAATGGACACTATATGGTCGTGTGGTTTTGGTCTCGATACTGATATGCAAAATAATGTTAACGATCCGTATCTTCTCAATTCACAGCTGATTTTTGCACAGAACAAGTTTCGTCGAGTAGCAATTATTTTATTTATGTTGTTATCAGAATGGAGAAAAGTGTTGGCATTTCTATTTCGATCAATTAACTTTACCCGTTATTGGCTCCGACGTTATATACCTGTGACAAAACGGTTTTTCAAAGAAAGTCCGGCTACATGGATTATGAAACAAGCAGATGAAATGATCGAAAAACGTAAACAAATTGGTCATACTGGTCGAACAGATTTATTACAGTTGATGCTCGCTTCTATGTCAGATGAAGACTTTATTCAAGTATGTTTATTTCTCACAATTTGTATCTTGCGTATTTTCGTATAACATGTACTTCTATATCTTTAGGATCGTCCAGCATCGTTCGAGAAAATTGGAGATACAGAAGTTGAAACGCCTTTAGTTCGAAAAATTACTAAACATGAAATCTCTGCCAATGTTTTCCTTTTTAGTAAGTAAATCAACATTTCATGTGTTTGCTCTCTTTAATTTTCTCTTTTTACATTCTAGTGATTGCTGGTTATGAGACAACAAGCACAGCTCTAAGTTACGCGACATATATTCTCGCGACTCATCCAGAAGAACAGCGAAAATTGCAAGAACACATCGATGCTCATTTCGATCCAGAAACAGAACACTCAATGCCAACATATGAGAATGTCTTAGAAATGGACTATCTGGATATGTTCATTCGAGAAACACTTCGCATGTTTCCCATTGTGCCAGCGGCTATCAACCGCGAAAGTACTGAGGAATTTTGTATTGAAAACTTTGGAATTGTGCCGAAAGGTACATTAATCACCATCGACATTTACAGTTTGCATTTTAACCCAGATTTATGGGGACCTTCGGATCCACAAGAGTTTCATCCTGAAAGATTCGCTACTAAACGACATCCTATGGGATGGATCCCATTCGGCGCTGGATCACGAAATTGTGTGGGCATGCGATTTGCTTTACTTGAAATGAAAATGTTACTTGTTCGATTGCTGAAAACTTATACCCTGATCGACTGTGGTGAGAAAACACATAAACCATTCGAACAACTTCAAGAAACATTTGTGATCACACCCAGCGAACTCTGTGTCCGGCTCCAGCGCAGAGATGAACAGCATGAGTGAGGAACTCCATCTAGAGGGTGTGGATGTGGAGTGAAACTCAAAGAGTAGGAAACCCTGGCGTACATCCACACCCTCAAGAATTTGAAAATATTTTGCTCATTAATTATCAGTCTCTTTCCTTTGTCTACAATTATTATTATAGATAAAACTAATTATTATCAAGCGGTCATGCAAAAATTTTCGTAATAGCTATTTATAAATAAGTGATGTGCGCATAAATTTTATTTAGATGAAAGAAAGTTTCTATTAATCTTTGTGCTTTTCATGTTTATAAATAATGTTCTTTTTTCTTTCATTTACTGTCTGATTCATTTGTAATGATAAATAATAAAACGTCACTTTCTCGAATTGTCTTATAGAAAAGAGAAAGCACTAACATTCAAATACCAGTAATAAGAAATTAAATTGAAAAGTTCTTTTGCCTAGATCTCTAAATAAACATCGGTATGTAATTAGAGTTCCATTTTCTTGTTCCTATGATCATTTTAAAGTAGAAAATGTTTCTTTATTCCTTCTTAGAATAACAATGAATACATTGGAGAATAATTCTACGATCATCAACATCGAATTATGGTTTATTCCTATTGGAATTCTGACAATTCTAATGACTACTTTAGTTATTATCCTTACAATATTTTTTCTCTTCATTATGATTATTGACAAAACGTGTCATACAGTTCCAATGATCTTAACTGGCAATTCATATTTACTTGCCCTAATATTTGGATGCATTATGTTGAGTTTTAATATATTTAGATTGGAAAATGATTTTAAACGAATTGAATATCAAGATTCTTTTTGTATATTTCGAAGTTATATGGGATATGTTTCGGCTACTCTATTCAATTATTCATTTGTATTACAAGCTGTTTATCGATATATTCTTATTATGTATCCGATGCATCTATTTTGGCAATCAGCAAAATTCCAAACCTTCTTCACTGCTTTCATCTGGATATTAGGTTTTACATATCCTCTGGCATTTATATTTACTGGTGATATCATCTATGATGTGAATAATCAGGTGTGTCAAATACCTCTTCAATTGTCCTTTCCAGTAGTTTATATCGCAAGTTTAGGTGCTATATTTCCTATTTTATTGATTATGTTTATTTATTTTAAATTAGTTCAATATGTTCATAAAATGAGTAAACGTATAATACCGGTCAATACATTATTTCGTGCACGACGAGAATTAAAAATGGTTCGACGTACGGTTATATTAATTTCAATTCTAATCACAGTTACTTTTCCTTATGTTATATTTATGTTCATGTCATTTTTTAAGCGTCAACCAAAATCTTACTTTCGAATTGCTGATGCCTTCAGTGATTTATCGTTATTTTTAGTAATAATTACTTTATTTCAGTTTACTGAACCACTTAAAACTTCTGTGATGAAAAGAGTAAATGGACGAGTAAATATGGTAACGACATAGGAGTAGAAATATCACTATTTGTTTGATGTTGTTTTTTTGTATTTTATTAAAAAAAGATGTCAAGGTTTAATTACAATTCTAGATGATGAAGTTTCGATCATATATAAATCAACATTTCTCTCAAAAAGATATCATAATGAATTTTATTGAAAAAAGAACATGTAGATTTCAAGTATTTAATTAAACGCATGTAAGAGAACGACAGTACAATTACGCTAATATATATACATCACGCGGATCGTTTTTCAAGTCTAACAAAGACCTTTTCCGGTTGAATAACAATATGTTCACGTATATTCATCTTATATTTTTCATCTGATGCTGGTAAAAGCTGATATTCATTAATTAGTCTAACTAAACATAATTTTATTTCCACTAAAAATATCAATAAAGAATTATTTTAAGTAAAATAAAGAGAACGACTTACTAAGGGCAAATCGCATACCAAGACATGTACGTGGTCCAGCGCCGAATGTCAAAAAAGCTAATGGATTTCGTTTTTGTGAATGACGTTCTGGATGAAATTCTTCAACTGCTTCGGGACCCCATAGTTCCTGATTAAAATGTACTGAGAATACATCGACTTGAATTAATGAACCTATTTAAAAATGAATTTCTAATACAGATTTACTTTTTCTTCACCGTATGAAATAATACCTTTTTCTATCTGATATCCAACGACATCAGTATCTTCCATACATTGACGATTAATCGCTTGAATAGCAATAGGATACATACGTAAAACTTCCTTGACAAAATAATCCAAATAAGTTAATTTCGTCATAATAACATCATAAGAATTAGTCTCCGAGGACCAATGTTCAAGAATTTCTTCATATAATTTTGCTTGAATATCTTGATGAATGGCAAGACGATATGTACAATAACCAAGTGCGGTTGATGTTGTTTCAAAACCAGCTATTAATAAAACGAATGCATTACTGAACAGTTCAGAGGATGATAATTGTCCCTAGATGAAAGAAAACATTTTTAGATGAAATATTTTAAATAAGGAATAATAATAACTTTTTCGGAATGAACAGCATCAATCATTAATTGAATAAAATCATCTACTCTTTTCTTATGATCTAATTCAATTACTCTTTGTTGAATAAATTTTTGCATATTTTCAATTAACCAAAAATTTGCTGGAAGTGAAGAAGTTTGACAATGAAAAAACTGTTTCAATTGATATAGAAGTGAACATATCCGAGCTAATCTTGTATTAGAAATAATACGATGTATTTTTCCCAGATTAGTACGTTCAAAATCTTTGGCAAATAATTCTTCAATCTTTTTCATATAAATATTATTATTATTCATATCATTTTGAACTTTTGTATCAATACTAAATGCACATTGACCTATTTTAAAGAAATAAAAATCATTCCTATTCATTTCATATATCTTACATATAACATCCATTGTTAATCGTTTATATATTTCATAAATATTGATAATTGTTCCATCTGTGATCATCGATAATCTTTCGAGAAATGTATTAATACATATATCAACTGTTGGTAATAATCGTCTCATTTTTGCTCCACTAAATGTTGGATTAAGTATCATTCGTTGTCGTTTCCATAATTGTGGAAGATTCGCTGTAAATACATTCGAACGTGTATTGCCTAATATCCGACTGGAAAATGCTGTTCGTCTTGCATAAAAACGAGCAAATTGTTTGACATAAACTTCTTCAATAAATTTCATATCAGAGACAACATAGAGAGGACGAGTTCCTTCAAAAGTACCATAGATAGAACCATACTGAAGAGTCCATTGACGAAGTTGTTCAGAATAAGATTGTACTGACCACAGTTCAGATAAATGACCAAATATTATCGAAGTTATAGCTGGAGATGGGATTGAACGGCGAAAAAAATAACTGTAACGATGATAAATTACATAGCTGATCAAAAATATGATGATGCCGATAAGAAGAATAGGTAAGAACATCATTTTTTAATCTTTCTTCAATGAATAAAGTTGTATTTCACATTCATTCTATATTTATATATGTATATATGTTGAACTCAACGCACTTTTCGAACGTTATAACAAAGAAAGATACGCAGATGTTATTTGACTTATACACACATTTTCCGCTGAATAAAAAAAATAATCTATGCATTTCTTCATGATGATTAGAAAAAGAAGAAAGACAAGCTGTTCTTCACGTTTAACGTGCATACATATATATAGACTATATCAGTCAAACTTATGAACAACATGTTCATGCTATTTTCACTGTGACTTCAATCACTTTTAACACATTGAAAATCAATGATAATCATAGAATCTAGTACCATCTATAATTATTCAACAAGTTCTCATTATCATCAATATTATTATGATCGATAATAAAAAAATATGATCGTAAAATAGTACCGTTTTTGTACGAAAAAATTCAATCAATAATGATTTTTTTATTATTGGTAAATTTCATCCTTGACATATACCCTGCTACTGCAAAAAAAAACATGAAGTAAAAAAATCTTGCTCGTTCTATACGTCTTTATGGCGACTTGTCACATGTTTCTTTTTATTGCCTTTTTTTCATTCTTTCGCAACACGTACTCCTATTAAATTATTAAAGAAATTGCGACATCAACTGGTAGAATATGTTGTTTTACGTGTAATAAAGCAAAAGCTACATCAAAATGTGCTGGTTGTTTGAAAGATTTTTGCTTTACTCATTTGAGTGATCATCGTCAAGAATTGGCGAATCAACTAGATGATATTGAAGTTCATCGAGATCTTTTTCGACAAGCACTCAATGAACAAACAACTGATCCGCAAACACATCCATTAATCAAGAAAATTGATCAATGGGAACAAGATTCTATTAATAAAATTCATGAAACAGTAAAGGAAGTTAGACAAGTATTATTCCAACATACTTTACGTCATACTAATCAATTAGAAGAGAAGTTAAATTTATTAACAAATCAAATTCGAGCGTGTCGAGAAGAAGATGATATTATAGAAACAGATTTGAGTCGATGGCACAATGAACTTATACAACTCAATGAACAATTTATTAAACCACAAAATATAATAATTCAATATGATTCCATACCACTTGTGAACAAAATTCATGTTGATATATCATCGAGTAAAGTTCATACAATAGATGAACCAATAAAATCTAATGAAGGTAATTATTTTGTTTCTTTCTTGTTACTTAGTTTATATGACTGTATAAATACAAAATAGTCAAACACTTATCGAATCGATGATTTCATCATCAGTTGACATAGTTCTGAATATAAATGATTAATAAATCAGATACACATATCAATACTCACAGCTATCCACAAGTTACATATCCATTCTTTTTTTATGTAATATGGGATGCTCAACTTTCGATTCATTTTCTAGATAAAACAACAAAAAATAGCTTCTCATATGTACATGTAAGTGAAGAGAATCAATATAAACTGATTTTTATTTAAATTTTCATAATAGAATAAAGACACATCTACCAAACCAAATGGTAAAATAATTCAATTATCAAAAGCTTTATCTTGGCTTCTACGTCATGCTGTGATAAAAGAGGGTTTACAATTTCAATACGATGGTTATGTTTTCGTTAAAGATGTACTTAAACATCCGACATTTGCTAACAAATATACAATTGAAGATATACATCAATGTGTAGAAACAAATGAGAAAAAGCGTTTCGCACTTCAAATTGATCGAGTAACAGGTCAAGAAATGATTCGAGCACAATTGAAGTAGTAGTTCGACGATGCTAATATTAAGATGCATAAAAATTATGATACTATTTTCGATTTCGTTTAGAAAAGGACATTGTACCGTGTATTTTTGTCTCTTTTGTGTATATTCTTTTTATTTTAGTAAATAAATTATTGTCAACATCTTTGAAAAGACCATAACAATAAAAGAGATAAATGGCGGATGCACATCAGTTTTCTATTCTATTACACAGAATTCCGATGGAACATTAGGGATCAGTTCAAGATGAACTATGAAGATATCTTAACGGTGTGGATATGGAGTGACGATGCGTGTTATTTTCTCATCCACTCCACACCTATCCTCAAGATTAGGGATTAGTTTTTCTTTTATGGATTAATGTCATCATCACAACGGAGCCGTTCAGACTCTTTAATCTATAAAGAAAGGATGTAATCTGCCATCTGACGATATGTAAAAACCTCAAGATTATGATTATATAACTAAAAATTTTGACAATGCAAGGTAAAAAAAGCTATGTTCATTGTTTCGAAAAAAATGAATTCAATCACAAAAATGTCCGGATAAAAATTATATTAATATTGAGTTTCTCGTATTAATCATAACCGCTCCAGTCTGAACTACCATCAACATCGGAATAATGTTCAGTTTCTTCTGATGATCCTCGTACACGAATTTCAAATGGCTCTTTAATATTTTTGATTCGATTGTTGAACCATGATGGCCGTTTATCAGTCACACGAACAGGTATTCGATCGATATTAGATGCATTATGGAAACACCATAATCGACGGTTATCCAATGACCAAATGTTTCCACTTCTTGTTCTTATAACATTAATCTTTGGCACTTTATCTACATTAGTTATGCCATCTTCAAGATCTTGGCGTAACTGCTCAATACTCTGTCCATTGCGAAATCGAGCTAAATTAAGAAAAATACGTAAGATAGTTTATCAAGCTATCTTATATAGTGACAAGAATAAATGGAGTTTGAGAAATTTCACGTATCTATTAGGTTTCATTGGCGGTACTACATCTGGGAATATTAAGAAAATGATTTTTTAAGAAATATGAATAGGTTTTCATAAATATTCTCTTATCATTTAGCACTGTCTGATACTACCATATTATGTTGTTATACTTCTTGTGTATGTCTGCAAATATCGATTTCAGATTAGTAGAATATTATTGTATGCGAACCTCAAATGAGCATGATAATGGAGAAAATCTCTCTTCGGTGTATTCTTATTATCATAGATGAATATTGTCGTAAAAAATAAATAACAGCAGAGACAGAATGAAAAGACAGTGTTAATGAATCATATTTGACCTTACGTAAGCGCATCCAACATTGTCATTGAACATGTTACTCAAAATTTGAAAAAATTGTTTAGTAATATTTGGAAATGAATTTATTATCTGAAACAAGCTCAACAAAGACTATTGAGAAAAACTCATACTCTCACCATTGACTTTAATTAGATATAGTATCTGGCTCATATTGGCAACTCACTTCGAAGTCTGCATGGGCAGACATGCAAGTATAACTCCTGAAAAACCAGGTACTCTCTAATTAAAAAATTAAAATTGAACTCAACATACGGCTAATCGATTTTTGAGTATAACGGATACGGTGTGGATTCATGTAAACAACATCATCATCCTCTTCCTTTTCATTGATATCATCATCAAAGTCATCATTTACTTGCCATGTAAGACTACCATTATCTTTAAAGATAAAATAATTATCTTCATCTTGTGGATCTAACACAAGACATTTTGTATGTTTCAATTGTGTGCCAATATGTCGTGGTATTTGTGATGACGAACGGGCAGTGTCGTCTTGAAATGATACCCACCACGTATTATCAGGTCCAAATGTAATATTTTTTACCACTGGCAGGGATTTCTGACGACCATTCAATTTATTATGAAAATCGTTTGGAATACTATTCCACGATAAACTTAAATCACTATATTGTAATATATAACTCGCGTTATCATCATCATCATCATCATCATTGAACCAGAGCTTGTCACGAAAAGAAAACAAAATTTAGTAATGCTAGAAAAACTTAAAACGTATTTTCTCACCTTGAATGGTTTATCGACTGAATTTCTCAAGTCATCTCTTAGTTTTTGATCGTCAACATCATAAACTACTTTACCGTTCTCCAGCCTAAACAAAAGAAAATGTTTTCTAAAAATTCTTTCTCTACCTAATTTTTGTGAAATATCAACACAAAATATTTGAACTCATTATTTACGGATTCTCTTTTCTTACTAAAACGTTTATTAAAATGCAATCAATCTGTGATGAATTGTAAACAGACTCGATAGTATGTTCTCATTGATCGTGGTAATGAATATGGAAAGCTAAAATATTCATAGTTATCAAAAACTTCTCAAATGAATCAATACTAATTTAAGAAAGAGTATTGCAATCAAATAAACCAATTGCAAAAGATGTCGCTCACTTATTTGTACGATTAACAAAATGTAGAACAATTTTCAAACTTTTGATAGTTTGAAAAAATTAATTGAACATTGAAGTACTCAATAACTACCTGAAAAACCATTGTTCATTGGGTCCAAGTGAGACAAATTCAATTTTTGATTTGGTTTGTTCCATTTTTTTTACTAATGATTCCGGGACACCTCGACTTGACCATGAACCATCATCAAATAGTATAACATAAGATGAATTGTACAGTGCGACATGAGCTGGATTACGTGATTCGCTCATCCTACAATCAGATACCACATAGATTTAGGTTTTATTAAATGGACAACAACGAAAGTTTTGTGTGACAGTGATATAGAAAGATGTATCACCCAAAATATTTTTTCATTTGAATGTGCATGAAAAACTGCAACGTTTATGAACACTTCTAGTAATCGAACATGCCTGTACTCTTTCAAGTAAACATAATCAACTACATATATAGTGAACAGGATTTGAGAACCTTTTGAGAATTTGAAAAACATACGTCTAGAAACACTACATCCTGAAACAATGATTACGAGTCGATCACATTCAAAAGAAAGAATCAATAAACGACGGTTTTCACTTTTTCTTCGAGTGTCACTGGATCACAATCTGAGTTCTAGAGTGTAAGGTTCTATTAAAAGCATCAAACTTTTATAACAGGTTTTCCGTCATATGCTCAATATATTTCTTAGAATTTCCCAACGGAAACTTCAGCCAGAGATAGTTTTAGTGATAAAAAATATACCAATAATTTTTTTATAATACACCTTCTCAGGTTAGAAAATTGTCTTGGCATGTATATTTAATTAAAGTGCAGAGAAAGCGACCGAAGACATTATTTTTAAAAACTTTAAAGTCAACTAGCTGTTACTTACTTTGCTACGTATTTAAAAAATTATTTTATTAACTACTACTTTGTCGTGCTTTTTATATTCGTCAAAGAATTTCGACTGGGAAAAAACCCACTACCTTATTGATAAGCATGTCACTGCCCATTGAGTCATTTATATTAAAGATGTCACTAATGTGTGGGTAACCGATAAGCATAATCGTCGAGAAATTGAATTAAATTAAAAAATAAACGACGTCATCTGTTGACGTTTCATCTTGAAAATGTGGGTGCGATTGCCAGTTAGGATAATTATATTTTTTCCCTATTAGTTATATCCATACCATCCCTTAAGTGACTGAAGCATAATGATGCAAATTTAATTACAGTGGTTTATAAGACATCAAAGATAGGTGTGGGCGTGACTGATTACGATAGTGACAAACACCCACACCCACCATAAAACCGAAAAAATACGGAAACAATTGTAGTCGTTTGAATACTTTTTCTAAATTCATACATTGGGTATTTATTTATAGAACAGAACAAGATTTTATTACGTGAATATATGATCACGCTTTAATCTTGTACAAAATCACACGAAAATCTGATTGTCTAACTATTTAATCTTCATAATTATCAGAAGTAGAAAAAAATCGCTAATAAATGATCGCGCTACAATTAAATTTAAAAAATAATATTTCAGACGTCTTATGATTTGCTTTTATAGTTTTATTGATGCATTACTACACTCCCTCATACGGTGAAACTATTCAATTTTTCAAAATTTGCCAAGCTCATCTGATAATTCTGATGGTTTAGCCTCAATATTTTGTTCCAATTGCCATGCTCGAACTTCGTTCATTGGTCGAACACACATTTCTCTTTTATCAGTTGTTGGAAAGTTTAAATTTGCTAATTTTTGTAATCTTAAAATTTGTACTTGTCGCTGAATTTCTTTGTTTTTTGGAATATCATTTGTTGTTAATGAAAGTAAATCATTTAATATTTCTTGTAATTTATGTCGTTGTTTTGCTTTATTTGTACAACCACACCAAGGAAAAGAACTCCAAAATTTACTTTCAATATATCCATACAACGCTTGAATGAGTAAGTAAAACCAACCATTCGTCTCTACGCCAAAATCACTGTCCGTAATATTTTCTTGTCCAATTATATTAGTGATTTGATCCACTAATTGTTTTGATGATTCAAATTGTAGACTTTCACGATCGTATTCACGTTCAATAATTGACATAGCAAGGCTAACTAGAATTTGACTAAAATTCAGTTTATTTGGACCTGTTGTGAATATGCAAAATGCCAATTCGCTTTGTTCGCTGATTATCATATGAGATTTTTCAAAACCTTGATAAAATAAAATAGCACATAATAATCTACCAAATTGTGAATTTAAATCGATTTCATTTGTAATGATACTTCGAACTTGTGAGTTGTTGTCTATTTTATTCGTACTAACTTCATGTTGATTTGTATTCATTTGAGTTTGCAATACGAATGGTAAATTCGAACTGGTTAACAAAGGATTATCGCAAGGGACCATACTTATTCGATTATCGACTTGGGAATCCAAAGCGGATTTATACACATACTTAGCCCCATACGAAACAGTCATACAACCTGCGAAATCTTCATTTGCGGTATCATCATAAACTACTTGGTATAAAAATTTATGATCGTCTTGTTTTTCATAGTTTTTACGAAATTTATTGGCTTTCGCATTCAATTGGCTGTCAGTAGGTCGTGTAAATCCAAACCCATACCAGAGATGATTTGTAGCTGCTGATTTAGTTTCCTGTTCATCATCAATAAATTGTAAATTATTATAATCGAATAGACCAAAATCCAATTCCATCGGTAAACCGGCACCAATACAAATAAAACCAGCATTTTCGGCAGACTTCATATGTTTCAAAAATAAGTCCGATTTCATTGTTTGAAATGTTGATTCAGGTTTTGAATAAATAAAAATAATCAACTCTGTTGTATTCAACCATGTTAGTTCTGGATTATGAAATGCACCATAGCGTTCGATATCCCAAGTTTGACTCGAATATTTAAATAATCGAAACAAATTCTGGTATGCAAGAAACTCAGATCGACCAACATGAGCATTTGTCACTAGGAGTACATCAGTATGAATATTTGGTATAAATGTTGGTACAACTCTAATTTTATTTCTATGATTTTCAATAAGTACATCTCGTAATAATAAATTAATATTCCAAAATAAATGTTCATAATATTGATTAACAGCATTGGCATCCAAAGCGATTTCAAACCTAATACATTTTGTTGATCGAGGTGGAATATTATCATTAAATTTGTAGCGACCACGACCATCCGACGTTATTTCGTAAAAATATTCTTTGCTTGCAGGTAAAATTTTTATTAAAGAATGAACTGAAAGCGTAAATTCTATTGAACCAGCTGAATCCGAAGATGCACCGTACGATCGTGCAGAAATATTAGCAAAATGTACTGATACTATGGCTCGTTCATTAGGACCTAAAAAAGTTGGGATTTCAATACTTGTAATATGTATAGGATATTGGCAGGTTAATACAGTTGAGACTTCACTGCCACTAAATAGACGATTTAATAGTTTAATTTGCGATGTTATTTGTATGGATTGAATGTATGGTTTATTCATTGGAAGAGTGGATACAGCATTTATATGGCATTTAAATTGATGAGGATCGAGTAGAACGTGATTGATATACATGCTTGGCAATATACTAACATCGTTTGTACCATTAGTAATGTATCCTGTAGATGGAAATGATAGTATAGCTCCGTCGGGCATGATCATTGCACCGTTATTTGTCCATTTAACATTTGTAATAAAAAAATCTGAGTTAGGCTCGTAGATTCCATCGTTATTTTCGTCAGTAATAGTGTAACCAATAACACTAGCATGATATTTATCAAAACCCACTTCAATAATGCTACCATCTATAGCAACTACAGCATATTGAATTGAACCATTTCTTGCAGCCCAACCATCCTGACCGTGAGAACCAATCTTGCCTCTGCTACCATCCTTACCATCCTTACCGTAAGAACCATTGGAACCGTTATCGCCGGGCGGCCAACCGGATCCACCACGACCACCGGTACCACCAGGTCCACCCACACCGCCGACGCCGTAAGAACCACCGGTTCCACCGTGACTACCTTTGCCTTTTATTCCCGCTCTACAATCCAGCTCAATTAACATAAATAATCGAGGATCTACACTTCGAACCTGGATATGCCCACCAGCACCTGCACTCCCACCGTTTCCTCCGCTTCCACCCTTACCACCATCACCTCCATGACCACCTTTACCACCAGATGCACCATCGCTCCCCTTTCCAGCAGTATCATTTTGATGGTGCGCATTGCGCCCATCGGATCCATCAAAACCACGACCACCACGCGCTCCATTACCTCCATTGCCTCCATTACCTCCAACACCTCCGCGACCTCCGTTACCTCCTACGGCTTTCACAAGAATAATTCCACTTGATTTAGCCAATTGAAAATTGTGATTGACATTCGTAAGGGGTTTGGCGAGAGTCCAGTTGATACCAGCGGAATGCTCTAATGAACCCTGTGATATCTTAAATGTTGTCAGTTGCGTATTTAAATTGTCGACTGTTCCGCTTAATGCGATCCATGCATGTTCAGAATCTTGACCGGATTGACCTGACTGACCAGCAGATCCTTTCTTACCACTTCCACCATTCCCACCGCTACACCCTCTTGAACCTTTAGATCCATCAGATCCACTGTAACCACTAGCACCGGGATGCCCATCTGAACCTGATTTGCCACTAAGGGAAAGTGTTTGATATACAGGCTTTGTCAAAGCTCGCTGACTTACACTATCAACATCGAAACGAAAATTTAATAATGTAACCTCTGTCGTTTTACTCAACATGCTATGTTTTTTGGTTGTGATCAAACACAAAATGAATCGTGAACTACGTTTACAAATATATTCTCAACAGTATAAGTATAGCAGTTATTTTCTTATCTTCATAGATGATTTTAAATGACGAGTTATCAGTTTGCCTGCCGTTTCTATACTCCGCTACAGTCCTTAAAATGTCTGTTTTTTTCTTCTTTTTTTCTAATCTATTGCAACACAAAAAATTTTCATCATAACAAAAGAAAATTCTGAATACACATTCTTTAGACATACAACAAACCCGAAGAGAGTGGGTGTATTCTCTTTGTCCCAATATCCACACGCACGCTCTCAAGATGGTTTTTTCTTATACAATGACTGTTTTTATAAAAGTACAAGGTTAACAAATTCTTGGAAAAGGAAAGAGCATTTTTCAAACTTATATACACAAATACACCTATACATGACGCCATTCTTTCTTCTTTCGGTCCTGTTAATGTTTCGAAATTACTTTTCTTTTCTTGCTTTTTGCTGTGGCCATACTGCTAGGGTATGGGTGAGGATGTTGATGTGAATCAGAGAGTGAAGGTATGCTCTTAATCTACAATGTCACTCTCACACCCACCCCCAAGGTACGTATAATTAGTTTTGATAGGTTTCAATTTCAAGTGCCCGCATGACGCCTAATCAGGTAACTCACTTCATGCCATATATTTATTGAAACTGAGTGTGCTTCACTGCGTCTTGTCCCCTTCATAAAAGCCTCGCCAGCATAATAATTTCACTTTTTTTTACATCCTACCTTCCGTAAACTTGTTTACAAAGTATTATTATAAAAAAACTTCTTTATAAATCTTCTCGTTTTTACCCGCACAATAATTTCTTCAACGCTGACTTCTTTTTTTAACTTTGGTTTCTACAGTCTTTTTATTGTTTCTTTTGGTCTGATGGTGTCAAATTGAAAATCCCCATCTTAAGGTTTACCTCATCTATTTCTTGGATCTTATTCATGCATTCCCAACAAAGAGGAACTTCTAAAAAGTGACATGAAGTAAGTTCTATCAGTTGTGTTTTATATAAGAGTGTGAATGTAGGCGGGTATCTTCTTCAATTATACCTACACCCTCTTCGCTCACATTCATATTCACCCCGTCCTTCTCACTTGCACCTTCATCCTTACTCTCATTCTCACCCACCTACATGTTGACTGATATACCATCAGCAAAACGATCGAGCCATTTATCATCATTGACCTTTGGCTCTAATATCAATCTAGTTTTCGTTAGTACTTTACACAATTGTCGTTAAATTGCATATTGTGAAAGAGGAGGACGTCTGTAGAAGAAAACATATAATTTTGAAAATTAAGACTAGATAAATATCAACAGTGTGAAACTTGAAACTTGAATTCGATTGAAAAACGATTAGCTGTCGAGTGTGAGCTCGAATATCCATGAAAATTTGGCAAAAAAACATCAATACTTGTATAGATAATTTGAAAAAGACTTAGATGCATGGAGTATCGCTAAGAGAAATTCAATGTTCCCTCTAAAATTTGAGACGCTAACTGCATCCTTACGGAATCTGCAAACAATATCATGCTTGTTAGTCATCACATTGTTATCGTGTCTTTTCTTTTTTTTTCTCGTGTTCTGTTTTTAAGAGTCAGTTCTTTTTTGTTCTTTTTTTCGAATATAAACAATTTTGAGTGCAATTTCTTTTACACTTATCTGGAAGAATTAATCCATTACCAACGCCACTAGTAGTAAACTGGACTTCTTCCAAATGATATACTTCATCTATGCTCTAATCTCACTGTGCTTTCACCCTCAATTTTAATCGTCGGATCAGTATTCTTTCTTCTTTTCAACTGAGAAGATAAAGTCAATATTTTTCATATACTTTATCAGGACAAACAACTCAGTGTGAAATCGAGGATCAAATATTTTGTAGAGCTGTGAAATGGTGGTTCGATAAATACTTGATATATTAATAATGCACGTTATCTTTCTTTCTTTCGTTTGTTTGGTGACACATGAGATCTGTCGAAATAAATGTGCGCAGAGTTACCTGATATCTTTTAGTATACTATCGAAGTTTGTTTGGAAGAGTAGTCAACACGAACTAATAATAATTATTCGAAATACTTCAATTTATTTTTTTTTTTTACAGACAGATCGTAACAATAACAAATGAAGAATCAATTCTTGTTGATATTAAACTTCTGTTCCATCACCCTCGCTTGGTATTCATGCCCATTTAATGATGGATCATTGATGAAAACTATATCAGATAATGTGACAATGCAAGCTGAATGTATGTATTTAACAAGTCCACTAGAATGGAATCAATTCAATCCAAATACATTCGATAGTCAATATTATAATTCAACGAAAGAGATCCCACTAACAGATTTACATATGAAACGTGTATTTCTATCTTCTCTTCCACCGATTCAAAATTCATCTCGAGAACATATTATCAATTATTGGCTTGTGAACGGTGGTGGCGGTTCCCAATATGGCATGGAACAATTTGGTATAACTATGCTAAAAGAAATTGTTCGAAATAATTATCATAATATTTATACGAATACACATCCAATAATGTATTTATTTCAATATCGAGGAGCAGGATTGAGTCTACCATCGATTCATTGTTATACAGCAACTAGTTGGACTGATTGTGCTCACGAATTAATTGCAACGACAGTACCATCTTCACCTGACCAATCATTGAAAATAATACATGCAATGAGCAATGCAAATATTGCACAAGATTTACAATATCAAATTCAATATGCAATAAATCAATCACAATCAACAAATTCCACATCGACTTATATTTATGGATTGAGTCAAGGTAAGTCACAATTTGAACGATGACATATTCATTGAAGTGTCTAGAAATTGAATAACTAAAAGCAAATAGTTGATGCGCTAATTTGGTTCGCGTTTTTTCGATGATTTGAATTATAAATTTTATGATTCGAAGATCCCAATCACTCTTTGATTATTGTGGATTTTATTGAAATTTTAGGTACTGGCATTATTGAAACATACTTAACGATTCAATCAATAAAGTCACAAATTCAAATCATCGATGGAATTATTCTGGATGGAGTTATGTCCACAAAAGATTCCGATATATTTCAGACTCAAGTAAACAATTTAAATCATCGATTTTATTTGTACTTATCAAAATGTCAACAAGATCCATTGTGTTCAAAAGCATTTAGTCTTGTTACTGGAACAAATCAAGATATAATTAGTGTTGCATTAACATTACAAACGCTTTTCGAAACAAAGTTAATAAATCCTCTTTGTACAATCAATCTAGGATTGGATAGTTGGGATTTATTTACTCTTATTGGACATCAAGGTATAGAAATGATGAATGTTCGTCCACTAACAGCTATATTAATTGCTCGTCTTTATCGTTGTTCAGTTGACGATCAACGAGTCCTCGCTCGAGCATTACCTTTTATGATTAGTATCGCTCAACAATCCATGGCTAAAAGTCTCATTGATCCACCACAACAATATCCAAATGATGGAAATATTTTAAGTTTAACACTTTGGAGTGATTTCATAGGCTTCGACATCAACGAAAATATCAAAACAAATGCCAGCTTTTATAATGATTTTTGTATAGGTAGTGGTGTAATCAATAAATATAATTTAGTAAGGGTAGGTCCTATACCAGTTTGTGATGAAACACAAATATCGACATATAATTATACATTACCAACCGCTCTGAAAGATGTTCTATACGAAAGAAATCCAAATTATTGGGGAAAATTTGAAGTTAATCAAAAATCATTTCGATCTCAACGAACTGGCATTTTATTATTTAACGGAGATTTAGATTATAATTCTCCATTGTCCACAGCACAGCAAGTTGAAAAATTATTTCAAATGAAATCAATTCGAACAAAATTAGTTCAAATGAAAGGTTTAGCGCATGTTACTGCCGTTCAATCCTATACGAAACAAGGTGGTTTTCATTCGGCAACATGTACAGAACAAATCATTCTTCAATATTTATATCAACAAGAATTAAATGTCGACTTAGATACGTTGAACTATACATGTAGTTTAAAAGAAAATTTGATTGGAATCGATTGGTTTTATACAGATCCAGTTATTAATCAAACATTGTACTCTGTATTTATGAATACAACAACAAATTATTGGGGAATCAATATGACCGATATTGAACCAATCATCAATGCATCCAATAAATTTCACACAAATTCATTCTTATTTTTCTTATTAATTTTATATATTTTATCTTAACTTTCGATAAATAAAGTACGATTAACAATAATGAAGGAGTGAATTTGTTTTCTCAAAAAATCTTTTCAGGCGGGTGAGTGTGTGTGGGTGGGTGCGTGTTATCATCATCCTCCCCCTACACCCACCCATCACAAGTAACACAAAGTACTACTATTCCAAAAAAGGGGGAAAAAGATACTGTTTTATCCGTTAAATATAATTTATAATTTCTTTTTTACAATGTCAATACTTTCTTCCATGTTTTTGAGTTCAGTGTGATTTGGAGGTAGTGAACTTTGCCATATGTCTCGAGCAAGTTCGAAATATGAGAGTGCTTTTGAATATTCTTCCATGTAATAATATAGACCTGCAGAATCCTTGTAGGATTCAGCGAGATCAGGATCATTTGAATGTAAAAATTTTTGTCGAATTTCAAGTGCTTTTTCGTAATATGGAAAGGCTTTCGAGTACTCTTTCATGGTGACATACACTGCACCAATGTTGTTGAAGAAAATAGCCAAGGAAAGATGATTTGCAGGAAGAGTTTTTTCATATATATCATGTGCTTTTTCATAATATGAAAGTGCTTTCGAGTATTCTTTTTTGGCTTTATACACCGTACCAATGTTGTTGTAGGAAGCAGCCAACGAAGGATGATTTGGGGGATAGCATTTTTGAAATATATTAAGTGCTTTTTCTAGATATGGAAGTGCTTTCAAGTAATTTCCTATGTAATCATACGCGGCCCCAATATTGTTATAGCAAGTGGCTAAAGTAGGATGATGTGCAGGAAGGATTTTTTCATATATATCAAGCGCTTTTTCGTAATATGGAAGCGCTTTCGACCACTCTCCCATATTCATATACAGTGAGCCGATGCTGTTATAGGAAATAGCCAAATTAGGATGATTCGGAAGAAGGGTTTTTTCATATATATTAAGTGCTTTTTCGTAATATAGAAGTGTCTTCGAGTACTCTCGCATATTGTCATACACCAAACCAATATTATTGTAGTAATTAACCAAATCAGGATGGTTTGAAGGTAGAATTTTTTCATTTATGCCAAGTGCTTTTTCATAATATGAAAGTGCTATGACGTTGTCTCCCATGTTCTTATACACAAAACCGATATTATTGTAGGAAGCAGCCAACGAAGGATGATTTGGGGGAAGACATTTTTGAAATATATCAAGCGCTTTTTCGTAATATGGAAGTGTTTTCGAGTACTCTCCCATACTCATATACACTGAACCGATGTTGCTGTAGGAAGTAGCCAAAGAAGGATGATTTGAAGGTAGGGTTTTTTCATATATGTCAAGGGCTTTTTCATAATATGGAAGTGTTTTCGTGTACTCAGCCGTATTCATATACACTGAACCGATGTTATTATAGGAAGTAGCTAAATCAGGATGATTTGAAGGAAGAGTTTTTTCGTATGTATCAAGTGCTTTTTCATAATATAAAAGCGCTTTCGAGTACTCTCGCATGTTGTCATACACCAAACCGATATTATTGTAGGAACTAGCCAATGAAGGATAATTTGGAGGATGAATTTTTTCGTATATATGAAGTGCTTTTTCATGATATGAAAGTGCTTTCGAGTACTCTCCTAGGTGGTCATATACTGCACCGACATTGTTGTAGGAAGTAGCCAAAGTAACATGATTTGAAGGAAGAATTTTTTCACATATGTCAAGCGCTTTTTCGTAATACCAGATAGCCATTTTCTGATCACGTTGATCAGTTTTGACATATCCAAGCTGATGGTAATAAAGTGCTTTCTCGCTCTCATCAAATGTTTGTTCGAGTAGTAGGTTGTAAAGTTCTTCGACCTTATCAGAATGGCCTATCTTAAGTAATAAGTTACCCAATCGTTGCCATCCAGTGTTACCTGCAGCCTCTTTTGCTATCTGATTGGTGAGTACACGAAGTTGTTTATCATCATCAGCTGTCAGTTGAAGTTCGACTTCATAAAGCTGACTATTGTCAGCCATTTGTTTAATTATACCGATCCGAAACACCGTGTGCATTGAAAAGAGAATTTCTTCTTCAGCTTCGAAAGAACTAAACTTCTTGATGGAGGCGAATGGTGCTGATGAGATACGTGAATCAATAGAGATCACGAAGAGTATACCAACCATGTTAGTAATTGTCGAAATACTGTCAGCAAATGTGAAAGAAACGTCTTTATTGGTACTAGTAGATAAGAAATTGTTGAAGGACATAAGTCCACCTTCTGTTTCTAACAGTTTCTCAAAGTTCACTTTGGAGAGTCCTTGTCCTCTATAGACAATGAAGGAGTTTTCATGATAGTCACTGAGTTGCTGTCTATATAATTGTTCAATTTGACGGTGTAAATCACAAATAAAGAAACCCATTTTGATGATGCTGCCAACTTCCATCACACGAAGAGCATAGTTGAGTTCAGAGTAGATAAATGATTGAGAAGTATACCACCAAATAGCTGACTGGGGAGCATATTCTTTCTCGAATCGGTCGATATTATTCGGAGTCCCACAATTGTTTTGTCGACAGTAAGCAGTGAACTCTTTGATTGATTGCTCGGTGTGTTCTATTTCGAGTAAGATCTCTTTGAATACTTGAGTGTACATAAATGTCGGGGCTAACTGATCCAGGTTGGCGGTGGACGTTGTTTCAGTTACCTTAACAAAACTCAAGGCAATAGGGTCTTGATTACATTGTTTGACACTTAATTGCAGTGCCTCAGATATGGTCTTGCTATTTGTGTGTAATCCTTTGATTTTCTTCCATCTCGTGGCCCATGGTTCATTCTGAGATTGATTATCACAGAGAATATAAACAATATCCAATTGAGGAATATCATGAATCAGTGGTATTATTTGTTGACCAAGAGTATTTTCTATAACCAGAAAGGCTTTGATCTCTTCAGAATCAGTGAGAAAATCGACGGCATCATCTGACTGAGTAAAAAAGTGGACACTATTGACGACGGTTCTCAGTTGTGCTAAGGTATCTTGGCAGTCTCTGTTTGTCTCGTCGATGCCGACACCAATCCAAATGAGAATATAACTTTGTGCCATGCGTCGTCTTCTCGCATGATCGACATCAGGTGATGATTTTGTGCTGGTACCAGTGACAGCAGCTGCCATGTTCTGACGTTGCAGAAACTTTTTAAATTTATTTCGGTTGATTTATACCGATTTGAATGGTTACTTGATGATGAATGCGAATGTGCAAATCGGTTATTGTTGTTTGAATGAAAAACAAACCGCCACGTCTTGATTTTTCTAGATTTTTTAGCAACACAGAATGTTAATGGTTTTTTGTTGGCAGTCAGAAACAAATTCTACTTAGTTGTCATGAAAAATAATGTTCTGCAGAAGAAGAAAAAACGAGATCAACACAAAGAAATCGTTAGCAACCTCCTGAGAAAACGAACAAAAGCGAAGGCCATGCCACGTGCCTTATTGTATTATTTTTCTTTTCAACTTTTTTTAGCTTTCATCTGCACACTTATTACGGGAGAATGGAGTGTATTGATTCTGTCAGAAAAAATGAGACTTTATAATAATCAGTTTTGTATTTCAGCTAGTTAAAATATCTCATAGAGCTAAACATTATTTATGTGAATAAAATGAACAATGGTGCATCAGTGAGTATCTTGCGGATGTAAGTGTCTATGCAGATTTTTATTAGAGTCTATACCCTCGCTCACGCCCACCCATTTTCATTTCTTGCGTTCCCCGTGTCGCAAATGTTGTCATATTTTATCACACATCTTATATACGAGTTGTGCATTGAATTTGTTTTTCTTCTGTCGACGTTATTCATAAGTAAATATTCTTTTTTTTCTCATTTATTTACACGAGTTACACAACTCTGATTTGTGAATGATGAAATTTTATTCTTGAGACTGCGAGAGTAATCGTCATAGAATTATCAATTAATAAACGCAGAGATTTTGACCATTAGAGTGCGAGTCTTGGGTGTGGGTGTGGGTGTGGGTGTGGGTGAATGTGTAGGGTATGGGTATGGATGTGGTTGTGTAAATTCTGTTCAACCAACACCCACACCCACACCCACACTCAAGCAAAAAGAATCACGCCATACTAGCTATTCGCAGATATAACTCTCTCCCTTCTTCATCTATTAATTATTTCGAATGTTTTTCTTTTGTTAGTGACTATACAGTAGTAAAGAGTGTGTTTTTAGTTTTAGATTTGTCGCGGGAAAATTATAACGATGGAAGCCAATCATAATGTCGGCTTAGTCGATAAATTGCAATCAGATGCTGGACAATACATTTCTATTGTTGACGGATCAGATGGTGTACGCCTTTTTCATTTAGGTGATAGCCAATCACAGTCAGCAATGTATCCGGAACGACCATTAGAAACTGTTTATTCTTATATTTCAACATTTTTTGTTGGTCTTTTATGGCATCCTAATCCAAAACGAATTCTCTTGATAGGACTTGGTGGTGGTACATTTCCAAGAATATTTCGACATTATTTTCCAAATACACATATTGATATTGTTGAGTACGATAGGGGCGTGCTGTTGATGGCGAAGAAGCATATGCAGTTTGAAGAGGATAGTCTAATGAAAGTCTTTATTTCGGATGGAAGACAATTTGTTCAAGATCGAGCGCATGATGGCACGAAATATGACATCGTCTATTGCGATGCATTCTCAGAAAAAGATGGTTTACCCGTACATATGCGTGGTGAAGCGTTTCAGCAAGAACTAAAAGCTATTCTAAATTACGACAATGGTGTTTTGGTCAGTAATATCGTTGCTTCTGTTAGTGGAGCAACTATTCATGAACGAATAAATATTTTTAAAAGTATGCATGAACTTAACTATTATTTTGCATCACATATCAAACGCTTCAATGTTGTACTGGTTTCTGGCAATATGAATATTAAACGTACTAAAGAACAACTAGTGCACATAGCACAACAACTACAAATCCAACATCAATTTCAATCATTTGATTTAGTAAAAACAGTAAATTTGTTTCATGAGGTTTAAATATTATAATCGATAGACAAGAATAAATAAATTTTAAATCTAGAAAAAACCATCTTGAGGGTGTGGGTGAAAGTGTATGAAACTAGGTTTGTATGCTTGATTCACGCCCACACCAAAGGGGTATAAAAAGATATTGTACTATGCTTTGTATAACTGGATTCCACTGACTTTTTATTCTTATCATAACGAATAATATCGATAAAACATCCAAAAATAGTAAATTCGAAAGAATCGAAGAATTATTCGTTCTCTTGTTTATTGTATGAGAGAAGTGAAGATGATACATATCTTTTAGTTGACTAATCATGTACAAATGTTATTGAACAAACGAAGAGAAAAAGAAAATTATTAAATGAAGAAAGAAACAGAAGTGACTATTACTCATTTGCCATATATGTCATTGAATCATTTTTCTAATTATCATGACACTGCGAATACTCTTCGACGAAAGTCATAAAAATACAATCGTTTGTAGTAATGCAATCCTCAAAAATAGATTAGACAAGTCGCGATTATAAGATACGATTTACATCTTCTGCGAGTGGGTTGGTGTGGGTGTGAGTGCCTTTTTCTTATTCCATCATCCCACACCATCTTATCTGTTCTTTATTTTATTTTCCTTTTCTGCCTCTTCAATATCGACATATAGTCTTAGATTAATTTGATATTCAAATTTTCAAGAAAATATTTATAGAATCAGAGAACATGACTTAACTTGTTTGATGATGATAAAATAATTATTACTGCTTGTTTATTATAGAGAGATACATGTATATTTTTATTCTCTCATTTACCATTAGTTATCAGGCAAATAAAATTATAAAAAAACATGCTTAAAAGCGCAAATTTTTACGCAAGAAAACACATTAAAATCTGTGGGTTTTATCTTTGAAAAATTACAATTTTGATGTCAAAATGTGCGTGTTTGTATGCCTAAGCATGGTGTAAATTAAAAGTTGCTTGTTTGAGTTATTTTTTTCATCTATGATGTTCATTTTCTCCAAGAATTAAACAAATATTTTTTATGCTGTTTATATTCTAGTTTTTTTCTCTAACCATATATATTCTCATTAATAATTAACATCAAATTACAGGTAAATAAATATTCTATTGTTATCATCACAACCTTTTTTGGAGACAAATTGAAGTATACATTATAAGAAGGGTGATTCAAATATGTGATAGAACTAATATCTCGTCAGTTTTAAAATAATTATCGATATATAGTATATGATTTTTCTACTGAATTTAGTAAAGTTATGTCATCATCAATATCAGATGCAGATCTTATCGCTTTATTAAATTATACTTCTACACAAATCAATCGTTACTTTGCGATTTTTATTTTTCTCTTTGGTATTATTGGAAATGGTTGTAATATATTCGTTCTCTCACAAAAACCTCTTCGTTCAAATCCTTGTATGTGGTTCTTTCTCTCCTCATCAATTGCATTTTTAATTAGTTTTATTGCTGGTATTCCATCACGTTTTTTATCTACATGGGGAGCTGATCTAACAAATACAAATCAATTTCTTTGCAAATTTCGAATCTTCGTCGCTCTTAATTCAATGACCGTTGCATTTTGGCTTATTATGCTTGCTACAGTTGATCGTTGGCTGTCTTCGAGTATGAACAACAATCGACGACGAATGAGTACGTTAAAGAATGCTCAACGTAGTGCAATTGTTATTGTCATTCTTTCATCTGTTCTTCATATACAAGAATTATTTTGTTTCGAAGCTAATCTTATTAATACTCCAGTGAAATGTTATTCAAAAACAGTAATATGTGGTATTATATCAGATTTATGTTTCACCGTGTTTACTATTATATGCCCACTGCTTTTGATGTTTATATTTGGTTTAATGATCCTATCAAATATACGTCAATCACGAGCTCGTATACAACCTGCGCCAATAGCAATCGATGATTCTGCTGCTCGAAACACGTCAACAGTCATCACTGAACCTCATTACCGACAAAGAAAAATGAATCGTCATTTGTTAATCATGCTTTCTATTCAAGTTCTCATTCTTCTTGTGTTTACTCTCCCATTTGCTATTTCAAAAATTTATACAACAATAACTAGAGATATACCAAAATCAGCATTACAACGTACCATTGAAAATTGCATTGTTACTTTATTTTTTCTATTCTTGTTTATTGCCGCTGGAATGCCATTCTATATCAATACATTGGCTGGGGGACATGTATTTCGACAAGCATTATTCAAACTAATGAATGCATTTATACGGAAAATCATGTGCCACTACAATTAACGTTTTTTAAATGAAGCATGCGTGAATAAAAGAAGAGAATAACATACAATTATTTAGAAACCAAAAATATTATAGAATGTTCATCTATTACTTTTTTCTATAAAATAAATTAATAACATGTACTTTTCAAGAGCATCTTAAGAAGAAATAGATTGATGTAATTTGTACGACATGAGTGTGAGTGTCTCTTCTTTATCACACCCTTGCCTACACTCCTCACCGCTCATCCACCTACAGCCACACGCACACCCTCACGTTTCGATCATCCTTCATGAAGGCAATTGAGAAAAACAAGAGACACAACTTTTTTGTCGTTTTATATTTAGTTAGTTTGATCTAAAACATAACGTTCAATCCACTCCAACGAGTATTGAAATACTACCTCTCGTTGACTATCATTATGTAATTCATGATGTAATCCTTCCCAAATTTTGTATTCTTTTACTTTTGTTGAACTTGATCGATTAACCCAGTTCTGTAGATATTCTTTTTTAATGATAGATTTTGTACCATACTGAATTAAGACCGGAATAGAAAATCGATGTCCTCTTTGCATCTGGAATGATGCTTCAAGCATAATATCCACTGTTCTAGCTGTCCATCGATCGTGAACATAAGGATCCTTCTTATAAGCTTGTAGTACTTCCTGATCGTCTGTAACTTCTGTTGCATATTGTTCTGCTCTTACTGGTAGACGAACCATAGGTGATAGATTAGAAAAGGCGCGTACCATAGCTAATTGAATAGGACCAGCTTTGGCTCTAGGAAGACTGATAGCTGGCGAACAGAGAATGAGACCTTGAAATGGTAAATTATTCATGTGCTTCATTGTGTAGAAGAGTATGACAGAAGCACCGATTCCATCTCCCCAGACGATAAGAGGAAGTGACGGATACTTTCTTTTAATTTGATCGATAGCGGCATCTGTATCACCAAAACTGGCTTGAACATGCGGAATATGACCACGTTCACCATGACTTCTTCCATGACCTCTCCAATCATAATCAAATACAGCAAAATGATGTTGACTAAAAAATTGTTGGAGAAATGTAGTGCGCGCACCATGATCGCCAAAAGTGTGAATAAAAAGAAGTGCTGCTTTTGGTTTATCAACAGGCCAATGCCTACCAGAAAGGATTAGATGATCCTCATAAAATGATGGAAACTCGATTGGTTTCGGTAGATCCGCTCGTTTATGTGCTTCAACCATTGCTGAAGAGTTTTTCTGGTTATTGTTCTAAAAGAACAAAGTACAAAGTTAATCCGTTAATTTTAATAACTATTTAAATGTTGTCACAGTTAATTTCTGATGTTCTGTTAACTCAAACAAATCTTATAATTGCTTTCGTCCTTGATCACTGACGATAAAAGTGATTCAGTAATGAAAAGAAAAAACAAATCATATTTTTTTAGTCATCTCTCATTCGTTCGCTCTTTCTTCTTTCTTAACTACGTTTATAGTAACTACTTTTTGGCGTGCATATTTCTTCTACTCGACACAGATTTTTTTGATATTTTGCTTAACAACGCAATTATAATCAAAATTTATTTAACAGTATATAGTTCGCTTCGTAATGATGAATTTTTCAGATAGTTCATCGTTTCCAATATCGGATGATTAAATGAAATTCTTCGCTTACATACATTGCTTAACTGAGGTTTAACTCGAAAAACTAAAATTTTGTTTATCTGTAAATTTCAAGAGAAGATATTTGCACTTACGGTAAAAAGATGAATGCTTGTTGTACAGAACCAAAAAAGTTATTTTTATATGCACTTTCTTCTGTTTGTTTTCTTTTCTTCGCTGCTTATATTTCTCTCTCCTTCCAATATTTGATTGAAATTCATTTGCGAGAGAGAATTTGCATTGAATTCTTAATGCATTTCTAAGACTAGCAAGAGCGTTAGAATATAAATTAATATTATTTTTTCGATCTCTATTTTGTCAAGTATGTAAAACGTTAAAAAACGGCGTTAGAGTAAGGATAATGTGGAGCAACGCAACAATATTTTGGAGAAGATCATTAATCTCTGAAAAAAATTTCTACTAAAAATTTGAGGAAATAATCGCTGGTTCGGGACAGTTGAAAATTCCTAAATTTTAAATGTTTCGTTTTCCAATATCGAGCATCTGTCATTAAGCAGTTTTTATAAACACTATCATGTGTTTTGAGAATGATTTAACAACGGGAGTTTTTACTGATCATTTTTAGATCATATTGCATAATAAAAATGCTTTCCTCAGAAAAATCTAATCCATCCGCAGCAATTACTAAAAGCAAGCAAAAAGAAACAGTGCGACACTTGAAACGAATCCAATATCAAGAACTATCGCCATTTTACTCTGCATGTGAAAAAGGAGATTTCATCTACGTCAAAGAAAAACTAAAAACACTTTCGTCTGATGAGCTCGATCAACTGGAATCTATCGGTGAAACTGCTCTTCACATTGCAACACGAAACAATCGGCTTGAGACAGTGCGCTTACTACTACAAAGCGGATGCAGTCGAAATACGTACAATAGTTCTGGTAAACTTCCCTACGAAGAAGCTCAAACTGATGAAATGAAACAATTATTTGCATCTCCTAATTCTGATCACTTCTTTGAAGCGAATCCACAAGATTCTTACGGTATTTTCAGACCTTTAATGGCAATTGGAAAACTTACAGATCTGAAAACCATTGAACCTGAGCAGATGAAAACAACTGCAGATACTGTCGGAAATAAGGACAAATCTATTTGGAATCAGGAGTTGAAAAGTGAAGAAGAAGTTATGGAATATCTGACCAATAGACAAGCATTAGCCATGTGGATAAAAATCTGTTCTTGGATCTATCGTAGATTTGGAGGATGTATCCGAAGACGTGAAGAAGAGGGAAACGACTTTGCTCCAGAACTCTTCGATTTGAATAAGGATCGAGATTTAGAAAAATTTCTCAGTTCTATACCATCCAATGAAAATCAATCGATTGTAACTGCCAAAGAAGATACAGAAGAAAGAGAGATTAAAACTTTGGGACAACGATTGATGTCTGTGTGTTGCTGCAGGAATACAATAGTTCCTGTACCTCAGTCTTTGCAGAGCACCGATACCGATTCTGTTATTATTACACAGCCAAAAATGAATAATCGGAAATATGACTCTTCGAAGAGTATGCACAGTCGATTAGCGGCTAGTCAAAATCCCAGAGACTTTATTGAAGCATCGAAGGAATTTAATAGCATCATTCCATTGATTCATTTATACACAGAGAAGAATCTACGATTTTATGCTGAATTAAATAAAAATCTAGCTATCATCGATAATAATCCAAATCGAGATGCATCTCTATGCGATCGTTTCATTCGAGAATTCGATTTGAAAGAAGCTGAACTCGCTCAATTTGCCTTTGTTGGTACAACATATCGTGGTACAAGTATGTCGATGAGTGATGTTATAAACTATCGTAAAGCCAGTGAACAGAATCCAAAATGGATGATTGCACCTAGAGCTTTTCAATCGACATCAATTAATCGCGCAAAAGCTATAGAATTTCTTCATTCCAAGAAACAAGACGGAAAACCTGTCGGCTTGATGGTATTTCACATTCCTGTCGCTTGCTCTACTATTCTTGCTATCAAAGAAATCTCAAGATATCCACAAGAGGACGAAGTATTGATTATGCCTGGCAATCTTTTTACAATAACAAAAGTTACACAATGTGAAGATGATCCTACTCTACCTGAAGTACATTTAGAACATGTCAAACGAGATATTTCATTTTTTAAGAAACTTCGAGCTATCTTCAGGGCAGCCACAACTTCGGCTTCAGGAATCGAATAGACTCATCATTCACTCATAGTTGTAAATGAAATGAATTATTCGAAAGAGAACAATTGATTAAAGTTTTATTTGAAAAATTGAAGAGAACTGACGTAATTATATTGAATTTCGGAAAATACGAAAAAAATAAAAGAATTTTTTAATCAATATCTATTTCAAATTTTTGAACTCGATCAGTCATTTTATCAGCAACATAAAGATTTCTATCTATATCAAAATGCTAAGCCAGCAGGAGAATCTAATTGATTTGATTCATCTCGAGGGTGAGTGTGGATGCGGATGTGAGTGAGTGAGGGTGAAGATAATCAAGAGAGTGACCAACACTCACAACCACACCCAGTCCTCTAATTTACCTGTTCATTCATATGTTTATATTCATATTATTTTATGGATGTGAATATTATATCCATCATCTATCCACACCTGCACTCATCACCTTTAAGATAGCATTTTCTGTACAATAAACATATCTTGAGCAGTGGCGTAAATAGGGGGGGCGCGTGGGGCGCATAACTCCCCCCCCTGCTTCCGAAAACTAATAGGAAAAAGGGGTTTGCGCCCCCCTGCTTCTAGAAAATTCGCATTTTTTGACCATTAAAATAGAAAAATTAGGCTTACGCCCCCCCCCCGCTACACCCCCCCCTGCTCCGACACCTGACTTACACCCCTGATCTTGAGAGACAAAAATAAAATAAAATGTTTTTTATTATTATTATAGAATGAATTTATCAAGTATGTGAAGAATAGGTAGAGTGTTAAGAAAAATTTAACTCTTCATAGAATAAATAGTTCTTTCATATGTTTATTATGCTTGATATAACTCTGAACTATTTAAAGCAGCAACACTAGCGCCACCTGTTACTAACGCTTTTCCATTGGTTAATACGGATGCTGTATGATATGTTCGAGCATAACTCATATTAGCAGTTGTTGTCCATACTCCTGTTGATGCATCATATAATTCAGCACTGTTCAAGGCACCAGTAATACTAGTTCCTCCAGCAACTAACACTTTTCCATTTGTTAATATGGATGCTGTGTGATAACCTCGAACATAACTCATATTACCAGTAACTGACCATAATCCCGTAGATGGATCATATAACTCAGCATTATTTAAATAACTAGTGTCAAATCCACCAGTAACCAATACTTTTCCACTGGTTAACACAGTTGCAGTGTGATAAGCTCGAGCATAATTCAAGTTACCAGTAGTTACCCATATTCCTACTGATGGATCATACAACTCAGCACTGTTCAAAACCCCACTATTACCGTATCCACCGGTAACTAACACTTTTCCATTGGTTAACACGGATGCTGTATGTGTATATCGATAATAATTAAGACTACCAGTAATTGTCCACGCGCCTATTGAAGGATCATATAGTTCACTAACATTCACAAAAATACCACTAAGTCCACCAGTAACTAATACTTGTCCATTAGTTAATACAGAAGCTGTATGTGCATATCGAGCATAGGTCATATTCCTCGTGACTGTCCATAATCCTGTTGATATATTATATAACTCAACAGTATTTAACTCCATACTATTGTATCCACCGATAACTAACACATTTCCATCTGCTAATACAGGTGCTGTATGATAACGTCGAGCATCATTCATATTACCAGTAGCCGTCCATAATCCTGTGGATGGATCATATAATACAGCACCGTTTAAGCTAAGAACATTAATTCCACCAGTAACTAGCACTTTTCCATTTGTTAATCGAGATGCCGCATGATTATATCGAGCAATATCCAAGCTATCAGTATTTGACCATCCTAATAGAAAATGTTTATTAAATTGAATTTAGACAAAAGATATGTGTTCTCAAAATCATTTGTAAATCGTACGAAAAAAGTCGTTTTTTATAGACTTTCGATTAGTATAGAATTCGCTCTCTCTGTTATTAAGAGTAACGATCCATCAGAATTGCTCTTTATATAGTTATGTATTATTCAAACAAAAGTCTCTCAGGATATAATGGTATATATTTGTTAATGAAATAGAAAAATACGTTACCAGTAGTCGGTGTCGTAGTAATTGTTATAGCTAAACAAAATGTGTAAGTTTTTTCAGAAATTTTAATTTCGAAAATAAATTGAAATATTTTTACCTGTTTTATTTAAAGAGATCAAACCAAAAATTCCTACTGCCAGAGATGATAAGATGGCCAGAATTAATAAAACACAAAGAGAAATGACCCAAGGTTTTAAATATTTTCTTTGCTTCTTCTTCGGCTTCAAGGTATCCATTGTAGCTATGTTTCTATACCCACCAATAATTAAAATATTAATGTACATGATTCTCGTACTTACTTTGAATGATTATTTGATGACAGTCGAACATTATCAGAAGAGAACAATGAAATGCCGAGATCGATTAATTTGATTTGCGATCGATCGGACACTGTGATGTCCGATTGATCTATATAAGATTTAAAAGCAATTCAATTCACAAAATTATTATTCGGTCAGAATTCTCTGTGTTTCATTAAAAGATCTGATTTTTATCAGAGTCGATCGAATATTCAGCGAATACCTGTTAAGGGATCCACGAATAATGTATTGCTCAAAGACGAAACCATAGATTTTTAGTCGGAAGTCGCATATGATTCTATAGGATACTCACGATTTATTTCCTTTTCGAATGGAAACTGGAAAGCTTCAGTGATATTGGGATGATATTTTAATGTATTTGGTAAAGTCCATTGATGATTTTGAGTGGATAATATTGATTGCTTCTGATCATTTAAACTTGAAGTCCTTTGTATTATTGGTTTAGAGTTATGTTGTTTATCAGTGATCGGTACTACCTGAAGAAGAAAAACATCAATCAAGTTATCTGAATTTTATTTTTCAACATTACTACCTTTGATACTCGTTGAGTTGACCTTCGTTTTCGTCGTCGAACATTAGATACTTTGGTGTGTGGATGTTTTTTCATGTTTAGTTTTATGCATAAAATACAACTGAATGAATAAAGACTATACTTTTCATCTTTTTCTTTCTTAAGAGAATCTAATTTACACAATAATAAGCTTTGCAGATGCCTTGTTTATGCCTCTTATACAAACTTTAATATATTCTTGTAATATAACCACAAAGAAATTATTTAATAACGTGAAAATCTGCGTCATTTTGATTACATATATCGACCCGTACTTTTCTAATACTTTTCATATAATATTTTTATTGACATCGCATTGTGCCCTACAACTTTAAAAACTGATTATTTCAAAATGTGAATTATAGTTTCCTTTTCTTTTCATGTGTTTTCCTAATCTACCTATTCGTGTGAATATTCTCCACATCCACACCCATCCTCAAGCTAGTTAATGGAGATTCGAACTTGAGTTCAAAAAAAAACATTTGTATTGGGATCATTTATAGAGTCCGAACATTGATACTGTTGATGATTGTAACAATCTGACAATGATAGTTCTTAAGTTCGTAAATTGTGAACTTTAAGATAAAAAAATATATATATCACCTAGTGAGGAGAAGTAATTTAAATATAATATTTCATCCGACTTCTTTTCATATAATTATGCAGCTCGCGTAAATTTATGTGTGCAATAAAATAAATTGAATATGACTTTCTTTTTTCATTAACAATTCTAAAAAATAGTGTAGAGAATCCATATTACATTCTTTTTCCATTGCACAATAGAAAAAAAACTTTTTTGCTGCATATAATTTGATTAATACATCGCATCGTCAAAAAATACCTATATTGAAATCGAAATTTGCTTTCCGTCATTGTTATATCTTGATTTCTTATCAACAATTCTATACTTGAAATATGAAGTAATGATCCTGATAAATTGAGTCGGAAAAATTCATAACAGTTTCTACCTTCGAGAATAAATACTAATAATACAAATTGTTGAATATGCACATCATAACTATGTTTATTTTTTGTTGTCAACTTTTGAAAAATATTTACAATCTATGGAATAAGAATAGAAAAATTATGTATATCGGATAAATTAGATGCTTGATGTTATAACAATTCTATTAAGTTCTCATAAAATATCATTTTCTATAGAATTATTTGATAGTTTACGATTCTTCACAGGCAAAGTTTTTTTGCTTGTACTAACAATAATAAACGTTCTCATAATTGTCGATAACCAAGTGATATTTTTAAATCTTTTAAATTCTTGATTTCGAGCGTGAGTATTTGTATTAATCAATGTCTTCGAATTCTTCTTGGTAAATTAATAAAATATCATCGCATGATGTTTCAACAAGATGTAATCCGCTTTGAATGGCTTGAAAACTGAATAAACCAGCAAGATCGTCACGATATGATCGTTTAATATAATCGTAAAATTTATCATTATTTTTGTTGAAAATATCATCTAATAAACCATTTTGATTTACATGTTTCGCAAATTTTGATGGTGACATTAGCTAAAATAAGTATCTTAAATAAATCATTTTATTGTGTTAAAAAAAAGGTATGTCACTCCATGAATGAAATAATAAGACTTCTTAAAATAACTAAATGGTATTTAACGAAACATCGTTTTTTTCAATATCAGAAAGCAACCCAGGTCGAACAATACGGCCTTTGCGACAGGATGTTCGTCAAGAACTTAAAGTCTACAAATTGTCACGAAAGTTTTAAGTAATATGCGGGTCTTCAGATTATCATAGTCGATAAAAATAATCGAAAAAAAGTTATTATGTTCGTTACGATCTCCTGTAAAACAGTATTCCCGAACATCCCTAATAACCTTCAAAAACAAAATTTATTTCAGAACTTCCGGTCACGTTGTCAGATGTCCGTAAAGGATGGTATGAAACGTCGTACACCTTATTACAAAAGCAATGATATTCGACCCATCACACATATGATATGCACGATATTATGACAAATATCTGTTGACAACCGTTTAGTTTCTCAAGCTTAGATCTTTTTTTCTGTGTATTTCTACATCTGATTTATCTTTATTTAAAAAAAGAAAAGTTTTATTACAAAGTAAAATATATAAATAAAATAAGACGAAAATCAAATTCGCATGAATAATCACAGTGATATGTCTAGTAAATAAGTAAGTATATTTAAAAGTTACAGGTAAAAAAAAACTTCTTTGATTAATAATGTCAATAATATCACAGCGAAAAATATATAATATAATAATTGATTATCGTGGTTTTATTCGTTTTACTCTTCTTTTTCTTTTAATACAATCCGTTCGAAATGAACATTTTAACTCTGGTTCATCTTTGATTTCACCCATATGCATAAGTAAATGTTTTAAATGTTCTTTAGCTGAAAAAGAAACTTTAGAAAAAAATTCTACTGTAGATATATTGATACCAGGCATTAATTTTTCTGTACAACAATCTTCTGATGAAATATTTTTCAATGATTTAGAACGTAATGCATTCATTGTCAGAAAATAACCACAATAATCATAAATACCAGCACCAAGATGTTCAGAAAATATACGAAGTGGACAAATATCTTGAATATAAATATTTGCCACACCTTTTTCATTAATTTCACTACTATTAACAGGTCGAACAATTTCATCAAATTTCGATAGAATATTTGTATATTTTATTGAAGGAAATGTCTCCTGATAAGAATTAAGTGCACAAAGAAATGATGAATTAATTCGCTGTTGAGTAACTGAAACTGGACAACGAAAAACATCACAGGCTATATCAGCCATACTTGTTCCATGATTGGTTGCTCCAAATGCAATTAAATGATAAACCATATATCGAATATCAGGCCAAAAACGAAGTGCAAAACGAGGAAGAGCCCCACCAAGAGAATGACCAATTATATTTATTCTTGTTTTACGACGAATCCCTTCTTTTTTTTCTTTAGTTGTCTTTTTATACATTTTTCTAACTGCATAAACAATATATTCTGCAGCAATTTGTAAATCACCTAAACCTTTTTCTGGTAATTGTAATGTACAAAATGGCCATCCTTTATCGTTTAATATACGCATCCAATTCCAGCTGTACAATTCTTTAACTTCTTCGGTTGAACCTGGTAAAAATAATACCCATCGTTTTCGATGATTTTCTCCTGGATAACATTTGAAATGTTCAGATAAATTAGTAAGTGGTACACTATAAGGCGGACCAGGTCGATTTAAAGGCGGATAAATAATAGATGGATCACATGCAGAAGTAAAAACATTTATTAATGAAATATATATGTAAAGCAATAAGAAAAAGGAACGAAGTTGTATTCGTGAAAACATATAAGCATGTTTACAACCTCCTCTATACATAAGTACAAAATAAATGAATGTATATTTAACATATCAAGCAATGGTACATACTTCGATTTATTGGAGACGAATCGACGTATCGTTATAGATATAATCCATCATAAAACATAATATTATTTTTTAATCCACATCCATATGTAACGATGGAGAGAAATATTAACCAATCATATGTACATAAAAATAGACGGCGCTAGATCATAATATATGAAGACAATCAATCTATAGTTCTATATTGTCATTTTGTTGTATTATAATAATTTTAGTTTAATACTACCATGGGTAAAGCATTTCGTCTATCAGTAATAGCAAATATAGTATTTGGAGCAACTCTTTGCCCCCTATGAAAACGTTGCCTTTGATCACAAACAATAAATTTACGAAATAAAATAATTAATTCGTTTCTATATGTTTGTGAAACCATTGTATTTGAATAGAATGATATTGCAGGATGGACAAGTACAGTAACTCCTGTAAATAATTGCATAAATGATTCAATTGCCAAACGATCTGCTGATTTATTAGTGACAGATCGAGTAAATGTTAAGTAAAGATTAAAAGACATATATGGAAAAGTAAATAAAATAAAGATTATAACTTGCAGTAATAACATAATTAAAATTTGAATATTACGTATTTCTCGTTTACTTTGTCTTCTCTGTAAATCAATCATTCCTCGACGTTGTCTTTTTAATTGAAGATTTTTCCATATATGTTTTGCGCATATTAACATAATGAACGTTGGTAAAAATCCACCTGCGATAATTGAATAAATACTGTGATAAAGTGCTGAACTATCTGTGCTTAACATACATGTAATATAACCTATTCTTCGAACATCAGCAAAGAGAAGCATATGAATAGGAAATATTAACCAAATAATATGAAGTAATAATATTATTTTTTTAGCAATATGAACAGTAGCAAAAAGACGAAGACGAGCATTAGTTGATGTAAGTAAACAACGATCAATACAAGCAATTGTTAACAACCATCGACATAACATAGCACTGACTTGTGTCATATAACCTTGAGCTTTACAGAAATTTGCATTAAATAATGAATTCGGAGTATGATTAAGAGCATATAATTGAGGTATAATGGCCATTAGAATTAAAACTAAAGCTGCTACAGCTGAAGCTAAAAGGTCTATAAATAAAAAGTATTAATGGATATAATTTTATTAAGATTTATTTTCTTACAAGTACAACATGAATTTGATCGAAATTTTCGTTGAGAAAAAAGTAAAATATTAAGAAAAGATCCTGTTATACCAAGTACAAATAAGGCTGATTCAACATATTCAATAAGAATTATTTGACCAAGAGCTAGTGCAGCAACTAAAGATGATGCCATGATTAATGCTTACCTTTAGTGTATATCGTCGATTATAATCTTATAAAAGTAATTAAACTATACGACTCTATGTGTTCCTCAGGACTTTTCTGTCTTTTTCAGAAGAATGAAAACAAGAACGTATCAATTAAATAGTAGTACATGACAAAAATATTTTTCATAAAGTTGTCAGTAACAGTTTACTTATACTTCATATATCTTCTACTTTTTTTTTAAATAAAAAAAATTATATATTCTTGATTTTATAAATAGAACTAGATAAACAAGTACTTCTTTCATGTATATATTTATTTTAGCTAGCGGACGTAGGAAAAGCATAGACATGCATGTAATAATTTTTGTTTGCCGGCATATTTTGTTTTAAATTATATTTTAATTATGAATAAATTTATCCAATAAAGGTAATCACAAAAGCCGACATATTTTGTATGAATGATTTCAGCAAATGTCAAATAATATAATTGAGAGAAAAGTACATTCGAATATAGTACTTATTCCAAAGTAAAACGCATTGACCATTAAAACTATATTCAAATAACTTCAACGAAAAGTCAAATTAAGTTAAGTAAATTCATGGTACAATAAGTATATTTACCTATCGGAATGAAAAATTATTTTTATTTCTTTTAAGGGGGTGGCTGATATATCAAAAATAAAAATATGATAGAATTGTTAATTATTTATTGTTTCTAATGGAACACATTTATTCATTTTATCTTCTAATAGATTTTTTATTGAATTATTCCATTGATCTAAATCGAATGTATATTCACATTGAATAAATGTATAATTATTAATTTCCAATTCTTTCTTATTATGTAATTTTAATCCAGCTATATTTTCACACCATCCTCTCATTTCTTGATTTTGTTCATCAGTTTGCATAATAATTTTATTTATACCTAGTTTTTCAAATGCAAAAACAATTGAAGTATATAATGCTTCTGTTGCATATCCCATTCGAGTTGTATTTTGTTCAGTAATAATTCCTAAATATCCAACATGACCATCAATTGTGACAAAACCTGTTGTTCCAATACATCTATCAGTGGTTTCACCCGATGTTGATGCTAATAAAATTATATTAAAAACACAACTTTTTCCATTTGCTCTTGCTGCAGTTTGTACTTTAACTCGATCATCAAAATCTTCTACGGTCCATTGTTTATTCTTTTTTCGTTCTTCATCATTTCCCCAACCGTTCGGTGGTTGAAGAAAACGAAGATATTTTCTTGAGAATGAATCAGAAAATATTGCTGCACAACTTGCACTATCATCTTTATGATGAGTTCGTAATATAAGTCGATCAAGATAAGTTGGAATGGTAATAGAATTTGTTCTTACTGCTTCATCAAAACAATTAACAGATGATAAATTTGACGATTGCATTCTATTATGGGCAACAATCTTTGAAAATTATTTTTATTAAAAGAATTATTTTGTTTTACCTTCAGATAATAAGTGATGTTTGTTCTTTGTTCTATAGATAAAAAAAATACTCGTTGATAAATAACAAAGTTGCTTATTTGAGTCATCAATATTGTGTAATTCATTTTTTGCTATTGCTCTATTTTTTTTTCTTTAACGTTCTGTTTGAAGTATGACAGCAGGTTAAGCATTTCGTTCTTTCACATTTAAATGAAATTACTGATATAAATTTACCTTTATATTCAATTGAATTGAATCGAATACAACTATGGCCACAACTTTTGATTCTAATGTATTAACTATGAATGGTGTTGCTCAACCATTTGATTATTATTGTGTATTAGATTTTGAAGCTGTCTGTCATCAAGCTAATCCTGGTTCAAAACGGTTCTCACCGAATGATATTTGGGAAATAATTGAATTTCCTATTTGTTTATTAGAAGCAAAAACGAATACAATCATTGATATTTATCATAGTTATGTACGCCCAACAATTCAACCTCGTTTAAATGATATTTGTATTGGTATTACTGGTATTACTCAAGATATAGTTGATAATTCTCCTACATTCGATATTGTATGGAATGATGTTCAAAAATTTTTAGTAAAACATTCATTGATTTCTTTGACAGAAAATAAATCAAATCTTTATAGTTTTACATGGATAACATGTGGAAATTGGGATTTAAAAACGATGTTACCATTACAATTGAAACACTCTGGTTTTGATCGACCAACATTTATTAATAATTTTATTAATTTAAAAGATTTATATATGGAATATTATCCATCTAGTCGAATTAGAGGAATGAAAGATATGTTGAAAAAATCGAATTTAATCTTAGAAGGAAAACATCATTCTGGTATTGATGATACGAAAAATATAACAAAAATAGCTCAATGGTTAATTCAAAATAATAAAATACTCAAATTAACATATCGAGCAATCAAATGATCGAATTAACAATTCGTTGATAGTTTTATTCATTTATTATTTCAATCTTTTTCGAAAGTTTTCTGTATGTTCGATGTTCGTACAAATAAAACTAAAAATATTTTCTATTTTAACTATTTGAGTTTGGAAAAGACTGTTGCCTTGAGAATATTCTTATTCGTATTTTATTTTGTGTCGTGAATATTTCTGTCAAAAAGATATATTATCAGTTGATATTTCGTCTAGTATATATATATTGTGCTGAGATATCAGGTAAAGTAGAGTTACTAGTTGCACGACAATAATGTTGCTTCATCAGATAGTGTTTTTTATTCTTCTTATTGCTACTATTCAATGTGAAGAACATTTGCATGCCAATGGTCCTTTTGGCAAATCTCATGTATCAGCAAAGATATCAAGCCCATTTAATTGTAATCGAAGTATGGGTATTTCTCCTCGTTCTCTTCAAAAAATGTCTGTACCAATAACTGATTTACAAGTTTCATCAATACGTTATTCTAATAATGAAAAGATCTATGTTTCTTGGACACCATTGTCAAGTATTTGTAAAGATGATTTTATTGGAGTTTATTTTCTTGAAACTTCAATTGAAGCAGGTAAAACATAATTAAAGTGAATAATTATTTTATTTGAATTAATATATGTATAGGTGCTTGTGATTATGTTGATTTTGAATTTGTAACACAAGGTGAAAATAACTCCACATGGTTAATGATTAATTTACGTCGTCAATTACAATTTCGTTATTATTCACGTAATGAAAATTGTTCTGGAAGTTATATATTTGTAGCTAAATCTCCTATTGTTGCACCATGTAATTATAATGAACCCATACAAGTTCATTTAGCTTTTGGTGATCGAAATGATCAAATGTATATTTCATATGTTACTAATTCAAACAAAATAATTCCGAAATGTCGATATGGTTTTGATCCATCATTACTAAATTTTCAAGTTAATGGAAATACAACGACTTATAAAGCATCAGATATGTGTGAAGAAAAAGCAAATCTAACAGGACCAAAAACATTTATTGATCCTGGATATATGCATACTATACTTCTTGAAGATCTTCGTCCATCAACTACGTATTATTATCGAGTGGGTAGTGATGAACATGGATGAACATCAATCAATAAATTTATTAATCGCCCATCAAATATTAATGATGAAGTAAATCTTATTGCATATGGTGATATGGGTGTATCACCTATTCAAACAGGTGCCAAAGCTACGATAGATCGAGTATTAACAAGAGTAATATCAAATAATGTAACAGCTATATTACATATTGGTGATGTTAGCTATGCTCGTGGTATTGGTGCTCTATGGGATGCATTTATGAGTCAAATTGAACTAACAACATCTCGTGTTCCATATATGGTTGGAATTGGAAATCATGAGTATGATCATATTACAGGAGGTGAGAAAGATCCAAGTGGAGCACCTGGACCAGGAGGATTTCGACCAGAATGGTAGTTCATTTTTCATATATCATAAAATAGTCATATGTATAGTTTAATATTTATATTTAGGGGTAATTATGGTAAGGATTCAGGTGGTGAATGTGCAGTCCCATTAGTAAATCGTTTTCATTCTCCATCAAATGGTAATGGCCTATTTTGGTATAGTTTTAATATTGGACCAATTCATATAGTTTATTATTCAACTGAACATGATTTTCTACCAACATCTAGACAATATGCATGGCTTGAACAAGATCTTCGTTCTATAAATCGTTCTCGTACACCATGTTAATTGTTGGTTCACATCGACCTATGTATACTTCATTAATTTATCAAGCTTTATATAAAGAAAAATTACAAGTTTATATTGAACCACTTCTTTACAAATATCATGTTGATCTTAATCTATTTGCACATGTACATTCTTATGAACGATCATGTCCAATGTATCAAAATAAATATGTAGGCGATGGTATTACACACGTATTAATTGGTATGGCTGGATATGATTTAACACATGGTACTTATTCAGGTGAAAAATGGAGTATCTATCATGATGACGAATTTGGATACACTCATATATGGGCAAATAGAACATGTCTAAAGTTTAATTATTATCATACTAAAGATGATAAACTTGCTGATCAATTTCAAATTATAAAATAATTTTCAATCTATTAAAATTATTATTTATAAATTATTCTAACAAATAAAATATATTTTTAAAGAAATAAAAAAAAAATCTTAGTCTTTTTTAATGGGTCAAAGAGTATAAAAAGAAAAAGGTAAATCGATTTAATATTTTCCGTTGATGACTGACATCTCCCATAATTCTTTTTTATGTTTATTGATGGATTGGATTATTTAGATTTCCAATACAGTATCGTTTGAGTCCTTTTTTTTAAAGCAATTGCCTTAAGTAGTTGATATATTATTTTCGTTTCTTTTTTCTCTTCAAAACATTCTTATCATAATACTTGAAATCTCTTCACGTTTATTTTCAAAAATAATTGTAATAGCTTATTTATTGTATAATATTGTTGTATACGCCTTTTCTTCTTTTTCTTTTATTGTAATAAGTTTTATCTAAATAAGTTACGGGTGATTGAGTACATATATTTCTATACTTTATGTTTAATTTCATAATAAAAGTATGAAATGTCTGCAAAACGTAATACATTTCGGGATGATATTATTGCCGGTTGTGTTTGTGGAATAACAAGTGTACTTGTATCTCATCCAATAGAGACATTATTAGTACAAAGAAAAATCAATTCACCTGATGTCTATCAAAATGTCTTAAAATCATTTACATTGATATATAAACGTCAAGGTTTCATCAATGGATTTTATCGTGGAAATTTAAATTTACCTATGACAAGTCCAGCATTTACAACATCTATACAATTTTTCTTATATGGACAATTAAGACGACATATTGTTAAAGATGAAAATGATATTAAACAATTTATGTTATGTGGTGCTTTAACGGGTTTTGGATTATCTTTTATTGAAAGTCCAATTGGTCTTATTTTAGGACAAATTCATGGAAATTTAAATCGTCGACATACACATGCTTTTGATTTTAATATAAAAGGTTGTTGTAAATATATTTATGAGAATAATCGTGGTCTAATTGGATTTTATAAAGGATTTGGAGCAACTTTAATTTCTTCAATGACAACATCGATGTTTTATTTTGGTGGTTATGAATATATTAAAAAACATCTTTATCAAACACATTATAGAATATTTCCTTCACAAAATAAAAAAAAGCATTTACGTTTAAATACACTTTTCAGTGGTGCATTAGGTGGTATGTGTGCATGGTCAATTTGTTATCCTTTGGATGTTATTAGATTAGAAATACAATCAGATGATATAAGACCTGGACATCGAAAATATAATTCATATTTAGATTGTGTTAAACAAATATATGAACAAGAACATAGTATTAAAACATTTTATAAAGGATTCTTGCCAGGTCTCATAAAAGCTATTCCAATTAATGCAGCATGTTTTTTTGCTTATGAAGAAGTGTATCGATTATTAGAATAAATATTTATATATGTAAACTCGCAACTATTGAGAGATAACTATTATATATTATTTCAGCCAAACGATTTTTTCTATCGAAAGAAGTAATAGAAAAATATAGTCGATTTTATAAAAGTTTTTTGTTAAGAAATCAGTGATTATTATCTTACATGAATGAATATCATAATATGGATGAAGAAATTTCTTATTTTTTTGAACGATTGTATTGATTACGATTGATGAATTTATTCAACGATAGAATATTTTATTCTATTTCTACAATCTGAAGTTCATTATCTATGTATTAGGGTGTGGGTGTATGTATAATTCTTGGAGAAGATAGAATCTACCCACATCCACATGCTAGTTATAATATTAACAAGTATAAATTGAAAGAGATTGTCTTTTATGCAATGAGTACGATCTTTTGAGCCAGAATGTATATTTTTAATATGTCAATAGAATACAGATGGAAGATGAAACAAAATATAAATCTTCTTCGAAGATATTCTTAATAGAAAATATGCATTTATTTGATTATCTTATAGTTCTACTTAATTTTATACTAAAATAATGAATCAAATGACTACTTCCCACACTTTATTGTCTAAAAAATAACAAAAACACTTGTATGACATACAGTATTCTTTTGCTGGTCAATGGTCTCAGATGTTTTCAAAGGTAATACACGTCGACATAGGTAAATATTAGATCTTCAATATTTATACACTCGGGAATAATGATAAAATGCTGGTATCGAATAAATATGATTTCTAACAGAGCAAAATTTCAATGAAGTTTTTCTTACAAAATTATATCAGGACGTTCTTTCGAGTATCTTTATAAATTTGTTGACACATATATATTTTCTATTGTTTGTTAATAAACTTATTATTTACCATATACTCAATATTAAATAACCTAAAGCTCTACATGACATATGTCAATTTTGACTCTAGTTAAACGTTTTATATTAACATTCATAAATCGTATAGAAGTATAATGGAAATGTTAAAGTTGATCTTGAAGAAGATTAGCATTTCTGGTAATTCTTACATAAGCAAAAAGTGTGAATGAGCCGTTAGTTTTAACGTCTTGACGGCTCAAATAAACAAAATTGAATTTTTTTTCTCCTTATAAATAAATACAACCTTTGTATCGAATATTATCTTAGAGAGTTTGATGAAAACCTGTTTATACGTCATGCAATTATTGTATATAAACTTTATTTGTTAAGATCAAAACGAAAAAAATGAATCGAATTCGTGAAGGGTGTGAACTTTTAAAAGACGATTATATATTATAAACTGTCATATATTAGAAAAGATATTCAACAACAATATAGATGTTTTAACAGAAGAAGGTAGTACTAGATACTTTCTCTATTCTTAGAAATAATTATTTTTGATAAAACTATTGACAAATAAAGTTTATTTTGTATTTTAAGTTGATATTTTATTATCAATTTGATGATAGTAATATGATATTTGAATACAAACTATATTTACAAAAAGATACAGATAACAAGAATGTTTTTTAGTTGAAATCATATAAAATTATAAGCTTCTTTTCAATTTTTTCTGAAGTTTAAAAAATTCTGATCAATACTAAATACAAAAACAATATGCATATGTATTTATATGTTTTTTATTATAAAAGTAATTATTTTTTTTATCTAAAATATTCTACACTTTTTTGCTTTGCTTCATATTACTCCTCATCTTCTTTCTTTCTCTTTATTATGTAGGAATATTTTTACCTGATAAAATTTCGTGCTTGGTTACCTCAATATATTTGTTTATTTGATCGTGTGAAACATAAAAACAAGTATGCGTCATGTACGATTGTTTCTATTCATAAGTTTTATAATAATTTATTTGCAACAAAATAATCAATAAATCTTTTGAGATGATAATTTAACTATCCTGGCTAAATACTGATGATTTATGATATTGGTTTCACTTTTATTAACAAAATAAAACAGCGAAAATATTATTTCTAGTGTAAAATTCGATTAATTGAAAATTAAACAAAAATATTGCATAGAAACATTAGTTATTAATTATTCAAATAAAACATGAATATTTTTCAAAGCAATTGATCATTCAAAAAAGATGATCAATTTAACTTATTCTCTTAATTTTCAAGTGAATTACCCTTGTTTGTTTCTTGAACAGGTTTTTCTTGCTCACGATATTGATTCTCCAATTTATTAACTAAATTATTGATCTTTTTAAGAGCATCTTCTTGCTGGTTTGCTTCAGCTAAATAATTGATCGTATTCAGTTGATCTCGTACATGATCGACATTGTCAGACATTCTAATGAATAGAAAAGAGAATTGATTTTTTTGAAATAATAAATGATTTTATGCTATGACAATGTATTGTAACGAAACTTTCTCATTAACCCCATAATGTAAAATATTATTCTTTTAGATATATATGTATATAATACGTAAAAAATAGACTTACTTAGAAAATAATTATCTATTAGAAGAAAGAAATAAAATTATATTGTATTTGTTACTTGATTTTATATGGGCTTTACCATCTATTGGAAGTTACCATATTATATTGGAAGATTCCAAAATGTCTTTAACTGTATCCATTCCGCGAAACGTTGTACTTCCGAATAACTGAAAACATGACGTCAATAAATAATATATTCTTTCGTAATTTTACAATTCTTTCCAACTCTAAAATCATGATTATCAGTTATAATAATTTGAATAGTCTGGCTTATATTCTATAATGAATAAATTACAGTTTATTTATCATAGATGAATTTTTAGATAAATAAGAATTTAATCGAACTTCTATTAAATTTTTCCATCTATATTGCTTTTTATTTCTTTTCTAAAAAAACTAGAAAATATAAATTTGAATGTGATTATATTTTGATTGAATACTTTTGTATTTTATATGAATTAAATCTAAATAAGAATTATGATTTGAGTTCTATATAATTAATTTTATTATATTGTTATAGATCGATGTATTGAATAGAATTTTTTTCGTTTCATCTTATTCATTTTTAAATAAAAGATTGTATTATTAAATGATTTTATTTAAAAAAAATATTTCGAAGAATGAAGAAAAAGAGCAAATGATTGGTAGATTTTTTTTCCAACATACCTGTTATTTTTATCTACACACTAAGAGTCTAGACAGCAGAACGCAAGAAAAGAAATAGGAAGTAACAAATAGTCACGACGAAATAATCGATCCTAGTCTATACCGACAATGATGAAAACAACAACAGCAGACAGATTTATTTCGTTTATAAATAAATCGAATTAATACTGGTAAGAAAAAGTTTTCATTCTAGACTAGTTTTTATCTAGATTTTCTTTGAGAGAAGAATATGAAGTTGTATTTAATATACAGAGTGTTTCAAAATTCCTTAAGAAAAGTTTTTTCGTGTATCTTTGTTAGCACATTCAATTTTATTTTGAATGATAGATGAATCTACTGAAATTTTTTTATATGAATGAGTTTCAGAAATATTATTCAAAAGTATTACCTTTCGTCGAAAAACAGAATATCATTATTTTAACGGGTATTTTCATAGGTAGTCAATCAAAACAGAAGAGACAGGCCTTCGAAATTTTTGTAACATATTTTATTTTGTACGAAAGATCATTGCTCTAGGGCTCGAGTACAATTTGACGTTCTTCCTTATTTTAACCCTATCATCCCCATTAATTGATAATAATAGAAAATTTTTTTTCTCCAAAATGATCAGAGTAAAAAGTTCTACAAAATGGAGTATGTTAAAAAATTATATTTTTGAATAATATTTCTGAAACTCGCTTGTATAAAAAAAAAGGTTTGTTAGATCCATCTATCATTTAAAATAAAATTTGTTGGTAAAATTAAGTGTACTAGTGAAAATATATAGAACCAAAACTTTTCTCAGGAACTGCTGAAACATCCTGTACATCATTACTCACAATTCGCCCATAGCTATTTGAAAATATTTTTAATAAAATTAATTAATTATTAATACTCTTCCATCTCTCTTTTGTATCCATATTTGATAAATAAAACATCGTAATACAAAGATTAATTCATTTTGTAATTAGTAAAATATATTTATTTCAAGATTAAAACATAGAATTAACTCATATACAGTTATAATATAACAAAAAAAAATGGAAAAATTCACTTTTGAGGATAAATATACCCATGGAATTATTTCATTTAATAAAAAAATATATTCAATGTGAACATTAAAAATTAATTAGACTAATTATTTCATATCTACCTAATCTATTTCAATGAATATAAATTACAAAAATAATTTTTTTTTATCATAATAATAAATACAATTTATATTAAGGCTCCAAAATATTTAATTGAGAGTAAAAGTCAAGTATAAGTCTACTAATTTTATTATAATTTATAATCAATAACGATTTACATTAGTGAAGACTAAACAATTTTTTTAATACATATAAATTGCTTGATAAAATATTTCGTTAACAAAAACTCAGATATCTCATTGAAAGTTTAATACTATTAATTATATAAATATAGATGAAATATTCTATCAAGAAGACGATCATAGTAAAATTTCGAATAGATTCAAATAAAATAATTTCTTGGACTCAATTAAATGTTAATGTTCACAAGAAATATATCTTTTCCTAAATGAATTAATTCAAAACAAAAAACATAATTTTACATTTTCTTAATGAAAATTGAACAATCAAACAAATTCTTTCATTTGAACAAGTGCATCACGAGCAACAAGTAAACATGAATTATGTAAACTATTTTCATCATCACCAGCATATATAGCTGATTGGGCATAAAAACATTCTGTAATTTTTCCACATACATATCGCATTAATTGTTTTTGATTATGAACTTGAATGAAATCAAAATTATTGTCCATTTCCATTAATTCAATAGGCAACATTACATCTGTTTTATTACTAATAAGATATAATTCAACAAGATTCAGAGTTGGTAATAATGATGATATATCAAGAAGAAATTCTGGAGTACATGCTAAGATTTTAATTGATAAAGGATTTTTTGTTATTATTGATTTTAATTCTTCAACATCTTGACAATGTACAATTAGATCATTTAAATTATGTTCAAGGACAAGATCAGGTTGCAAAATAATTGCTTGAAATTTGTTTGGTATAAAATCTTAAGTAAAGCAATTTTAGAATTAGTTTTTTCAGAATAAAACAAATCGTTTTTGTTTTTATTCGAAAATTTTGTTTTTGTAAATATTCATAAGAAAATCTCAAACTACTATATGAGTTCTATTAAAAATAACATTTGATTTACCTGACATTTTCAGTTAATATATTTTCAACAAACGAGTTTTTAATGAATATCTATAATAAATAATAAAAGAAAATATAGACTAATATCAATCAGATAAAATTATTTTCTAATTAAATGAATAATTTTTAGTATTAAAATTAATTATTTGACTTTTACAAGATGAAGTACTCAAAATAACAATCAACAATTTTTACTATAGGAACGATTCTCATGATTGATACACTAGGAATGGAACATAATTTATTTTTATGAATCAGAAAATGTCAAAAACAAAACTTTTAGACTATATTTTATTCTAAAAAAATAAAATTGATTTTTTTATTAAATTTAAAAATATCTTCAAAAAAAAGAGATAATTTTTACACAAATGTATAGTCAGCTATGCATTTTACTGTTATCAATCATCATCATAGAGGTTCCTAATATATTCGTATACGTTAATAATATTATCGCATTGAAAAAATAGTACGATTTTTTTGCTCGTTCTGTATACGATGACAAGAAAAAGTAATATTGTTCTGCTTGTATAAATGTAATTTCTCAAATAAAGTTATATTATATGTCGTACAGACTAAAAACAAAGAGAAAATAACTAGTTAGCTATGCGTTTATTTTTATCTTTATTATCAAAACAATTGTGTAGTATTAATTGCAATAGAACATTATTTCAATCAATTAAAAACTCTAGTCATTATCCATCTAGTTTAAATAAGAATTTATGTTTATCAATTAAACGATATCAATCATCCGAATCTATTTTATCTCAATTAGATTATATTCCAACATCTCATAAATTAAATTGTGATATATATATTTTAACAAAAGATGGTGGATTACATGTTCATCAAGGACCATTTGATCGTGCTCATATATGTCAACAATATGGTCTTGAACCGAGAGATTTACAAAAAATTGATACTGATCTTCTGATTAATGTTCCAATAATTGATGTACGTCAAAATCGTTTTATATGTTTTTCATTTCGAAGAATTCGAGGTTTAGTTGAATCAAATCGAAGTATATACTTTGTTCCATCAATTGATAAAATAACAACAGAACCATATGGAGTAAAAGATACTGTTCATTGGGAACGTATTGCTCAAGCTTATGATCGAACTGTTCGATTTATTCATCAACTTTATAATGAAAGATTTATTAATCACACATTAATTGGTAATGATATGATACCATTTGAATTTCGTATAACAGAAATAAATTTAGAAGCTGTTGCACGTGGTTTAAAATTAAAAGAAAATGAACTTTTAACTGAATTTAAAAATGTACGTGAACGTGCTTATGCTCGTATTACTATTGGAAGTTTACGCGAACTTGCTTTACTTAAAGAAAAAGTTGATAAATATAAACGAAATGCTGATCTTGCACATAAAGCTATTACTGATGTTCTTGCACATGATGAAGATATGGTTGGAATGTATCTTACTGATACTCGTCAACGTGAAATGTCTGATCATATACAAGTTGAACTTTTACTTGAAGCATGTACGAAACAAATGGCTGAAGTTCGTCGAGCTATAACTGATCTATCTGATTCAATTCATACACTTGAAAATGCTACGGGATTTATGCTTGATGCTGTACGAAATGAACTTCTTTCATTTGAAATTAAAATTAATATTATAACTATGGGGTTGGGTTTAGGTGCTTTCATTGCAGGAATTTATGGAATGAATTTAACAAATGGTATTGAACAAAATCCACATGCATTCTATTCTATTGCAGGTGCTTCATTTGTTATTATCAGTGGAGTTATTGCTGTTGCAATTAAAAGATTATTGCGTTATAGGAAAATTAGATTACATAGATCAAATAAAAATTATATTTTTTGAATATATTAAACATTTATAATAAAATTTAAAGCAAAACAAACATCTATGTCATTCTTTAAAATTTCTATTTGATATCGAAACATTTTTTTCGTCATCACCATGACAAATCTAAAGAACAAATTTTGAATATTTAATTACTATTACAATTAGTACAATCTATATCAGAGGTACATAAGTTAAACGAAGAGTGCAATCAGAGAATAGGATCAAAATTTTACTATCATTATTGTTTTTGAAAGTTTAATTCGATACTTGAAATAAGAAGATGTCATGCGCGTGAAACTTACATCTTGCTAACATCTATATATATAGTATTCTTATAAACAAGTGAATTTCAATATAATAATGTGGACGAAATGTTTATTATTAAAATAAATGGGTAGGAGTCTATGTTTGCAAAGATAACAATATCAAATGAGGTATCAGTACAATTGCCATTCTTGTTGACAAAGCAAATAAATGATAAACCTCAAACTACCATGTGCATTTTATATATTGTCGATAGTAGAAAATGAAGATACTATTAAGTTCCTCACTTGTTTTCATTTTGTTGGGCATATCCTATGGACTTAATAATGGTCTTGGAAAAACTCCTCAAATGGGTAAAACTTTAGAATATATATATCTTCATCATAATGAATTCATTTTAGGTTGGAATAGTTGGTATAATTTTTGGTGTAATTATTCTGAAAAAAGAATCCAACAAACAGTTGATATAATAGTGAATAGTGGTCTTGCTGCAGCTGGTTATGAATACAGTTCGTTATGATATATATTTATTATACTTCTTATTATTTATTTTCTATTGATATAGTTAATTTGGATGATTGTTGGCAAGTCGGTCGTGATGCTAACGGTACTATTCAAGTTGATCCAGTAGCATTTCCAAATGGTATACAACCTGTAATTGATTATGTTCATTCACGTAAACTTAAATTTGGTCTATATTCAGGTATGGTGATCATCATTTGAATAAATTCTTTTCTCGCAATTATTATTTCAACATCTCATGTTTTTCTCTTAGATGCTGGATATAAAACATGTGCTGGTCGACCTGGTTCTTTAGGTTACGAAACTAAAGATGCAAATACATATGCTTCATGGAATGTTGACTATTTGAAATATGATAATTGCAATACAGATGGAAGTAAACCAGAAGTACGTTATCCAGTAATGCGCGATGCTTTGAATGCTACTGGTCGATCCATATTTTATTCTTTATGTGGTATGTTTAAAGAATAAGAAAGAACAACTTTCCGTAAATATATTTGAATAGAATGGGGTGTCGATACGCCTGCTCTCTGGGCAGGAGATGTTGGCAATAGTTGGCGAACAACTGACGATATTTCAGATACATGGGATTCAATGATTCATACCATCGATATAGTAAGATAGAAAATTTTATATTAAATAAATGTTATTAATTTTATTTAGAATAATCAATTTGCTGATAAAGCAGGACCTGGTGGTTGGAATGATCCAGATAGTAAATTGATTATAATAAACTAACTTGTGTATTTAAAATATATTGCTTCATTTCTATAGTGCTACGAATAGGCAATGGTGGTATGACAAATACTGAATATATAACTTATTTTTCTCTTTGGGCTATTAGTAAAGCTCCACTTTTAATTGGTGGCGATGTAACTAATATGAGTCAAACTACTTTAAATATTTATTTAAATCGTGAAGTAATTGCTATCAATCAAGATCCATTAGGAGTACAAGGCAAAAAAGTTGTTATATCTTCATCACAACAATCAAATATTTCAAATACAGTATTTATGACTGATTGTTCTTCGGTTAAAAGCATAGATCAACGTCAGAAATGGATCTATGATATAAATAATGGACGTATTCAATCGATAATCGATGGACGATGTTTAACTATTGAAAAATGTATCGTTGATGATCTAACTAACATTGTTGTTACTACATGTTATGACGACAATTTAAAAGAACCATGCCAAGGAAAAAATCAACAATGGACAGTCAATACTAACAATCAGACGATTATTTCTCAACTGAATGGACAATGGTAAGTTGTATCTATATAGGAAAACTATACTATAGATTAATATTTCTTTCTAGTTTGAACATTCACAATGAAAATAAACGTTTTGTCAATATTACTTCTTGCAATAAACATAATAATTATACATGGATGTGGAATGAATCAGATGGTTTATTACGTAACACTGAAAATAATCAATGTTTAACTGTTCAACAAAGTATTGAAATATGGGCAGGATCACTTTCAGATGGATCTCAAGCTGTTCTATTGCTCAATCGTAACAGTACTAATAGTGAAATCATTACAGTTAAATGGGCTGATTTGGGATGGCCTGCGAATCAATGGGCTCGAGTACGAGATTTATGGGCTCGACAAGATATAGGCATATTTTACAGTAGTTATACATCACCAAACATTGAACGACATGCTGTACAAATGCTCAAAATCACACCGATTTTTTAAAAAATAAAATAGAGTTCCTTTCTCCTATTAAAATTTATTTAATATTGTGGAAAAATTAGCAAAAAATTCTAAAAAAAAAATGTTTTTTCTTTGTTAATAAAACTTGAAATATTCATTTAAATATTTGTCCATTTTCCTGTTCGAATTATTTTAATTAACCATGGAAAACATTCTGAATCGATTAAAATATAAATTCCAAGTGCAATAAATATAAATGGACTAATAAAATGAGCATATTTTTGTGCAAATTTATATATTGGAGGAAAATGTATAAAACAATAACAAACAAAACATAAAACACCAACCATAAATAAAAATCCTAATCCATAAGCAATTATTTGCCATGATGTAGATTGAACAAATATCGGTACATAAATAGCAATATTATCATTTCCATTTGCAATTGTTACAACACTTACTTTAACGATTTGTTTCAAATCATCACAAAAACTTTGATTTTCTTTTAAATCAATATTATCATCCTATATAGAATAAATGAAATATTTAATTGTTTTTAAAAAAAACAAATAAATTCAAACCATTTGATGAATTTCAATGAATTCAATTTGTTCATTTTGTAATATTTCTTGAAAATTTTTCGTATTATTATTTTTTCTCTTTTTCCAAAGATCTTTAATTAAATGATATAAACCATTTAAACCAAAATAAATAATTAAAAATCCAAGTAAACCAAATATTTTTATTGGTAATATCGCAGAAATAGTATAACCAATTAAACTTAACATTAATAAAATACTAAAACCTAAATATTGACCAAGTATAACATGATCATTTTTTAATAAACTTTCTTTTTCCGATGCTTCAAGAAAGAAATTAATTAATATAACAATATCTTGAATATTCGTTAGACAAAAAGTTATTATTACTTTTAGAATAAATTTCAAAATTTCGATTATCATTATTCTTTCTTACAGTACCAAATAATGATTAAAATATTGAAAATGTTTGTTTTCGACATATTGATAAAAAAATATCAATTGGAAAGGTTAGTTCGACGAGAGTATCGAATTAAATAATCTATGTGTGACAATAATAATCGAGAAAATAGTTGGTATTTACATTTTTCTCGATGATGAGCACATATTTGCACTATAATATATACGTAGAAACAGTTCTCTACAATCTCACGTTTTCGTAGACATCGAAATTTTGAATAAAATATTTATTTATTTATTATATGAAAATAAATGAAACATCAACTATTTTTATAATATATTTCTTTAGTTCTTTTTAACCATTTTTGAAATTTTTTGTTTTAATTGCTCGTATTAACCATGGAAAACAATCTGATGTAATAAGAATATAAATTCCAATTGAAATAAATACAACTGGAACAATATAATGTGCATATTTTTGTGCAATAGTTAAGACTGGACGAAAATTTATAAAATAATAAGAAAATATAAGCCAAACAAATAACATAACAAGAAATATAGAAATATAAATACTAATTTGCCATTTCGATGCTTGAGCAAATAATGGTGTATAAATAGCTATATTATCACCACTATTTGCTAATGTTATACTTGCGATTTTTAATGTTTGAAAATTAAAACAAGAGCTAAAATATTTAACAATTCTTTGTTTCAATTGAATTGTTGAAGAAGAATCAATATTTATATTTTGTTCATAAGTATCATTCTGACAACGATTTGTTTCAAGTTCAATTGTAAAAACTTTATTCGTTGGAAGTTCATCGTTTGTTTTTTTACATAGTTCAATAATTATTTCGATAATACCCTTTAAACCAAGAATAATTGGAAAAAATCCAAGAAATCCAAGCATTTCAACAGGTATTGCATACGATATAAAATAACCTATAAGACTAATTCCTAATAATATAAAAAATCCCAAATATTGTCCAATAAAAACATGACGAACTTTAATTGATGAATTTGGCATTGCTGCTTCAGTAAAAAAATTCATTAGAACAACAAGATCATCAGCGTTTGTGGCGACAAAAGAAATTAATGCTGTTCCAATAAATTCTCCAGCACTTTTCTCTGTTTTACCCATTTATTTCTCTATTGAAATCTGAAATTATTCTTTTATTAGTTTCAAATTATAACAACATAAATCTATCAAAAACATATGAGAAACAATAAATACTTATTCTATGACATTAAAAAAGAAGAGTAAAATATGACCTTTTGATTACTATAGATATAATGTTAGAGGTGTTTTTTAAACTTTTTATTTCTCCTTCTATTGAAAAAACATAATATCTCTGATTATGTAAATATAATTTGAGGAAACAAGAAGTTATGTATATCAAACTTCCATCAATTCAATAAAATATCCTTTTAAATTGAACTGAATTGTATTCTGTACTCCAACATATGTATATGAGCATGTGCTACGCGAACATGTTCTGTCAAGGATATACAAGAGATAATATAATGTTTTTCTGATTTCTTTTCCATTACTAAAATGGTATCAAAACATGATATTTATTGATGACAAAAATGAATGCACTTTAATTTTACTAATATACCAATTACAAAGAAATAAAAAAGTTTATTTTTTATTTCCAAAATTGTTTATGAGGTTCGACAAGTTCTTCTTCAAGTTCATGAAACGGTCCATATACTTTAACATTCTTTTGTCCATGTTCAAATACATAACGACAAGGAATATCAAGTGTTAGATTCTTTTCATTATTACCAGTAAGTTCAAGTAGACGCTTTTCTGTTGCACCAAAAACTACATGTCCAATATTAGCCCAATATATTGTACCAGTACACATCACACAAGGTTCGAATGTTGTATACAGTGTACATCTCCAAAGATATTCAGAAGAAAAATTTGTACAAGCTGTTCGAACAAGCGTAGATTCAGCATGATTCACCGTATCTACATTACCTTGTTCCATTAATATAGTTTCATTATCAGGTGCAACAAGAATACAACCAAATGGATGATGACCAAATTGTACTGCTCGTTTTGCAACTTCGTTAGCACGTCGTAAATGATGTATCATTTGTTCAGATGTTGGATCCATATCGTAGATTATTATTTGTTCTAGAAGGTTAATTGTTTATAAGGTTATTGACCAGAATAAAAGCAAAACGAACTTGTATTTTTAATCTATAAATATAAATGGGAATCTACTCAAATTAATAATAAACAAAATTATGTATATTCGTTTAGTGATGAATTCTACAAGATTGAAATATATCAAAACATTGTTTTAGTTAGAAAAATAAAATTTTCAGTCTAGTTCTTTCTTTTAGATAAGATATTTTATCATCATATCGTCAATGAAGTTTTTTTACTAAGGCTACTTCGTTTCTTTTTCTAATCTTCTATATTGTCATTGAAATAAACACTTACTATGTTATCTTATTTTTTGTATTATTTTTCTATGTAACGAAACAGCTGATCGTTTCTACTTTATCCAACCGAATAAATTCAATGAGTGACAGAAACAAAAAATACCTAGATAACGAGTGATCAAAGTATATGTATATAAACATGTACCGTCCGAACGTGCTCGATTAAGAATTCGTCATACCATATATGATCAGATACAATAAAAAACTTGAATACTTTTCAATATGTATCCTTTTCGAGTCAAAAACTCGTCTATGTAGTAAGGATTATTTCTTAGTATACTTATATCAATTGTATATAGTGATTTAATCCGTCTGCTATGCAGAAGAAAAAAATATGTGTTTTTCTATTTTAGTTAGAGAAGAGAAAAACAGAATTATATAACTAACATTATTCCGATACATATTATATAATCGTTAAGATAGTCTCTGACATAATCAACAGTATAATGGTATCTTCACTTACAAATATTATTTTCATTTCATATTTCAATTCAAAAGAGAAAATGTACATAACATGCGTTGATATCACTAATAATTTTCACCATTATGTACCTATGTGATGTCATTAGATAGAATTCATGTTATTAAATAACTAAATTCAACTAATATGCTCTGTAGTGCATGTAATACACTAAGATCAAAAAAACACGAACTTCAAGACGGTATTCATCGAGACAGAGTTAAATTATTTGCAAATAAAAATGGTGTTTTATATTTTGATTGTAATCTTCCATGTACAATTACATATTTTAAATGAAATTAAATTTGTATTCCAAATTGTGAGTCAATAGTAAATTGTCTGAAAAACCTACTCAGACTTTAATCGTGACAAGAAATCTAGCCGAAACATATATAACTTTCAGTAATTAATATAATGATGTTTGCTCATGCAATAATTACACGAGTTATTATTTATGCACTTTAATTATTTGTTTTCAAGAGTATAAATGAGTAAAATAGAATATAAAGAAGAAAAGTACATATCAATTCCTATTAATTATTATTTTAATGTGATAAATGAAGAAAAGAAACTATTTTATTACTTTCAATTTATTCATTCATTATCACAACAGGAAGAAACATTGATGTATATTAATAATATCATATTTAACGAGGATTTTATCTCACGCAATCTTGGTCTTTTCTTTTTTCTAAATAGATAATATTTTAAAAGGAAAAATATCATAGTAAGTGGGATTCATTTCCTTGTTTTTTATTTATTATTATTTATTATTTGTGAATTACAAAGGAAATGAAATAGAAAGAACTGGCACTTTTCGAGACAAGTCAGTAAAATAATGTGATCTTATTATATTTTTCATTATTTTGACATATCTGTAAACAGTCAGTCTCTTATTCATAGTTGAAAAAAACATTTAATTTCTAAATCATATCAAGATTGTCTTCTACAAACAAGTGAAAAGGTAATGATAAATTTTTTCGAGATTATAATTATAATACAGAAAATTGCTTTTAATATCAGAAATATTCGAAAGATAAACAATATAATTAAGTAAAATCAATTATATTTTAGTTACAATAATAATTTTAACAACGAGTTTGTTATGACAAAGATATATAAGTAGATCAAAAGGAACTATAACTTAGCTATTATAATAGATGTTCTTTTAAAAAATATATTATCTGAGATAATACCTGAAATATGATACATATACGTTCATACTTCTTTATTTATATAAAAACCCTGGTAGAATGATAGAAGAAAATATCTAGGTGCTTTTAACATTAGAATTTTGTCATGATTTCTGTTTCTTTCTAGGAAACTAAATCTATTATAAAATATTCAATAGAGATATATAATATATTATAATGCGTATCATTGAGAAATAATAACCATAAATGTCGTATTTTAAAAATCGTGGTGAGAAAAATGAGAAGAATTTTTTTAAGAACAAAACATCGAAACGACATTCTGTGTCAATGTGTCCTTCTGTTTACAAAAGATAGTTATCTTTTGATTAAATTTATTGATTATTTTAGACATGAATTTCGATATGTTAAATCAAACATCTCTACAATTAAACGAATCATTTTCTATTTCGCTTCTGATGAACATCACGACTCTATTCTTTAGTTCTATCGGTATTATATTTTCTCTAATATTTATGTTTATCATCCTATATAATCGTTCTCTTCGTACAATTGCAAATATTTTAACACTTAATTCTACCGTTGCTATTCTTATTCTATCGAGTGACACACTTGCAATAGGTATTTATGTTTTATATCGAGATATAAAACGACGAGAATTACAAATGGAAATCGAAATGAAAAGTTTATTTCTTTGTCATGTACGTGGTTATATAGCACATATGTCATTTGGTGCACTGGTTTATTCGTATGCAATTCAAGCATGCTATCGTTTAGTTGGGACAATATTTTATCATCGAGTTTCTTACAATCATTTGAGAATCTATGTATATGCAATTTGTATTCAATGGAGTTTTTCAATTTTACAACTTCTGCCTATTATACTTGGAAATAATCAAATATATATTAAACATGAATATTTATGTCAAATTGCAATTGAAAATAGCAAAGCAGTTGGATATATTTGTTTTACTAATTATATAATACCTTTAACAATTATTATGATTATATATTATAAAATTACAAGATCTGTACGAAAAAAAGAAAATAACGGTAAGATACGTTGAAATTCTTGATCTTATTCAAGCATGTGATCATGACGATGATTGTATCTATTTTTATTTAAAATTATATACTCACATCTTAAATATAGAAAAAGGATTTTATGTACGACAATAAGCATTTGAATCTAAAATTTCCTATAATAAATTGAGAAATTTATTTATCAATATATTTATAAAAACATCTCTAATTTACAAAAGTTTTTACACATTTTGTTTTTCCAGGCGCTTACAAGTACAACATTCATCGCGTACGTCGTCAAGTCGTGTTAATTCAACGTATTGTTATTTTAATATTAGTTTTACTAGTTCTTGGAGGACCTTATTCAATATTTATTATTTTGGAAGCTTTATCCATTAAACGTGCACCTTCGTATTCACATCGTATTGGTTTCATGTTTATCTCAATAGCTTGTGCCTCGAGTGTTATTACAATAATTTACTTTACACGATCAGTACGTAAAATGATTATAGAATTTTTAAGTATTAAGAAAAAGTCGCTACAAAGAAATGAATTACAACAGCTAAACAGTATCCAAAATATGAAACTTACACCAAAGAGAATGCCAATGAGTACTACTGATGATACGTAAAGTATATAAAAAAAACATATTATCCTATTTTCAATATAATTATTTAAATTGGATTTTTTATGGACGAAATAATTTGTATGGCATAAAATACATACAAAAACATCGTTTATTATCAAATCTTTTGAAGAATTCTGGTCAATAGATACTGAAATGCTATTCTTTTTCTTCGCCAATTATAAATAAGAATAATTTCTGTTAATAAATATATGTTGTAATTTCTAATGTTGACATTAATTCAAAAATAAATGCAGTGCATCTTTCTATGAAAACAAGTTTTTAAGATCTTCAACATTACGATCATTTTGAAAGAAATAAACAGCTCACCGCCATTCTTTGGTTTTAGGATTTAGAAAATATTATTTAGCATATCTTCATCTGATATGTAAGAGTATTTCTTAAAAATCCATTAAATTGTTTTATTTAACTAATTTTTATTTGTATTTCTTTTCTTTTCTATCTAAATATATAATTACTGAAGTAGTCGATCGTAAATACTGAATAATGACAATTAATAAACGTATATTCAATTATTATTCAATTAAAAAATGAATACACATTCGATATGAGTCGAATAACTAGTTTCATATGTATTGAGAATGATTGTCAAAGATAGATATGACTGTGAATGTAATTTCATTGTACTTGTACAATTCAAGTTAGTCATACTCCCATTTTATCGATTCTTTAGCTACTATTTATCACGGTGAATCACAAATTGCTCATAATGAACCACGTTATCATTTATGTAGGCAATATAAAAACATTATTTTTCTTAAGAAGAAAGTTTTTCAAATACTAGTTGCACGACGATGTCTTCTATTTCAGAACTGTGGTATGTTTTATTTGTATACTTGTGCATATTTTTTATCCTATTTTCTCATCGGTATCATTTATTGTTTTTTTTGATAATCCTAACTCATATTTGATTGTGACAGCATGTTTATTTGCATTCTATCTATTATTACTTTGGAAAAAAAGTAAACCTGATTTCATACTTTATTTATTATTAGCATTCTTCACCACACTTGTCGTTGCTGAAATGGCTCAAGTATGGACGTTGATAATTCAAATTATTAATAATGACAATAGATTGTATTTAACATTGATCGGTTTAATCGTTGGCTCATTGAATCTATCTCGTAGTTATTCGTTATGTTTGGTTTATGCAAATGGAGTTGACACATAAAATATATAAATATCAATAATACTTTACTTTCGGAAAAAAATAAGCCTCTTTTCGAAGTAGTTTTCTATTTTTAATCAATCACTTGAACATTAATACCGCTCATTGCCTAGAAATTTAATACTTTCTTTTTTATAAATAAATCTCATTGTTTTCTGTAGTGCTAAAAATTGCACTGCTATGCATCTTTAATATAGAGGACGATCTTCTTAGAATCATAATCTCAATCATTTCATGTCTACTGGTACATACATTTTGTAATAAACATTCTTATTGAAAATAGATATCGTCCTCATTTCCATCGTTACATAAAAAAATATTGAATTTACATTTTATTTCTCATTTTCAGCACACAATTTTCTATTTCAAATGAAAAGAAAATTTTATTTTCACCATTAAATAACAATAGACTTTTCAGAAAATTTCATCGTTAATAAATTTTTTGATGAATAGAAATAAAAAAAACTAATTATGTGTTTTGATTGTTGGTTTGATAAGTAGAAATAAGTAACATAAAAAATAAGAAAAACTAAGTATATGTAAATTATAGTTACCTGCTAATTTGATACAACAAAATAATAAAGGAACCTATTATTTTACTTCTACTATATTCATCTGTTCCGAGGATGAAAAAAGAAAATGATATATATTAGTAATATAATATTTAACGAGGATTTCACTGCACGAAACATCGTTCGTCATATAAATAAATAATAATTTATATAACAATGTTTTGAGTACGTAGCTTTTCTTTTTCTTTTTACTCTGTGAATATATATTATTTGCGAACTAGAACTAAAACAAAATAAATTCTTCTATATGAATAGTTGAAAAACTAACGACAAATCTTATTCCTATTATAATTATAACCGAACAAACCACGTTTATATTATATGTGGCAATCAAAAATAGATTGTTATTATCTCGACAGTAACTATAATCTAAAAGAAGATTTTCATGTTATGTTAGAGTATACAACGAAGCCAATTATATATTTTATTTAAGATATAATAAGAATTCCGACAACAGTTGTCCTAGTACAAAAGGTAAGAAAGTAAAGATAACTTTTATTATACTCAATATTATCAACATTCTTTTCATGAAATACATCGATAAAAATCTGAAGAATACTATTGAGATTTAGACGATGTTATTTCTCTCAAAGATATGTTTATTTTAATTTTCTTAACAAAATATCATTCATTTTAGAAATGAATTCAACTGATTTAAATGAATCATTTTCTATTTCTCTTCTAATCAATATCATAACTATATTCTCTAGTTGTATTGGTATTATATTTTCTCTAATATTTATATTTATTATTCTATATAATCGTTCTCTTCGTTCAATTGCAAATATTTTAACACTCAATTCTAGTGTTGCTATTCTTATTCTATCGAGTGACACATTTTCAATAGGTATTTATGTTTTATATCGAGATATAAAACGACGAGAATTACAAATGGAAATCGAAATGAAAAGTTTATTTCTTTGTCATTTACGTGGTTATATAGCACATATGTCATTTGGTGCACTGGTTTATTCCTATGTTATTCAAGCATGTTATCGTTTAGTTGGGACAATTTTTTATCATCAAGTTTCCTATAATAATTTAAAAATCTATATGTATGCAATTTCTGCTCAATGGATTTTTTCAATTTTACAACTTTTACCTATTATACTTGGAAATAATCAAATATATATTAAACATGAATATTTATGTCAATTTGCAATAGAAAACACTAAAGGAATTTGTTATATAAATTTTACTAACTATATGATACCTGTAATAATAATTATGATTATATATTATAAAATTACAAGATCTGTACGAGAAAAAGAAAATAATGGTGAGATAAATAGAATAAATGATTTTTATTATTGTTAGATTCTATTTACTAAAGTTTTTTTTATATATTCTTTTATAGGTACTTATAGATATAATATTCATCGTACACGTCGTCAGATGGTGTTAACTCAACGTATCCTTATTTTAATTGCAATTCTCTTCGTCCTTGGAGGACCCTACACAGTATTTATTATTTTAGAAGCGTTATCGATCGCAAGTCCGCCAGTTTATTCACATCGTATTGGTTTTATGTTTATTTCAGTAGCTTCTACTTTGAGTATAATAACAATTATTTATTTCGCACGATCAGTATCTGAAATAATTGTCAATTCTATAAGCATTAAGAAGAAAATGCCACAAAAATATGAATTACAACGACTTAATAGTATCAAATTAACTCCCATAATGTATACCAACAGAAGTACACATAAATAATATTGATGAAAATTAAACTATACAATATAAAATATGAAAGAAACATTTTATTCTATTTCAAGTGCATTTATTCAACAGGATTTCTGATAATCCGACTTATTTATCATATATACGTTATTTTATTCAGTAATACAAGACATGTAAATAATAGCAATGACTTTTCTAAATAGATATATGTTGTATCATTTGATGTTGAGACTATATTCTAAATAAAAAAAAATTAAACTGCAGTCATATAATGACTGTTGATCAATCATGAATTCGTTGTGAGAGCTAAGACAGTTTGCAGAACAGAAATATTAATTATTGTTTACACTAAAACTTAGTATTTAAACAAAAATCGAAATATAAGTTATTTGATTTAAAGTTCATTAATCATCATAATAATTTTCAGGATCAATTCCTATATTCTTCTTAAAGTTTCATCAGTTTGTTTTATCTTTTAGAAATCATTCTATGATATTGATTCATCAGAAAATAATTTGTTTAATCGTCTTAAATCCAGAATAATTGTTAGTGGAGACTAATAATTCATAAAGCATCACGCTATCTTACTTTTATGTTTCTGATAAATGAAAGAAAAGAAAAAGAAAATAATTCTTTCGAATATTGTGATAAACTATGGCTTATATAAATTATATTCTCTATTCTACATTTGTATATAGACCATGTTCATTCTGTATATGTTATATTTGATTGATTCATTTTGTCGATTCTACAAACATAAAGAAAAGACAGAAAAATAAAATAACCTATAAACGAACTAGTCGTTTCAAACAACGACCATGTCAGACCTGTTATGATGTCATCTTCGAAATGGCGTATATTTCTTTACCTTTGTATTTTGAATACAATTAAACAATGATCAAGAATCGTATGCATATTCACTTATTCTTTGTTTTGTTTCGCTAGTATAAATAGTGATATGTTTCTCTATCAGATTATTCATTCATTTGATTATAAAAGTCTTTTTTTATTTATAAACTTCTATAATAATGTATAAAACAACAATTATATTAACCTTAGCATGTTTATTGGGATTAACCAGTAGTGCAACAACACCAATTAATACGCAAGATTGTTCAACAGCATCACAATGTTATTCACGATATCATGGTCTTTATTATTTAAATGTAATAGAGAGTAATTCATCGTATGTGTTATTAGCATTACGACCAGATGGAAGTTTAACATGGACCAGTAACGATCAAACAGGTGCCGAACAACTTGAGTCAAGTGAACAATTCATGCAACCATACAGTACCCTTTTTGGTCGATGGATTTGTGACATGAAAGAAGATGGTATGATTGAAACAAAAGATATTGGATTTATGTATCCAACAGATACAGTACCAGACAACATGTATACAATTAGCAATATGATGCGTTTGAATATGAGTAATCCAAAAGAAATCACTGGAACATTTAGATTCCGTGCATATGATTTGGAAACACCATATTTAGGTGAAGCTATTCAAATTCAAGGTGATGAATATGTTGAATTATCTCGTGATCAAATTGATCAACCTCTTAACTATACAATCAAAGGTTATCGTCTTGACCAATTTTGTTAAAAAAAATGATTGATTTAGAAACGAATATATTTTAAAACTATGTTTATTTTCTTTCTCTTTCTTTTTTTTCGTTATTTTATTTTTGTATTAATAAAATTTAAAAAAAGTTAACTCAAATAATCTCTAGCAATTGAAAGAAAATTTTATATTAAAATTTCTATGATTATCACTGGTATATATGAGAATAAAACGAATAATAGGATGAAGTCATATTCATTTCGATTGTAAATAATATTTCTTTACTTTTGTTCTAATATTTAATCATTTATGTATGTTAGAAAATGCAAAAGTAAAAAGAGTAGATCTGTAAAGACTCTATAGAATGAGATTGAACTTATTGATGGAGATAATTATATAGATTGAATAAACAAAAACAAACTTGTCTGAAATTTATATTCTTAAAGAAAAGAAATAACATCTAGGAAAATCTTTTTCAAAGAAAAGTAATAACATTTGGACTGATATATGAAAAATCACGAAATGTATCTGATGGTGTTGATAATAATAAAACGGCATCTTTTTGTTCAATTTCAGATAATTGTGGAACTTTCATTGATGCTTTTAATGATATTAATGACTAGAATAAAATCTTTTATTTTTGTATTATATCAATAAGAAGAATTTCTATACATACATTGGGAGTCCATGGTGGAGGAACACGACGATTTTTAATAGCATTCAATGTATATGGTTCTCTATTAAATGTTGATAATGAATAATTCGAATGAAAAAGAAATATGTAATTATTAACTCACTGAAAAAATGGTTGATCTTTTAATAAACCATGTGGAGAATTAATATTTCCTAATCTTATTTTTGAATCCCGTTCAAGTAAACCAGATATAATCTGTTTAACTTCATCTTTCATTGTTTCAGGATAACTAATTTGATTTGATAGAACATTTTGTGTTATATCAGTACTATTATTTGCATAAAATGGTGTACGAAATGTTGATAATTCATAAATTAAAATTCCTAATGACCACCAATCAACATTTTCATCATAAAAATCTCTATTATATATTTCATAAGCAATATATTCAGCTGTACCACAAATTGTTTTTGTTTTATGATTTTCATCAATATTTTCTTTTGCTAAACCAAAATCTCCAAGTTTAACATGTCCATCATCAAAAATAAAGATATTTTCAGGTTTAAGATCACGATAAGCCTATATACAATAAAATAAAATAAAATATTTATTAATATTTTATTTTAATTCTTCACATACAATACGTTTTGAATGAAGAAACATTAATGCACATGTAACTTCACCAGTTAAAAAAATAATTCGTTCTTGTCGAAATGGTTTTGGTGCTTGATGTTCAAGAAGATTAAATAGACTACCAGCACGTGCAACTTCCATTAAAAAGAAAAGTCTTTCAAAATTTTGAACTGCATAATAAAGTTGAATTATAAATGGATTTGATTGACAACGAGTCAATATATCTCGTTCAGATTGAATATATCCATGATTTTGACCTTCTAATACAAGATTTTTACGAAGAGTTTTCATTGCATAAAATGATTCACCACGTTTTATTAAATATACCTAAACAATTCATTTTATCTTATCAAATTAAAACTTTAAAGAATTTTATGAGACTAATGTCAATCAAAAAATTGCTTTTTAATAATTTGTTTTTTCAGTAAAAATTTAAAGGGTCATAATTAAAGAGCTGCGGGTCCACGTTTTTTTGGACCCAGACTCAACTGGGTTCCGGGTATGGCAGCTCCCTACTCGTAAGTAACTAACAATTCTTTTACAAATTAAATATTACAAAATTCTCATTTATTCTATTTAATTTTAAGATTCATTGTATTGTCTTTTTCTATAAGAAAACAAAAAATAATTTTAACGAACCGATCCAGTCATTCCACGACCTAATACACGTAAGAATTGTATTTCATTTAAATCAAATCCTGCAGTTATATTTGGTCGATAAGTTTTTGTTATACGTCCAATAACTTCTTGTGCATTATTTTTATCATTAAGTTCATCAAGATTTGAATAAATTTCATATAAATCTTCATTATATTGATAATTATCATCTGCATCTGTTTTATGCTAAAAATAAGAAATGAAATATTTTTATTAGAAAAAAAAAACTAATTTTAACATACATTTTGTTTCCATTGTTGATAAAGTTGTGCAGATGTACCTTGACATCCACAATAATTTCCAACTTTTGATCGACATCGTCGATGAACAATTATTAAACATTCTAAATATTATTTAAAGAAAAATTTCTAAATATAATTTTAAATTTTTTACCAGAACATTTATATGCATGTCCAGGACGAATAAAACTTCCATCATGATCACAAAAAATTGTTTGTAAAGAAAATGGTTGATGTTCAAATTTATGAGGTTTAGTAACTTCAAGCTTGAAATAGAAAATTTCACTTTCTATAATTATTTTATTAAAAATTAAATCTTACATCGGGATATTTTTTGCCTGTACATGGATGTACACAACGATCGTAACAATCTTTATGTACAACACAATCACATCGTTGACATTGAAAACCTTTATAAGTAAAACCCCTTGAAATATAAAAAATATTATATATTTTCTTTAAAATTTATTTCTACCATAGAATATCACTACAAATCGAACAAAATGTTGGTGTTTTAAATATTTTTGCAACAAATCTATGACCAAAATGTTTATAAATAGTTTGATAACGTTCTGCATAACGTTGTCCATGCATTTTTATTTGTATCTGAGAATCTGTTCGATTAGCCGGATCTAATTTATACAAATAAATAAATAAATATATATATTCATACAAATGAATTAACCTTTATATTCAATAATCATTTCAGCTTGAGATTTTGGTGTAAAATTATACTTTAAAAAATAAAAATAAAATAAAATATAAGCATAAATAATAAAATACTTGATGTCGATATCCATCAGCTAATTTTTGTAGAGCTTTTATATCCGATTCAAATATATATAAAATATCATTATGAATAATTCGAATAGAAATATGTCGTTCAATATTAATAAATAAACCAGCATCAAATCGAATACATCGATTTATTTCATTATAAACAGGTTTTTTTATTCGTGCTACATAGATAGATAGATAGATATATAAATAGAATATTTATTTTAATTAATTAATAGAACATACATGCTTGTGATGACGAAAGATTTTTTTCTTTGATTTCAATTTCTGTTTTGACTTTAGTTAAATCTACTGTTTGTTTTTGATTACTTACTTGAAATTTTAATATTTCTATACGTAAGAATGGATGCGTATTTTGAGCCATGACTTTAAACACTCCAAATAGTATATTCAGCTATTTATGAGAAGAAAAAAAAACTTGATATGTACCTTTTCATAAGTAAAAAAAAATATTTTTTTTTTCGAAATATTCTTATGATGATTTCTGTCATGTGTAGATTTTATCCAAATTTCAGCGGTCCATCAATAATCAATATATAGTCAAAAGAGCGTTAATCAAATAGAAAGGAGAAGAAAAAGTACAGGTAAAATATCATTTATACACGTGTAGTTTTTTATTGAAAGAAGAGATAAATATTACGCACAAGAAGGTTTAAGTAATTATTTTCATTTTTGTTTTCTATTTTCAACTTATTAATTAATGAACATATTTATGATAAAAATGAAATGTTCATATCATTAATTTTATACAAATGATTTCAATAGAAATAATATTTTATTTTTATTTTTCTTTTGATATTTTAATATAAAAATATTTTGCTACGATATATCATGAAGTTAATACGAATTAAAAAATGACCAGAATTTGCATTCACCTTTTCTTCTCATGTCAAAATTCGACAATGATGAATTTTGAGAATATTTTGGTATAATCAAAAATGCTACATAACTATATTTGACAGTTTGTTTATTCTTATGAGGAAATATATCGCACAGAAATTTTGAAGATATATTTAATAAATCATTGTTTAGAAATTTCGGCAATAGTTCTATGAAATGTAGGATCTGCATAAGATATTATACAAATATGGACTTATGAAAAGTAAAGTTGTTTAATTGTTTCTGATTAAAAATATTAGATATAAGTATGTTTCATATTTTGTACAATTCATTTAGTTTTGGAACGTTTTGAATCGACATTAATGACAAAGGTACTATTATCGAATAATACACAATTTCTTAGTTGAATTATTCATTTGATAAAGTCTCTTGTATAAAAATAAAAGCTCTAAATCGACAAGTTCGTTGATCATTTTTATTTGATTTAACCCTTTGATTACGGGGTTTTTATTTTAAATAAAAATGTTTTTTGTATCATGAAAAATACTGAAATAAACTTTATTGTTATATTTAAGCACTTTTAGATTTGTTTTAAAATATAGTAGTCAGCACGTGTATATACGTCACCCGTAACCAAAGGGTTAAATTTAAAATTTAAATCAAATAATTGGAGAAATTTCAGATTTTGTCCAGAAGTTATGTGTACTAGAAAAAGTTTATGAGACAGATAGGCATGTAATAATACGAATATTACCACCCAATACTTTGTCGAAAAAAAATTTTAATTTAAATATTATAAGAAATTAATTAGAGGTTCTTATCGATTGAATAGTGATATATACTTTACCTTATTAAAAAAGCGAAACTCATAAGTAATGAATCTTTTCTGAAGAAGTAAAAAGTACGATTAAATTTCGGATCTCTACTATAATACATTCACACTTGTTCTTGTAGGTTTATTCGATAAAGACAACGATTGTTTTATATAAGATAAAACAAAATATGAAAATATGTTCGTACGTCGATATTAAACGCCCTCTTTTATAACAGAGGTTAGAAGTATTATTTAAATGGAATGGTAAATTTCATTTTATTAATCGATATACATATTTAACTTCAGATAGAAAAAATGCTTACTAAAGAATTTGCATTTAACTTTACAAATGAATGGATTAATAGTTGGAATTGTCATGATATTGATAAGATAATGATTCATTATGATGATTCTATTGATTTTACATCACCATTTATTATTCAATTTAATAATGATCCAAATGGAAGAATTTCAAATAAAAATGATTTAAAAGATTATTTTTCTCGAGCCTTAAATAAATTTCAAGATTTACATTTTGAATTATTAAATACTTTTCTATCTGTTAATTCTTTAATCATTCATTATAAAAGTGTTAATAATATGATTGCAGCTGAATATTTTGAATTTAATGATCATGGAAAAATAATTCAAGTAAAAGCACATTATTTAAACTCATTTTAAATATAAACAATTTCACAGCATGATTTTTTCTTTTATTTATAAAAAAAACTTCTTTGTTTTTTTTTGAAAGAATAAAAAAGGCTGAATCTTTATTTGTAAATTATGAAAAGATGTGTCAAAGAAAAGATAAATGATGATTCACTTGAAAAATATCACAGAAATAATTATGGTTTTCCCAAAAATTTATTGATAACATTCATATCGATTGGTTCTAAAAATGGTGTTCCTAAAAATGGATAATTCAATTTCAAAATAGATCAATGAATTTAAATTAATATTAGTACCTTGAATATCAGTTTCATCTTCTCCATCAATAATTGGTCGAACCCAAGTTGATTTTCTTGATGTTTTAAGTCCAGTACCTAATGGTGGATAGATATTATAAACAACATCAAAAACCATATCTTTTGTTAATGAATCATTTTTCTTTTGTGGATAATCTAAAAAAAGGAAATTATTAAATAAATAAATATTCTGTTAATTTACATTTGAGAACAGCTTTTAATGCTTGTTTAATTTCATCGGATGTTGCTGATAAATCACAACATTGAAAAAATGTTTCAACTTCATTTTGATCTAATTTATCATTAAATGAAATTGTATTATAAATAGTTGTTAATTCTATTCAATAAAAATAAATTTTAAATTATTTTTTAGATAAATAAATCAATAAACTTTTTTCAGTTGTAAGAAAATCTTTGGCTTGATCCCGAGTAAAATGAAATTGTTGTCGATCTGATTGACGTATTATTTGAGTACGTCGAATAACATCACGATAATGATGTATAAATTGAGACCATGTTGAACCAAATGTAGCAACCTAGAATTTATTTATAACTATAAGAATATAAATTCGATATTTTACAAACTTCTTCTCTCAATGAATGTGCTTTATATCTAATAATAAATCCTCTCCACCAACGTTGAATACATGTAGCAGCACGATTAAGTGTAGATTTTGAAAATTGAGCTTCAACTTGATTAAATTGTCTAAAAAACGAATATTAATTATTTCTATTTTAACAAATAAATAAATACCCAAATATTTCAACAGATGGTCCAACGTCATTAATCGCTTGTTTATATTGTTTATTTTCTTCACGAATTCTGAAAATAAAATCGAAAAAACTCAATAAATTATTTGTAAAATATAACTAAAACCTTATTTGATCATTTAATTGTCTTTCAACATGTTGTGCACGTTTAGCTGAAAGAGCTTTTCGATGATCACGTTCTCGTTCTTGTATTTGACTTGTCGATGGACGACGTGTTTCAATATCATCTCGTCGTTGTAAATGATCTCGATACGCTCTAATCAAAATTAAGAAAAATATCAAAAAAAGAAAGAGGAAAATTTGAAATAAAAATACCGTTGAATTTTAATTGCAGCTATTTGTTGTTCTTCACGTTTTTTTCTTTCTTCAGCTGATAATTTTTTCGGAAGATTTTCACTAATAAATCCTTTAAATGTACGTTTTATATCAACATTATCTTTTGCATGACGATATACAGATGTCGAATAATTATAATCATCCTAAAATAAATTTCAATATATATATAGAAGAAAGAAAAATCTTTTACTGGATCTTGTGTAAGAAATACACTTGGAATTGGTCTTCCTTGTTGTTTCGAACTTTGTTGACGAGTTGGACTACCTCGATTTTTAGAACTTTGCTGACGCGGTGGACTTGGATTTGCATTTGTTACAATAGTTGTCGGAAATAAAAGACGTTTTTGAGGAGTTTTTTTTTGTACTTGAGTTTGATCGACTTCTACAACGGAAAAAAAATTTAAGTTTATTTTCTTTTTTAAATATATAAAAAATAACCTTGTTGTGTTCGCATATTAATAACACTTAAATTAGATTCCATACGTTCTTCATCCTTGAGACTAACGAAGAAAAAAAATATAAAATAATTTATGAGAATAAAATCTTACGGATCTTGAAAAGTCGATTGTCGATCCATAATTGAAAGAAGATCTGACTGTCTCGATTGTAGTTTTGGTGATGATTTGATTGAAGTTGTGTGTTTAATAAATGAACGTTGTTTAGGTGGTGTATAAAGTTCAATAGTTAAACGATTTGGATTTTCTAATGATTTTATTTGTATACTATCTTCAACTGGTGGTTCATTTTTGGGTCTTTCAAATGTTGTTTGTCTTTCAATAGGTACTCGTTTTGTTTTTGTTGATTGAAGTGTTAGAGCAACATCAATTATATTATGAGTTGAACGAGGTGGACGAATTTCAAATATAGGTTGACCATTTTTTCTAAAAACAAAAAATCAAATGAAATAAATTTAATTATTTTATCTAATACTTTGGATAATCTCGTTCAATTTGTTCAGTAGAAAGTTTTGCTGCTTGTTGAGTATCTTGTGGTCTTGCTAACATTTGAACAGGAATAAATGGTGCACCAATTCGCGTACTAATTGTTGGATCGTAATTTTCTAAAAGTTCTAATTGTGGTAATGTCAATTGACTAAATTGTGCATTGATTAAATTTGAATTAGAATTTTCATTGAATTCTGGAATTGTTTGATAAACTTGACTTGATGCACTTGGTAATAATTTATATGTTCGTTTATTTAATGTTGAATCTGGTGATACATTTTCTCGACTTTGTGAATCACGTGTACATATTGTAAGTGGTGTTGTACGTGTTGAAATTATTGATTCAGATGATGGACGTAGAATAATTTCACTGATTCGTATTTGTTCATCTTTATGTTCACTCGATGCTTTTAATGCAGGTGGATTAACTAAATGAAATAATCGTTTATTGTTTTTTATTTTACAAAGAATTAGTTCGTGTTGTTTTTCTTACTTTTATTTTCAGTATGTTGAACATTTCGTCCTTTTACAAGTTCATTTACATTGATATTCTATTTTGTTTTAATAGAAAAATAAAATAAAATAAAATGAAAAGAATAGATTTTATTTATTACTTGATCAATATCTTGTTTCGTATCTGTTTCATGAATACGAACATTAAGTGGATAATTTCTTTGTCGTTGTTGAAAACTTAATGGACTTTTTAATGCTGAACCAACTGGTGTATGACGAATATTTACTGATTTAGATGATGAAATTTTCTATTAGAATTATTCAATTATTAAAAGAAATCAAAAAAAAAATTAAACTGACAGTATCTTCTTCTTCATTTTGATCATCATTAATAAGTCCACCAGCTGATTCTGGTCTTGTTTTTGATAAATTACTTGCAGCTGTACATGGTCGTTGCGGAGATTCCATAGATTCCGAACGTTGTCTTCTTGAATGACTTCGAACACTAGAAAAATACAAAATATATTTTTTCCGGAAAAAAAGAAATAAATTTTTCATACTCTGGTAAATTTCCTTGAGTAATTTTTCCTCTCCAATCTTTTAATTCAATAATTTTTGATCCTGTTGATGTTGCCGATTTTGGATGAACACGACTTGTTCTTGATGCTCTATCATCTACATTATTATTATTATTATTTTCAACGACTTGAATCATTTCTTCTTTTGAAAAATTATCATCCATAAGTATATCAGATAATCGAACTCGACTACAAATATCAATGCAAAAAAGAAGAAGAAAAAAATAAAATAAAATTTACTTGACAATTGGTTGACCAAGTAAAACTGATGCATCTGTTGGATAAAATTCACATGGTTCATATGCTAATCGAGCTGATGGTAAACGAAAACCACGTATAGCTTCAAGACCAACCTAATTAGAATTATCAGAATATAAATATAGAATGAAAAATAAAATTTTTAATTAATAAGATATTATACTCAATCAAACAAAATGTATATTATGTTAGTCACACATAATGTTAAATGACTACCTTTTCTTTACTCTGAATCATTTTATCTCCTACATTAGAAGCTACATTACACATATCTGCCAATGTTAAACCTTGACGTTTCTTTGTTCTATATTTAGGACTAGAGACAAAAAAATCACAATAAAATATATTTTCTAAAACGGATATTTTAATTGTTTTTTTAATAAGGAGAAAAGAAAATACAAACCTTTCCCCTCTTGAAGAATAATGTTCATGAAAACTTGATTCTCTTCCAAGCATTTTCGATGCAACACGAGACATTTGATCATTAGCTGTAGTAAAAAATTCATCTAATTCATATTTCGATACTAAAATACAAAATATACCAATTTGTATCTTTCATAATTATAAAATCTTACCTTGTGTTTGTTGTTTATCTAATCCAGATCTTTTTGTAATTATTATTCTTTCATTTGGTGAACCAAATGAATATTTTAAATTATCATCATTGTTTTCATTTTGAACATCATTATGATAATGAATCATTTGTTGAACATAAATTGAAACTTGTTCAGTTGCATTTGAACTTGGAAAATGTTTTGATCTTGGTCTTGTTTGTGATTCCGACGAAGTTACTTTTAAATTTCCAACACTAACAAGACTTTCAGGTGGAACACGAATTTGACGATTTGATGTTGAATTTTGTGTACGAGCAGATTGTCGACGAGTTGAATTTGATCTTTGATTTATATTTAAATAAGGATTGAATAAAGTTGCTGCTGTACTTTTCCATGGTTCAGGTAATTGTCCTGTACTTGTCATTTCGTTTTTCTCAAATTTGTTAATTCAATAGAAAGATTCGATTATTATTTTCATTTCTCTTTCCTCTGTTATGACATAACCTCTCACAGAATGTCTTTCATCATTTTCATTGGTTTAAAAAATACCATTAAAAATCAACTAATAAAATATAGACTGATCTAAGAGATAGATTTATTGTGTACAACTTATTTCATTTTATTTCAAAAAAATGTCTAAAAAGAAAGAAATTTCGGAAATACCTGAACGTATGGAAGGTGAACGTGAAGATGCTAATGAAAGACAAACAATAACACATGGTTATTATTCATCTCGTCCAAAAACTTTTGATACAATGTTAGGTGGATATACACAAGTACATGATGCAGATATTCAAGAATCAAGTCAATTACTTCAATCTATTTTTAAAGTTTGGTTGTTTTTTTTATTTTTTATTCAACTAATTTTATTTATTTCTTTAGCAATCTAATGGTAAATTAGGTTCATCAAATTGTCTTGAACTTGGTTGTGGAGTTGGTCGAGTAACAAAACATTTATTATCTCGTTATTTTGATCATATTGATATAAATGATTTATTAGAAGACTATTGTCAACAAACTCGATCATTATTCGAAGATGATGAAGAAAAAATTGATCAATCATTTGTTTGTTCAATTGGTGCACTTGAATTAAATTCTTTTCCAAAATATGATGTCATTTGGGCACAATGTAAAAATTCTTTTTTTATTTATTTATTTAAAAGAAAAATTAACTTTTTATTTGTAGGGGTATTAGGATATTTAGATGGTGATGATCTTGTTAAACTTTTACGTAAATTAAAAGTCACATTAAAAAAGAATGGTTTAGTTATTATAAAAGATAATTGTGTTGCTAATGGACAAGAACCAGAATTTGATCCTGATGATCAATATTATGTTCGATCAGGAGAACAATTTTATGATATTGCTCATCGAGCTGGTTTTACTGTTGTTAAAGATCAACGGTCAAAATTAAAACAAATTGTTAGAGAATTGTTACCTATAAGAATTTTTATTCTTGCTGTTAAATAAGATAACAATAAAATAGAAACGTTATCTTTATGGATATAACAACAATATCTCAAACGATTTTTGTTTTCCTTTTTAAAAATATTCATTTAAATATTTTTTATTTGTTAAATAAGAATATTATTAGTTAGACTTTTGTATAACGACGGAATTAAAAGAGAACTACAGTTCAGTACAAAAATAAAACTAGGATATTTTCGGAAGCAAAAGTAATCATTCCGTACTTTCTTACTCTTTTTATCGTTCTTAGTTGTGGTTGATGCATAATAAAATAAATTCTATGTTTATTTTAATTTCTATTCTAACATGTAAACATATTTGAAGAAAAAATGAATAAATTTATTGTTCTCATGGTAGTATATATTGCTAATTAACAACAGATCAATAGGATTGTTGTTCAAACTGTTTATCATTGAGATCCGAAAATGAATTATGAATTTAATCAAATATCAATCCAGAACAATTGTCTTTGCTACAGAAATTTATTAAATAAATCAATTATAATACAAGGAAAAAGTCAATTAATGAAATTGAATTTAAATATTGTTATTATTATAAAACTAAGAGAGAATAGTAAATTTTCGAAATCTATTTCTTTCGATAATTTAATTGACTGATAATATCATCTGTAGTTAAATACTATTATTGGTTCGATACTTTAACCGTTCGTCTTTAAAGCGAAGAACACAATTTTATAGAAATGACTCATTCATGACTATGTCTCACCATTTATACTTAGACACCTATTAGATTTATTTTTGTCTTGCGTATATATACATAAATGGCAAATGTTAATTTGCTAATAAAATTAGCATTTTTGTTATATAGATAAGAAATGAGAAATTTTACATAACATTTTTAGATATTAACAATGTAATGTTGTGATAAACATATAAAATACGGGAGAACTGTTGTTATAATGATTAGAATATTCGTAGATAGATTAACAATTCTATTGATTTCTTATTTATTTTCAGATGACTTCACATCCAATTCATGAGAACGTAACAATATCATTAGAAAATCTTTCAAATGAAATATATAAATTAGTCTCATCCATTCGACCTGATTGGAATAGTTCAAATACTCGTTTAGTAACATTTACAGAAGGTATAACAAATTCAATTGTAGGTCTTTTTGATACTCGAACACCTGATGATGAATCTGAAGCATTAGTTATTAAAATATTTGGTTCAAATACCGAATTATTTATTGATCGTAGTTCCGAAATGAATGCAATGATAAAATTATCTGAAAATAATGTTTTATCACAACGTGTACTTATTGAATTTAATAATGGTTTAATTTATGAATATGCATCAGGTAGAGCATGTTCAAGAGAAGATGTACGAAAAGATAATATATCAAAATTAATTGCTATTAAACTTGCACAATTTCATAATGTACCTATGACAAAAACTGAAACACCACATACCATAACACTTATACGAAAATTTATTAAATTAATTAATGAAAAAGAAGAGATATCAAAATATATTTCTGATATTGATATTATTGAAAAACGTATTCTTCCACATCTTATACCAAATCCTTTAATTGGTAAAGATCTTGTTCTTTGTCATAATGATTTACTTGTTAAAAATATAATTTATAATGATAAAACTGATAAAATCTCATTTATTGATTTTGAATATACACATTTAAATTATGCTTTATTTGATATTGCAAATCACTTTGTTGAATATGCTGGTGTTGATAATGCTGATTTTACTTTATATCCAACACGTGATGAACAAAAGCGATGGTTAAAATTTTATTTTCAAACACGCGGAATGAATGAACAAATAATAGACGATAATTTATGTCATCTTGTTGATCAATTTTCTGCTCTTGCTCATCTTATGTGGGGATTATGGGCGTTAGTTCAATCAAATATATCATCATTAGATTTTGATTATGTTAATTATGCCAAATTAAGATTGGATTCTTATCAAAAATTAAGAACAATTCTTTTTCAAAGCATTGAAAAATAATAATTTTGTTTTTTTATCGTTAAGATAGATTTAGAAAGTGCCGCTTTTATTTTTAAATGGGTAAGGTTTTTCAAAACTTTCAAAAAAAATGAATAAAAACTATTAAACACGCTTATTTTATATCAATCTTATAGTATTATTGTACAGACAGAAACTCATTCGCATAAGATTCAAATATAAGAGATGATCAACAAAGATAAAATTTGTCCATTGAATAATTATGTTTATTTTTAGATAAATGAATAATAAAGAATTTTTTTGTTTTATTATTCTAATTTTCCTTAGTATTATTTCAGTTAAAGTATGTTTTAATATTGTTTTAAAACTAAATTTTAGATTTTTAGAAGAAAATGTCTTTATTAAATTTAAATATAGTTGATGATAATGAAATGTTATCTGAAAAACTTGGTTATCAACTTGAAGAAATAATATTAGAATTAGTAAATAAAAAACAAATCGTGACAATTGGTTTATCAGGTGGATCATTAATTGATTTATTAGCATCAAGTGTTCCTCGTCTTCAATTTCCTTGGGCTCGTCTTCGATTTTTTTTTGTTGATGAACGATTTGTTCCATTTACATCGGATGAATCAACATATGGAGCTTATCAAACAAAATTATTTCGTAAATTACCACTTACTGAAAAAAATATTATTAAAATTGATCCTGATTTAAAATCTGTTGAAGAATGTGCAAAAGATTATCAAAATAAATTAGAAGAAACATTTACTGAAGATGATAAAGTTAATCAATTATTCATTTTTATATTTGTTAAATCTAAAATTTATTTCTTTTAGTCATTTGATATAATTCTTCTTGGTATGGGACCTGATGGTCATACTGCAAGTCTTTTTCCTAATCATTCAGTTCTTAATGAAAATAAAGGATTAGTAACATATGTTAAAGATTCACCTAAACCTCCTTCTGAACGTGTTACATTAACATTAAATACAATTAATCAAGCGAAATATAAAATAGCTGTTGTTACTGGTGAAAGTAAATCAACGATTGTTAAAGAAGTTATACAAGAGAAAAATACAAAATATCCTATTGGTCAAGTTAAAGATTTAATTTGGTATCTTGATAAATCAGCAGCATCGAAATTATAAATTATTTCAAATATTTTTTTCCAAAAAAGACTTCTGTATCTCATTCTTTTTTTCTATAAGATCTACAATTCAACTATAAGTTGATAGTCATAAGAACAATTTAGGTAAACATGTGATATGAAATAAACTATTCTCTTTTATTATTAAAGTATTTCATCTTCAAATTCAATTTTATATTAATGATATCTAATTAAGAATTCATTGTAGTATAAGAATTAAGTTTATTAAAAATCTAGTTAGTAGATGATTTTATGAACACTGTAAATTGTTTATTTCGTTTTTCAAACATAATATTTAATAAAAATAAAAAATAATGACAAGATATATTTTGAAATATTATCAAAAATTTACTATAGAAATTGAAATTGAATGAAATTCATTAAAACAACTCTAATCGAGAAATGTTACAAAAATAAAGAAAAATCAAATTTCGGTGTAGCGTCTTATACAATTCTCAAAGATAACTATAACAAATCGAGATCTGTTATGTCAAGGTCATATAAAAAGAAAACTTCTGATTATAACGTATTTAATATGATCTATACTTCTAATACTTTCAATGGAGTTTTGAAGTTTTAGGGGTGAAAATTTGCATTTACTATTCCTCTTCGCTCACATATCGTAACAGATATTTTTATTCTGCAAGGCGATTGTCATAACAGTTTTTTCTATCTATGACTGATATATTTGATATAATTCTCAAGCAATCTTAGAATAATCAATTTCAACTTGACTGTTATTTTTAATGGTAATTGTCTCAATACAACTTTTTCTGACTTCGATCATGATCGATATTTCTCATATGAATAAGTAAGATTATGTCCTTCCATTAGCATCTTCTTTTAAAACTTTACGGTAAATATTTTATATAAAATCTTAGCAAAAACTTCATGCTTAACTATCGTAATTTCCTTTATTGAACATAAACTTAAATAATATTTAGTTTAAAATATATAATTTATGATATAAATAATCCAAAATATGTTTTTATTATATTTAAAAATCAAAATGAATTCGTTGTTGGCATACTTGATCTACAGATTGCTTGATGATAGTATTATCGAAACCATTTTCACATAAATTAACCATAACATAAAGTTTACTTAGGACAAATTCATTCTAAAAATTAAAATAAAATATAATTAATCAAAAAAAACATTTCAAAAAAACTAAAACCTGAATATCAAAACATTTCTCATGAAGACGTTGAGTAATTGAAATATAACAATCATGTTCAGTTAATTTCATACGTTGGTCTGTGATCATTTTCAAATTATATTCACCAGTAAATGATAAAGTTGTAGAAGCTATGTCATATATAATATTTGAAATTCTATTTCGATCCTAAATAAACAAAAAAGAATATTATTTTTTATTATGAAAAAGACTCAAACAAACATTATATAATTGATTAAGTTCATTTTCTAATTCGATTTTTTCAATTGAATTTTCTTTCGCAGCTGCTAAACGATGTTTAATAATTTCAATACGAACATCTTCCGAACGTACAGCATCACGCTATAGAAAATAAATATTAAAACTTATTAATAAAAAAATCTATTCTTTATATTTTATACTCGAAGTAAATTATTATAACGATCGACAAGAACATTATATTTCGATGTATTCCATTTTTGTAAACCTTGAAATTCACTAACATTATGTGATTTAGCTAAATTCTAAAAAGAAAATATTATTGAAAAAAATTATATGAATATATTTTACAATATCTCCATATTGCATAACATGACTTGTATTTGTTTTTTGTTGTGTTATTGTATATTGTTGAAATAATGTTTCTTTATTAAGTTGTTCAACATCCGAATCTTCCATCCAAACAACAGAATAAACATCACCTAAATATGTACCACGTTCGAAATCATGATAACAAGCATATGAAGATTCTTCAGCATTAGCTGCTGTTGTTCCATAAACATTTATTTTATCGGATAAAATATCTTCAAACATTGAACCAGACTCACAAGCTTCAATATAAATAACTAACTAGAATTAATTAGAAATTAAATAGATTTATTTTTCTGCTGAAATATATTCACACTAACATTTTTATATTTCTTTTGATTGTACATTGTTGTTATTGTTTGATTGAAATCTTTTGCATAAAGCTATAAAATAAAATAAATTTTGTTTTAAAAATATTTTTAATATATATATATAATATATGAACATACTACACCATGTGGAAAAGCAACTAAACCTATACAAATAAGAATATATATTGGGATTTTATCAAAATAAAAAGAAATAATTTACCTGGTGCACCATGATCAGTAAAATAAATAAAAACATTATCATCAACACCACTACAAAAAAATATATATATAAATTATATAGTGGAAATATATTTTACCTTCCGAGTACTTTTCCACTACCTACACCTTGCAATATTTCTTTGTTACCAAGTAAAACATTTATGAAATTTTGTGGTGTTACATTCTATTTTAAAAGATATTGAACATAATACAAAATCGAATATTTCTTACTTTGCCTGTATAATCATGAGGTACTCCATGATAAACATCTTCTCCTTTTGGATGATTAATAATAATACCTTTTGTTGGATTTCTAGAAGAAAATCAATAATAGATTATGTCAGAATGTTTTATAAAAAGTATATAACTCACCGCAAATGATGAGCTAAATCATCATACATCATAACAATAATATTAGAATCAGGAATACCATTTTTATGTAAAATTTGATAAGCATGACAAACATCAGCTTGATGACGATAATTCATCCATTCACTAGAGCCTGCAACAAGAACTGCCCAATTATCTGCCAAATTACTATTTATTTCAAATAATAATACAATTAGAACAGAAAATAATATATGTCGATACATTGTGTACATATATATCTCGTATTAATAGGATGAGAAAATATTGAATGTTGTCAAAGAGTCTTATATACACCAGAATTTATTTTAAATTTCGTTTTTTGTAATAATAATATGAAACAATAACTGTTTTTTCTCTTAATATTTTTATATTTCGGATATGAAAAAGATAACAGAACTTACTTTTAATCATAGACTATTAATAGTAACAGCATGAGACTGCTAGCAGATGTATAAAATACGAACAAAGAATAAAAGAAATATATTCTGCTGGTCAAATTAAATGACATACATAGATTTTTCGATAACTTCTCTACATCATTGTCGTTTCGACCAAAGTGTATCGGTTATTATTTTTTTTACAGTTTCCTGTTCTATTTTATAAAATATTCATGTTAGTTTATCTGTTCCGATAGAAAGTTGCTATCCATGTTAGAAGAAATAAACAAATATGAATTGTGCATACAAACATGTCATTCTATGAATAAATTTCTCAAGATGAATGTGATAAGTTCAATTCCAGTGTACTCAAGTAAATTAATATTGCATACAATAATGAACATAATTCTGACGAATAATTTTTATCTTATGTAAAAATCTATGTAATCAAGTGCATATATTCAACTGTTTGCCTTGACATTAAAAACGTACTTAGCGTACAAACAATATTTGATTTTTGCTTACATTCTTTGTTAATCGTTCTTGTACATGTGACATATACTTTTTTTTGTTATTATCATATAATATCATCGTCGTATAAGCAAAACACAGAGCACGAGAAAAATATGAAATATTTGTTTTATGTGATATATTCGTTAGTTTTTAAATTATGAAATTATTAGACAAAGATATCACAATTTTACTGTCGATTCTTATTAGTTGTAGAGATATAGATGATTCATTATATTAAATGATTTTATTATAAATTCTTTATTTCAACAATGAGTTAACATAAAAATGAAAAAACAAATACAAAATTTAACATAGTCTAATTATTTTATTTTCCAATATTCTATTATCTGTCTTGTAATATTATAAAAACAATAGTAAAGTCTTTATAAACGTACCATTATTGGAAATTGCTCTTTTTGACCTCCATCTTTTGTCCTATCTACATCAATAACTGTGTCTGATGCTGCTACTGGTATGTTATCAATCTGATCTGGTTTTTTTTCTGGATCCGGTTTAACTACGGCTGGTACTCGACAAAATAAAAGTGCAACAATAACTCCTGCAGCACTAAGACCAATTCCAGCATACAATCCTCCTCGATATCCTTCTAATGTAGTTTTTCCTCTTTTTAATAATTCACTTTCAACTGTTCCAGCAATACCCAAACCAAGAGAAATAGACCAATTAATAGCCGTATTAACCATACTTGCAGCTACACCTTGTTGATTCATTGGCATAGAATTACTAACAATAAGTGATGCAGCAGGAAAACTAATATCCATTCCAAATGGAGCTATTAATGTTGCTACAAATACTTGAGCCCAATATGTTTGATGAGGAGGCATTGTTGCAATAAGAATATTTGCTAAACAGAAAAAAAACATAGCTGCCGTTAAAAGAAAATGACCAGGTACACGATGATATAATTGAGAAACAGTTAATGTTGCTGCAAGACCAGAAAAAATGACTGGCGAGACCATTGCTGTTGTTAATAATGGTGATGCACCACGAATTACTTCAATAAATTCAATCATATAATAAATAAATATACCAAAACTTGACCAACCCAAAGCAATACATGCAAGAACACCAGGAAAACCTTTCACTGTCCATATAGATAATGGCATAATTGGTTCTTTTGCTTTCCATTCAATTAGAAGAAATATAACAATTAATGCAACACTAATAATTAGTAAAACATAAACATATGGTTTATCCCAACCTACAACAGGTCCTTCATTCCAACAATATATAAAAAGAACAAGACCTGATAATCCAACAATAACACCTGGTATATCAATTTTTCCTGTTGGATGAACAGATGATGATACTTCAATTGGAATAACAAAATAAGCTAGAATAGCAAGAAATGCACAAAAAATAGCTAATGCCCATTGTCCCCAAGGCCACCAAGATAATTGAGCAAATATACTTCCAAATACAGCACCTACAACAAATCCACTAGGTGCTGTTGCTCCAAACATTGCAAAAACAAATGATTTTCTATTACCATTTGGATATGTTCTTGCAAGAAGAGCAACTGCATTAGGTAAAAGTGTTGCAGGACCAATTCCTTGACAAGCTCTCATTATATCAAAATAAATATCATTTTTAACATATACACCCATACCAGTTAAAATACTAAATATTGAAAATATTCCAAATCCAATTATTAATAATAATTTATGACCATAAACATCACCTAATCGTCCTGTTACCATAATAAAAATTCCAACAGTTAATGAATAAGCAGCTAATGTCCAAGGTAATTTAGAAGGATCATTGATACCAACAGATGGACCAATAATAAGTAATGGAACGAGAACATTGCCTAATGCTGCTTGACAAAGTAATTGAGCACAAGATATAACACTTACATAAAGAACTTCATGAGCAAAATTACGAAGACAAGCCGGACGTTCTTCAAAATGCATTATTTTTTCTTGATTTTATACTATTTTAACTTGGATGATCAATATTTACCTATAACTAATTAATATATACCACCTGTTACAATGTGCGTCTGTATTTATTTTGATTATACAGGTGAGAAATGTGCTTACTTTATATGACAAAAGTAATATTTCAACGATAGAAAAAAATGCACCGTCATCGATTATAATTCGAAACAAAATTTTTCTTTCTTTATACATGCTCGGGTAAAAGTACTCATGTTAGAAATAAGTCGCGAGTACTCATCAATTGCGGGTACTCAACAGTAGTATTTCTTGTGCCATATTGACTGTTCACGAATACTCATATGAAAGTTCTTTTTTTAATATTCTAATATCTTTTTGTAAACCATTTATAAATCTATATTCTGTTCATTATTGTTCTAGGATATAGATTTTATTTTAATATAAAATGAATGAGAAAGTAGATGGTATACGATTTGAGATTGGTCTGCGAAATGCGATCGACTGGGTTTGTGTCTTATGAATAAAAAAACTAAGTGCACATTTTTTTACATGTCTCGTTAAATAAACAACCGACTTCTTTTTTAATATGTTTATGAGAAATCTATTCTTAGTCAATAACAAAATTCAAAAAAAAATCAAGTCAATTTTACAAAAAAGAATAGAATGAAAATTTGTTGTCATATTATGAAATATGACTATGAGACCTCTATAACAAACAAACATTTTTTTCGTATAGAGAATTAAATGTTTACATTGATTTATTTATAAAAATTTACGGTTAATTTTTCATACGTACATCGAGAAAGAAAGAAAGAAAGAAAATTTGTGCAGTATTACATGAATGCTATGCTTCGTATCGTATTAAAAATACAGTCGTACATTGACAAACTTCAAGAAAAGATAATAAATTTCAGAACTGAAGGTATAACATTTAGGATTCAACGTTTTATTTTTAGAAAATAAAGAAAGAATAAAATAAATTTTGTTATATGATAATGAGAAAGTATTTCAATAAAAACTAACTACTTGCAGAATAATGCGTTTATTTTCATAATATTCATCATCTATTCGATATATTTAAATAACATATCAATAATAACCTTGTCTGAGTAACTAATGTATCGCATTTGATAATGAACCGATAAATATACAAAATAAATCTACACCCAATTTTATTTTATAAATATAATTCAGTATGAAATATTCATACTAATATTCTCATTTGTACAAAAATATTATTTCTTTATTTTTATTGAAATTAATTAATTATAATTATTTACTTTTCCTCTTTATTCATCGAATTCATTCTTATATTTAAGCCAATAGATGAATTGATAACCCTGATAACCCAAATTATAGTATTCGCTTGACCCGACTCACATAACAGATTCAATATACTATTCATCGCTCGTTCATATTCAGTACAATACTCATATTAAACATATATCTGCATTTACATCCTTAAGAGCCTGAATAAAAAATTAAACACAATAATATCCGAACGTATCAATCGAAGACATGTAAATAATGAATGAAAGAGAGCGAGAAAAAAAAGAACAATTGATGAACATATAAAGTAATAGGTGAACTAATTAAAATCTAGTACTTCTAAATAATCAAACAAGTAATTAGTACGAATAACATTAAAACAAAATAATAATGAAGAGTAAATTTTATCTATTTGTTTTATTTAGATTGTTTATGTCGGCTCTCTTCAAGTGAGTCGTTGTTGAATACCAACAACAAGTGCAGTATGAATGGTATTATCATATCGATGGATCAATATAAATTTCTTGACTTCACCACGAAATGTATGAGAAGTAAAAAAGTAGATAAAGAATCGAGAACCACTATTTAGATATTGAAGAAAAGAATTTGTCATGAATGAAACAAATGATTCAATTTGGAGACATATGATACTTTTATTTGTGATATTTGCAGTCAGTGTTGTATAAAGAAAGACTATTGGATAACCCGATGTAAGTATAAGATAGACAAATACTTCCATTAAAATCATCCTTTGTAAATCAATATCACGTTTTCTTCTTTTTTCTGATACAGTTATAATAGTATTCACATTGGAATGAGTAACATGACTGTGCAATCTTTTCAGATTATGTAATGTTAAAAAACCAAACAAACTGATAAGACAAAGAGGTGCAAAAATGACGATAAGTAAGTAGATCGTATACACTGTAGCATAAGTTCCGAATGCTGAACATTTTGAGTTTTCGATTGTTTCCCAGATCAGAAGATGAGTTGGTATTAGTATCCACGCAATTATAGTAATAACAATTGCTCTCCCAGCAATTTTCTTCGTTGACCATCTACGAATTCGAGCAGAAGGACTCGATGTTGCATATCGATCCATACATGCCAATATGAGATATGTTCGATAGAGATTATTGGCTATTTGAAGAATATAACCTCGAAGACGACAAAGAATAAGTGATTGACTAAATGGATCAGGAGGATTATTGAGTGCATATATGGTTGGTATTAGAGCCCAATTGATTGAAACAATTGAAAATGTTGCTGCGAAAACAAGATAAATAGAACATGAATTTGATCGTTGATGTTTTTGTAAGAAGCTAAGAATTGAAAAAATATTGCTTAAATTAGCTATTGTAATCATTATTGGCATAACATATCGCGTTATCCCTTGTTGAATAGTGACAAGAATGGAAGTAGACATTTCTTTAGTTAAGAATTAAAATTCATTGATCTTATTACTTTGAACAATTTCACTAATACAAACGAGAGAATGATTATGTTAGTAATGATAATATTCTATGGCTCATCATATACAGGTTGATTACGTTATTTTTAATAGTTTTGTGTCGTTTACTGTATTTATGTAGTACATCGTTTTTTTTTATTTTAGTATAGTTAGATAGAGCATGAGCTTCTCTATCAAATCATATAATTTGATTGTTAGTTTCTCTAGCTCTAGCCCAAAATTTTAGCGAATCAAAAGCAAGTACTAAGAAATTTTTTTTAAGGCTGTTGCCCTGATTATTATTAATTTTTTTTCCATCGATAGAATGCTTGTACCATGCTTAATAGTAATCTCGATCACACGTTGATATCATATATTGAACGATTGTTTTTCTCTCCTTTCGATAACACTTGTTGCCTCCCGTCTAGATCAATTCGTTTAACCCTTTTGATAGCCAAATTTTGAATGGAAAAGGCGGTAGGGAGAACGGGCAGAACAGAAAGAAAAAAAGTAGTGCATATATATACCACTGGCTGTGGAAGAATTTATTTAATTTCAAATAGATGCCACATAATAAAATTTTGTTGAATCTCAAACAACACGAAAAAAATTTTTTTTTAAAAAGCAGGCATTAGATGAGAGACAGGGTATATTTTATTTTTTGTATCAGCACATTTGTTTGAAATTTCTTTGAAATAAAATATACCAAAAGATGCAGCGTGAAAAGCTCTACAACTTTCATGAAACCATTTGTTCTTTACTGCTAGTTGTTGTTCTAAAAAAATTGACAACATTTTAAGCAGCCGAATTTCGAATGCAAGAAAATTGATTTTACAGCATTTTTTCACGTTGTTTCACAATTATAAAAAAAAGGTTTAATGCGTAAATAGTAGAGCTGTTCGCGTTGCATCTTTTGGTATGTTTCTCTGTTTCTACAAAGACATATTATGTGACAAAAAATACAAAATTAGAAAAAAGATCCTTCTATTCCTATAAAAAAAGTTTTGTTTTTCTAATGGTAAAAAGTTGGTTGCACTGAATTGTGCTTTTTCTAGAAAACAAAAGAATGCACAATTAATATACGCTTGATCGTGATTATTGCCAAGCTTTTGACGCTGCATCTTTTGATATATTTTGTTTTTAATTAAACGTACCGTATAATACTTAAAAAAAATTTCTTAGAACTTGTCTAAAATTCACTAAAATTTTGGACTAGAGCTAGAGAAACTAACAATCAAATTATATGATTTGATAGAGAAGCTCATGCTCTATCTAACTATAGTAAAATAAAAAAAAATCGATGTACTACATAAATACAGTAAACGATGCAAAACTATAAAAAATAACGTGATCAACCTGTATAGTCTCTTAAATTAAAAAAACTATGATGATGAATTGTTTTGAGCAGTAAGCATTTCATAGTAAATGCCATGTTGTTGAACTGATTCTGCATGAGTGCCACTTTCAATGATACATCCCTTATCAAGTACATAGATGACATCACAGGTACGAATAGTTGAAAGACGATGAGCTATAATCAACGATGTTCGACTAGAATCTTCATTTTGAGCTTGTCCAAGTGTTTCTTGAATCACCTTTCATTTAAATAAACAAAACGTCATATCATTTGTCTCAATAATTAAAACAAATCATTACTTGTTCATTGTATGAATCCATGGCACTTGTTGCTTCATCTAATAGTAATATTTTTGGTCGACGAAGAAGTACTCGCGCAATAGCAATACGTTGTTTCTCACCACCAGACAAGAAACTTCCTTTCACTCCTACTCTTGTCTCATAACCCTAGAAGTATATTACCATATGAATCAATCAACAAGTAGATATAATATTGACCTGAGGTAATTGTTGAATAAACTGATGAATATTTGCTTTAGTTGCTGCTTTGATAATCTCGTCTATCGAAGGAACATTCTGTAATCCATAAGTGATATTTTCAGCAATAGTTAGATCAAATAAAATTGGTTCTTGACTAACAACACCAAGCTGAGAACGAAGCCACTGAAGATTGAGATCTCGAATATCAACACCATCAAGAAACTAATTTCATTGCAGACACACAAATATTCATTATCTCATTACTCTCCAATGAACTATGTCAAAAAACAAAAATCTACTCACTAATTGACCATGTGTGACATCATAGAATCGTTCGAGAAGTTGAATTATTGTTGATTTTCCACATCCAGATGTACCTATAGCATTTATATCATATCATTCCAAATAAAGAGAATAGAATCACTCGATGCTCATAGATACATACCAACAAGAGCTACACGTTGTCCTAGTCATCGAAAACAAAAACAACAATAACAATCTATCTCTGTCTCTCATGGAAAGATCATTTCATCTACCTGGTTTGATATTCATTTTAAGTTTATTTAGAACTACTGTTGTTGGTCGACATGGATAGGCAAATTTCACTTTATCAAATTCGATCTCTCCACCAAAATCAACCTATAGAACATATACACCATAGAAGATTAATCGGAGAAGAAGATGATTCTCGATGTTCACGTACTAATTCTTGTCCACTAGTAGATGAATTGTCAATAGTGGGGATGCGATCAAACAAATCAAAAAAGATCTTCACCGCAGATAACGCCGATCCAATACGTTTAGCACTATGATGAGACACAACTGAATAAACTACAAAGAAGACATCACTCTCATTGCTTACAACATCCCGATCATTCGAAACGAATGTAAGGCAAGGTTAGCAAAAGCGAAGACTCTAGAACATCAAAAGAAAAGAATATAACTGAAAAAAAGAAGAAAACTATCATTTTAATCACATAAGTATATTGTTTATCGAGAATTCACCCTGTTCAACCAGATTCATTGCTTGCCAATATAGAAATCCCAACACCACCGGATCTACTGCCCAGATCAATCCGAAAAACATTCCAGATACTATTTCAGGTTTCCAAGATGTTCTGAAAGAAAAGAGAAATAAATATCGCAATCCATCTGTATGATATTCACTGAACTAACTTCATTGCTTCATTGATCAGATGTGAATATTGTCGTAACATTTCATTTTCGATAGATAATTGTTTTACGGTGCGCATATTTTGTAGAACTTCAACAGCAAGCTAAAACAAACAGATCATTCAAATATTTCAATTCTTACATAATAAACAACAATCTTATTTTACCGAACTTGCTCGTCCAATAATAAGATCTGTTCGTGTTTTTAGCCATACAGTCAATCGAACATTGACATAGGCACTAATAAGCAAGAGAACAAAAGGAAAAATCATGATCAATGTTAATTGTCGACTGAAGAGAAGACCAAACACTAAACCAAAGAGGAATAAAGCAAAACCTTGCAATATAAGACCTAATGTGGTTCCAATCATGTCTTGAATAGCTGATGCATTCGAAGAAAGACGAACAGTAATGGCACCAGAACTATTTTCAGGTCGATCAAAATAAGCCACTTCTTGACGAAGAAGACAAGCAAATGCTTTTGAACGAATACGTTGAGTTAATTTTGATCCTGATATAGCAAATTCGATATTCTACACGTGTATAAATAAGATCATACTTCTCCATGCAACTCAGAGAAAACTCTTCTTACTTGAAATATATGCAAAGCAAATAAAAGAACACCTAAAAGTATGAGAAATAAACTTGAAATGAACACTTGACGACGAATATTCGAATGTTGACAACCATTAAATGACTAGAGAGAAAGGATAATTTACATAAACAAATGTATCTCTCATTTAATCACTCACATAGATAATGTTTGTCAACAAAAATGCAGATAATGTTTGACATAATGCACCACAGAGACATGTTACACAACCAATCAAAATAGACAACCATTCTGGACTATTCAACGATAAAAGTCTCAGAAAAATCGATGTCTGTTTCGATGATGTGGAACTTTTCTAGAAAAAAAGACAAATTAACAACAAGGATTTCTACAATATATTGCAGCTTTGATCTCTACTTTATCCATTTGGACTGACTCATTTTTACTGAGAAGACGAGTGTGTTCCGCTATGCAAAAACAAAAAGAAGATTCTATATCGAAAAGAAATGATAATTAACAACATACAGATCTGTTTTTCATCTTCATCAGTTCTTGTTGTCATCTTCACTATCTCATCTTGATCATCATTCGTTTTTTCTAACTGTTGACTTTTAACCATTGTTTGATATTTTCCTTGTTCTTTTCTCATCAATGTTTCATGATTTCCTTCTTCAATAACACTTCCTTTGTCGATCATATAGATTTGATAAGCATTTCGAATGGTGGATAAACGATGTGCAATGACAATAGTTGTACGATCTATCAGATAAATGTATGATTAGTAAGAAAAAGAAGATGAAGAAAAGTAAGAGAGAGTATAGATACTTTTAGATGCTCGATTAAGCGCTTCTTGAACAAGTTTTTCACTAACATTATCAAGTGCACTTGTTGCTTCATCTAGTAAAAGAATCGATGGTTGTTTGACAAGAGCACGAGCTAATGCTACACGTTGTTTTTCTCCACCACTCAATTGAACACCACGTTCTCCAACAATTGTTTCAAATTTCTACGAACATCATAACAAAAAAATAACATATATCTTTTTTTTCAATACAAACATTTGGTAATTTCATAATGAAATCATATGCATTTGCTTCTTTTGCTGCTTCGTCGATCTCTTTACGTGTTGCATTCAATTTACCAAGACGAATGTTTTCATAGATACTCATACCAAACAAAATCTGTCATTTCATACAATGAGAACAAAACCAATAAATAAATGAACAAAAAAAACATACCGGTTCTTGACTAACAACTCCAATATTGAGTCGAAGTTGATTCCGATGATAATCTGTAATTGATCGATCATCAATCATAATTCGACCAGATGAAGGTTCATAAAAACGAAGAAGAAGTGATATACATGTACTTTTCCCTAATAATAATAATCACTACCAGATGAGAATATATTTATTTTTGAGAAGAAGACTAACCAGAACCACTTGAACCAACAAGAGCAGTGATTTGATTAGCACGAGCAGTAAAACTAAGATTATGTAAGACAGTTGTTTCTTTTCGAGATGGATAAACTAAATTCACATTGTCAAATTCAATATCACCAATCATATCATAAATTGATTCTTTTTCTCTTAACAGATCACTTTCATTGACATCTCGATCTTCTCCCTAGTTTATTAACAAACATTCAAACTTCTCGTCATCAAGCATTATATTTTACCTCATCAATCAGTCGAAATACAGACATTGCTGCACCTCGAGCTTCAGAAAATGACTGAAAGTAAGGACCAATCATAGACAGAAAAAATAAACTTTGAGCAAAGATATTCACAACCTATTCATATAATAATAAATATTTCTCATTTTCTTAGATATCTCTATCAATCACTTACGATAATAATATCACCAATATTTAATGCATATTCATTTCCATATGACTTTAGAATAGAACCAAAGATATAACCAACTGCATAGATCAATTGTGTTAACAATCGTAACCAACCGATATATACACCAAGCACAACTCCTTTGCGAATACTACTCCAATAAGTTGGATCTAATTCTTTATTGTATCTAAACAAATCAAACATAATATTTATAATCAACTAACTTCTTTTATCTCAATTTTTGTTACCTTTGTTGTTCAAATCGACTTCCATTCAATGAATGAACAGTTCGTAATGAACTAAATACTTCCTGAACAATTTGTCCAGCTTTTGAATATGATTCTAATTCATTCTTTGCTTCTTTGGCAACGAGCTATCGAATATTTATCTCGTTCTCTCAATTTCAAATTCATCCAATAAGAAATCATACCTTAGAAAATACAATTGAACTCACAATAATAATTGGTATGCAGCAGAACATCATCAAAGACAATTTCCAATTGATAATAAAAGATGCCACTAGAGTACTGCTTATAGTTAATAGAAATCCTAGACACGTCAAAAATTCAAAACCAATGCCTCTTTCGATCGTATCAATATTCCTATAACAAAAACAATTCAATTAAATGAGATTATTCAAGATGAAATGTTTTTTGTTAACATACGTAAATAATTTATCATTGAATTGACTTGTGGAATGTGTATCCAAATATGATATGTTCTATAAAAGAAAATCACATTACAATTCTTCTCAATTTTCAAAGGAGTATTCGAATCCATTGCAACGAATGAACTTAACAAAATGCTCGTTCTTCTATTTCATCCTTCGATATCCTACACCTTAAACTTTTTGTTTTTCACACAGATGAAACATTCGCTTTTTAAGTTTAATGAACTTCTCTTTTATGCTTGGAAAAATAAAAGTAATTGATGTGAATTTAGTTGTGTTGACAAAAGACTATTTATAAAAAAAGAAAAGTTGCATTGATGATTTACCCGTTGAAGAAGAGATCGGAAAAGAAGAACACGCATTCGAGATGTTTGTCGTTTGATAGCCAATGTCCATATCATATGTTTACCGAAATAACATAGATAAATAGCAATACCAACAACTAAGTTGAGATAAAAGAAAAAAAACATATTTTTGTTTTCTATCAAACAGACTTTCATTCACTTACTGAATAGCGATCGAACAATATCCATCACTTGTTCTCGAAATGAAAACATTGGTGGAGACAATGATGATAAAATTGTCTCATTCAAATGACACAATCTAATATACAATTACCAATAAAAAAATCAAATCAGATTAAATACTTTTCTTTTCATATGACTTTTACTTATGTAACTGTACATCATTTGATAGACTAAGTTCAATACCCAATGGACACACACTTTTATTTATATTTCGAGAGATAAATTGCAATTGTTGATCATGACAATCAGCAGCAAATGATTGTTGAGCAAATATTCCGGTGATTCGTCCAAAAAGAATTTGATTAGTGACAATACAAGCCGCATGTCCAACTGCAAAACATAGAGCAACAAGCATCAGTATCAAATCAATTCGATCGGCATATCGAAACTAAAATAGAAAGTAATAGATTAATTACTTTTTATGAAAATGAAAAGATTATATTCTTTGCCTTCAAGAGATTTTCTCTTTTGTTTTGTCATGAGTAACATGTGAAAAATAAATGAGACTTAGTCAATAAACGACTCTCAATTTTACCAATGTTCATTCTCCCTCTCTCCTCCATGAATTTGTCTCAATGTTGAAAAATTAATCTCGCAACTATTAATTTCTCTTACTTTTCTTCTACTATCAAATCTGATACTAAATCTAACATATTCACAAACAATAAAAAGAGTCTTCCATCGTATACCGCCAAGATCTTTTCAAAACATCTAAAGATATCACTGACATACAAAACATTCACAGCGAGTATCAAGTGGTTAGAGGATGAGATTGTTTAGTTGGTTTCGAATTGAAAATAAATATTATGATAGAATATAGAAAAGAAAAACTTTTATACATTATCATCGAGCTTTTCCTTGTAGACATGTTTTAAGACGAATATCAAACACTTCCTCATATACAAATCCATGAAGAAATTTGCAATATATCTTCAATTTTAGTAAAAGACTAATTTAGAAATATTTCAAGGAGTAGTTTTCTTCTTCACAGTTGCATCAATGTAGCTTTGCAACTGTGAAACTTCTAGATCTTTTTCTTTTCAGAAAACACAATTGAGATCTTTCTCGAGAGAATATTTATCTATCTCAGGAGCCTATAAAGGAAAGTTTCATTTTTTTAATTAAATTATTGGTAAAAACGAAATGATATTTCGATTTATTTTTTACACTCGAACTATGTTTTTTTGCTATCTGAATATACATACAAAAGTAAAGACACCAATTGAATTGTTCCTGTCAGTATATTTGAGATTATCATCACTCTTTTCACGAGTGAAACATCGCCGCCAATCATCCAAACTATCAATAATGATGATTTTATTCGATTTCTCTCATTAGTAGTTCTGTTATAATATCATACCTTTCTTTCATCCCTTGTTTGTTGTTGTTTTTGTTAGTATCATCATTATCAAGAGATGATGTAGTGGATGTCTTTAACAAAGGTTGCTTATCACTCATTGTTTATACTTTCAACGACGCTGTTTGGAAGAATAAAAAATATGTGTGCGCGTTCGTCTTTTATTTGTGATACAAAGTATGTTTCGATGATGATTGCTTGAATGATTTTCACATTCATTGTTTCTTTCTGTGTGTATTACACGAACAAGAGAATACGAAGAAAGTATGAAATATGCAACTGTTTGATTTGACAACGTTAATGAAATGATACCTTGATATATTTTTTTTGTATGTATATTTATAACATGTGATTTTTTCTTTCTCCTTGTGGATACAGATAGAAGAAGGTTTATTTCAAGTAAATGATAATAAATCACCATCGGTAATAAGAGGGATAAAAAGTGATTGAAAAAATAAAGATAAAAACTCAGTGATATTCTTTTCAGTTTTTTCTATCTAATAATAAAAAAATTCGAGTATAAATATGACAAGAAAGATTAAGATGGTGATATTACATGAGCAAACAATAATAATCGAAGTAAACATATATGTATGGAAGGGATGGTTTCATTTGTCAATAAGCTTCGTTTACATCAACATCGCAGTGATTAAGATAAACTTTGTATTATTGAATATCGAATTCTTCGTGATGATTCATAAAACAAAAACTGTAGATCAATTTGGAATGTTAGTACAGATAATATTATTAAATTCCAAATCGACTGGTAGGGTGTGGGTGTAAGCTAAGAGGAGAGACATCCACACCCTAAATCCACACTCTAAATTGGAAATACCAACAAGCATTACTTATTATGAACAATATGTGATTAATATTATTTCTAAAAAACAAAAACATCAACAAGATGAACATTTTTTATTGAATCGACCAAAAAATTTAATTAGTTTCTTGTAGTCTCTCTACAAGCTGAGACTTGATCGACGAAAGCTTATTTAATTCACAAAAAACTATTTGGTGAAGTTTCAATGTCAATATTAGCTAGTTTTGAAACAACTTCAACTGCACTTTCTTGGTTTATTTTTTACCTATCTAAATATCTAGAAATTCAACAAAAAATTAAAAATAAACCTAAAAAACATAATTTAATAGATAAAACTCATTTAATACAAGATATATTAGATTCATTGATTTATGTTGAATATGTATCAAAAGAAATTCTTTCATATGCTCCTACTACTGGAGAATTTGCTCGTGCAGCAACATGTGATAATATGACTGATGATGTACCTATAAGTAAAGGAGATACAATTGTAATTGCTAGTCAAAATTTACATCAAGATCCACGCTATTGGAAATATGATTCAACAAAATTTATATCTGAACGACTTTTAAATGAGGATTAAAATCTATCTGAGTATGCTTATATGTCATTTGAAGGCAGTCATCATGCATGTGTTCGTCAAGATTTCGTTTTTTGAATTGAAAATTGCTACGACACGTTTGATGCAGTGAGTTTCATTTGAAGATCTTGGTGATGCAGCAAATAATTCTGGTGAATACGTACAACGTTTGATATGTTTTACAAAATATTTAGCTGTACGCATTCGAATAGATACAGATAAAAAGTCAAATTAATTCGGACAGAATGTTCAATTTTTCATATTTCTGATGTGTATTTTTAGATACTTAGGGTGGGTGTGAGTGTCTATTCAAGAAAGAGAGACTCATCTACACCCACACCGATGCTCTCATGCACACCCAAACCTACAACCACACCCACACCCTCAAGAATTACCCTTATGGAATTCTTATACATTATCTGAAATGAATAATTTTCTTTCATATGTACCCAATGTTGAACAATTTAGTATTTATCATGCTGAATTTTGTGCAGATATAAGTGGATATCTATCGTATGATTGGTTATCATCATTGATTAATTCTTATTTACCATTACTTCATTCATTTAAGTATTATTTCGAGCTTTTCTATTTTGGATTATCAAATACATATGATATGGAAAATATTCTTAGTCAAATAAAAGAACATTTTAAGAAAGTTCATAATAATCAATATCAATCTCGACTTATTATTATTGAACGAATTTAATGATAATATTATATGTGATAAACATATATACAAATTATTCTACGTTTAAGTCTTTCAAATAGGATAACATCTGTATATCTTTTAAATATTTTCTTTCAGAATGAATAAATTCGATATCAGATTTAATAGAATCTAACCGACGAACTCTTTTTAATTAATATCTATCATACCAGTAAAGAGACTATCGTATTTCGACAGTAGAATCCAATAAAATTTTAATACTCAACAAAATCGGATGTAATTACATTCCTCTAGGTTGAATATATTCTGTAATAAGTGTATTTGTATAATGAATCTTCGAATAGAATTATATAATCAATAATTGAATTTCAACTATATCATCTATAGATTACTAGAGTTCTACTAAATCGGTGAATCACAGATATCCATAGCGCCGAGACAGCAATTTGATTTTTGAAAAGTTTTTATCGAAAAAAGCAATAATGTTTGAGATTATTGAGTTTTTTTCATCCATTGTGTCAGTTGTTAAAATCATCTATAACTATTCTCAATTATAAATAAAATAGAGTTAACAGTAGCTTTAAATTTCATGTTTAAACTATACGTATATATATACATATTATGCATAATTTTATTTAATATTAATTATTAATAATAAATTTATTAATTTTTTTTAGAGTCGACATTTCGACCGATAATCTGTCATTTTCAAGATTCAGCTGTTCTTGAATCAGAAAAATCAAAGAACCATCTTAAGGGTGTGGGTGTTCTCTTTTAGATCAACGAGCGACACCTAGCGGCGGAGCCAGGATTTCGTGCTAGGTGGGGCTCAGCCCATCAGTTTTCTGTAGGTCGATCTGAAGTAGAGCTAATATATTTTTTGTTACCTCAGTGATAATGTAAAGGTATGGAAGAGGGTAAAGAAGCTTTAGTTGATAATACTTCAGATAAAAAAGTAAATGAAAAAATTCAGAAGATAAGGAGCTTCACTTGGCACTGGTAATCTAATCAGGGCCAATTTCGGTATCGCTGGAACCAAAATCTACGAATTTGAGAACTCGTTAGATACCTCCATAACTGAGAGCATATCCGTGGTTCGTTGCTCGAGGCACTGATACAGTTCGAAATCGATTTGATTGAAGATTTTACAGGGCACACCTAACTTGAAAGAAGGATATCAATTGCATTCTTCTCTATCTGAATTTGAATTAGAGATGACAGTATGTTCAGCGGAACAAGAGTCATAGGAACGTCATTTATACGTAAAGAGAGAGGTGGAGATGAAGCTGGAAATGTTGCATGATGAATACTTGAGTCAGAGACACATGCACTAATAAATAGTTTAATATATTCTGATGTAACTATGTGAGTCTTTGACTTGTGAATCTAAAGGTAGTAAGACCAAGCCCATAGATTTTTAGTTTTGTTCTTTTTCAGGTGAAGAACTTATACTTGTTAGAGGGAGATTCATCTAACTGATGGATATTAAATTTTAATCTTTATTTCAGATGGGATCTATATATAACTGACTGAAATAGAAAAAAATCAGTGATACCTTAAAATAAAACGGACGAAAAGAAAAAATACGAAAAACTACAACAAGGGAAGAGAAACGTATGGAAAATGCCTTAAAATGAAGAAAAGAAAAGAGATGTATGTTTATTCAACGTGTCATTTATGTAAAGTTTACCTTAGCAGAACAGAAGAAAGAGAGAGAATATGAAGATACCAAATATACAAGAGTCGTGCTTAACAATACTTTTAATCCTTTTGTGGTTCGTGCCTACTACGACGAGCGCTAATATTTGGCACGAGAGATCGTAGACTAAATTCTTTTTTACAGCTCTAAATAACAAGTAAACGCTGCATTAATGACACTGATACGCTAAGAAACTATAATGATCTAAATTGAAAAATAGAAAATCTTGCATTAGATTATCTATGCAAATATTAAGTATAGTTAGATATAATTCTTTATATAGTAGAAAAGGGAGAAAGAAGTTTATCTTTCATAATATAATTAAATAGCAAAGTACCGCTGAAAGTTCTATTTCCGAAAAACTTTTCAAAAACTTTCTAGGTAGGGCTCAAACCTTTCTAGGTGGGGCTTAGCCCCGTCTAGCCCCACTGGTAGCTCCGCCACTAGCGACACCCATACGCACACCCTCCATCTTTCTCAAAATTTCTATCTTATTTACATCTATTAGATCACGACAAAATAACAAGATGTTGCGAAGATTTCATTGTTGTTGCATATTTCTAAGTGAAATATGTGATCAGCCATCAAATATTTTCCGTTTGAAGAAAAAAAGAAATTATACACATAGGTAATTACTGTCTATCGTACAAAACCATGTGCTTCGATTAGAAAGAGAAACAGTGATCAACGGACTGTATCTAAAATGTCCTTTTAAAATAAAAACAACAAAGAAAATAAAATTTATATTTTTTAATACGAAACTTTTATCTAGAAACCATATCGGCTCCAGAAATGAATTGTTAATATTATCTCTCAATTTTCTTTTTCTTTTATGCATTCTTGATGACAAAAAAATATTATTTCGAAGATTTTATTATTATTGCCAATCTGTCAGTGAAATATGTGATCACTCATCCATTATTTTGTGTATAAAGAAAAAGAAATAATGCACAAAGATAGTTACTGTCAATCATAACAAAAAAATATTTTTCGAGCAGAAAAATAAAAAGTGATCAACAAACTGTATCTAAAATATCCTTGGTAAAAATAAAAACAACGAGGAAAATAAAACTTATATTTTTTAATATGAGAGTTTTATCTACAAACCATGTTGGTACGAGAAATAAATTATTCCATTATAATTTTGAAAATAATTTATAAACAATAAGAAAAAATATTCTAAGAGCAATCATAATGTATTTATAAATGAAGTTCTATTGTCTTAACAATACGATATTGAAAAGAATAGAAATAACAAAATAGAGTTTTTAATTAGAAAATCGAACGTAAATTGATATAGGCACCAGTAGAAACTCGAATTTTATTTAGCATTCTCAACATTTTCTGAAAATCTGAGAATCTGCTGAGATTGTCCCTTCATAAGAAGAAATGCGTGCAACATCAGAAATAATTAATTTTGATTTTAATTCTAGTTTAAATAAATTAATCAACATGAAATGCATGAACGCATAAAATAAAATATAAGATTTTTAAACATTAAATCTGGGTAAAGTTCAGATCTTATGCGATTCTTCCTTTCGCAAGCTTCTTTTTCCACAAAATCATTGTGCAACATGTCTATTTTAACTATTTTAAATTCTGCAACTCTTAGATAGTCTTTTTGTTGAATTTCATTTTGGCATATGGTGAAAAAAGCGCCGCTAATGCTATTAAGTGAAAACTTAAGTATCTAAAAGAGACATTATGCGTGAGTTTTTCTAGAAATTGACAACAAACAAAACTTTTGCATTTCGATGAAAGGTCTTATCTTCGAATAGTGGTTTTTGTAAACGTTCTTCATAGAAACCAAAACCTCGTGTATCTATCGGCCAATCTTCTAAATAAAATAATCAGGAAATATGAAAATTTTTCTGAAAAAGGCTTTTCGGACATCGTGCATATATTCGATTGTAATTACGAAAAATATTAATGCTTTAATACGTATTTTTTTATTATCATTGTAATGCGCAAATATTTTCTTCGTATTGACGTCAAACACTGGTTAGTTCGAGAAAATGAGTAACAGCTTGACTAATGAGCCATAACATCATTACGAAATGCAAAAGATAGATAAGAACAGTGAAAGCGAAAACAAAAAAATACGAAAAAGAAATGCGGAGGAGCTGTTAGTATATAATCAACGAATATTTCTAATATTTTCACATTTGAAATCAAGCATCACAAACGCATTAAATAAGGTAAGCAGTGTTCTTATCTAATATCATTAACTATTTGTGTGTAGTATAAACGAATCAGTTATTAATATTGAGCAAAATTATGGACATTTCATACCATATCTTAATGACTACAAAATCATTTGAGAAAGTGTGAAACTTAAATATATTCGTAAATTACAATGAGTTCATATTGAATTTGATATTCTTAGTGTCAGATAACTTCGATTATGTTTTATATAGTACTTCTATATCACTACTTTTTTCATCAGCGCGCTGTAATGGTCGTAGTCTTTACCCAAGTACTAATCATAAATAAAGTAGTCTATGATAGATCAATTTCTTAATTTTCTAACTGGATAACGCCAAAGACCAACAGTAGTATTTCGACAGGATATACATAAACATGTCGCACGTATCACCGCTCACGTTTTTCTGAAAATGTTTTAGTTACTACTATAAATTATTTCAGCTTATTTTTCAAGTGTTTCAAATATAATAATAACATAATTATTAACATAAATCTGTCAAGTTAAATTTATAAAAAAAAGTAGGAAGAAAATATATATGTAATTACTTGAACTGATTTTTAAGATGCACCGACAGAGATGTTAATTGAATGTGAAATGTCATTTACAAGAGCATATAGGATCTGAAAACTAATGTGCGAGATATATCACATCTTTTCGAATGTCGAGATGATCAATTCTTAATCAATATTTTAGGTTAGTCAAAGCAAGATGTTTTCAAAAATACTTATAAGGTCATACATATACACAATTTTCTTTTTTATGAAGGTCACTATGTTATTGTACCCGTCCAAGTCAGACAAGTAACGAAAAAATAGAAATTTTAATGCGTAAAAAGCGCACATTTTAATACCTTAAAAAAAATTCTTTATGAGAACAAAACGAGTTAACCTAAGTTAATGTCATGAAACTTCTTTCTATTAAAAAAACATTTTAACAGGTTAAAATGCGCGTTTTTTTACGCGTAAAACAGGTCATTTTTTTGTTACTTGTCTGCCTGAGTTTTGAAGTACAACAAAGTTACCTTTCATTTTGTTTTTCAAGCTATTTATTTACAACTCTCCTATTCGATAATAAAGAGCACAGCGCCCCGAATTCACTTGGCATACCTATATATACTCAAAAGATAAACAAGAATTTAACATTTATTATATTCTCGCGCAATGACGCGTGTTATCGCTCTTCATGGATCAACAGGCGCAGGAAAATCGACACTCACTCGTTTAATGGGTGAACATTTGGGCACGAATTGTCATGTTATGGAGGAAACTATGGAAGGACTTTTGGGGGCGCCGAGTTCAGATGATAAACATATGCCGTGGTATCGACAAAAACCGGCAATTACCGGTAATGATAAGGTCACAAGTTTGTTCATGGTATATATCAGTCCAATATCAATACTTATTTTTACCCTCATCAGCCATTATTTTGCTGGTACTGTCTGGCCAGTTATCATACTGTTTATTATTTGTCTGGCTATCGGTCGATTTTTCCGTTGGTTAAAGAGTACGATGTTATCAAAAATGTGGTTCTACAATGTTTCTTTATTTAATGATCAACAAAACCGAAGTAATTGTACATGGATATGGAGAGATCGAACTTGTCTCGATGTCTATGCATATGCTTTAATGGCAAATAGTCCTTCAGTTCCATTGAATATGGGGCAAATTCTTCTGGAAGAAACACACACAACAAGTGTAGCTATCATACTAGATGTGCCAGAACATATTATCAAGACAAATTTAAGAAGAAGAATGAACGCTCCAACTACAACGTTTTGGATGGCTTTTGCTACACGACTAATATTGTTGAGTAAAATATCTATTCGAACAACAACTAATGCTCTAAAGTTAGTCGAACGATGGTATCAAAAAATGAATGTACCCGTAATTAAAATTAGTCAACTTCGTGATAAATTAGACTATGATTCAAAAACAGGAGATATTCAATGGAGTAAGCATTCAATGAATGTCCTTCAAAAAGCTATCGACGAAGCTATTGAAAAACGTGGATTACCATGTGCAACGATTGATGAATCGCTAATTCCATGGCAAACTGTACAAAATTCTCGTCTCGTTCATTATTATTAAAAAAACATAGATCAATACTTATTTTCCATACCCTTTATAGTTGAAAGAAAATATTTTTTTGTCTTTCTATTAGAGCTTTCATATGACAATTGATATTCTTTCTAATAAATTAAACTTTTAATATTAATATAGTTTATTATTACTGATAATTTTTTACGTCCAAAGTCACATATCTATGATAATCGAAAACATCACTCAACCATACATTTTACTTGAACCAAGTAATTATAGGGTATTTCCATGGGATCTCAACCGCCTGTACAAAATTTTTCTCAGATTTTCACAAAACTTTCAGGACTGATAGAGCATTTAATTACGATCTTTT